GATCCCTTTTTCCCCCCTTTTTCCTTTCCTCTTTTTTTTTTTTTTTTTTTTTTTTCAACTTGACGAATCGATCGCTTCGGTCTCGTTCGCGTCACTTGGTAGGGCTTGGAAAGGAAATCTTCGAGATCGTTGCACCCTACATTCAGATTTACTATTTTCGATATACATGGGATTGTGAAGGGATATATACGCTGGTGTTTTTTTCGGGGGGCTCAATCGCCGGAACGGACTATATGAAATTAATGAAACTAATGAATGACCCCGCTCAAGTACTTCGTAATCCACCACCCGATGAATAGCATGGGCGTTCCAAGGTTAATTCCCACGGTAACCGTGACCATGCGTTACGTATTACATCCAGAGAAGAAAAAACCGTGCAAACTTGAAGTTACGTCAAAATTTTCCTTGTAAGAATAGTTCGCCCCAGCACCATGCTGATAGCTCTCCCCTCTTGGTGTCCTCCTCCCCCATGGGCCTGAATAATCGGTACCATTCGTGCACTTCCTCTCTCGCCCGTGGTGTCAAGAGTAATAAGCTCCCTGGTCAAGGGCAAGTGGTGTCTGATCAGGCCACAATTTCAGGATTCCGGCTTTTGCACTGGCGACCTGAGATGCATCGGTGGCAACCTGGTGCTGATGCAAGAGATCAATCTGATCAGTAGTCCAGAACCTGCAGCCAACACCATTCTCATCGAATTCGTATTTGTGGCGACCATTTCGCATGATTGCTCCCAAGATATCACCCATTGTCAGCCCAGCGGTGACATCAAGATAAAACTTCTCCTGGGCGTCGGTGTCAGTTTCGCAAGCTAATTCTGAGATGACGAGGTTGGCCTTGGAGCCTCCCCGAATGACTGTGCTCGGAACAGTGTGGCTTGGCTGGCAATCAACCCGGATCGAGGTTTGAGAAGACGTCGCAAGATAAAGACACCAGTGGTTGGTACTGCCGATATTTTCAGTCGTTATCTTTTCGTGAGGAACTGCGATGATGCGTTCCACTGTCATAGCCGACATTTGTGGCTGGCGTGCGGCAGGCACAAAGTGGATAGGCTGAAAGTCAGACATTGGCTCGGGGGATCTGGATTTTAGGAGACCGCAAAAGCTCAATTATGAAGGAGGGGGAATGGGGCGTCTGAAAGAAAAAGCATGGAGAATCTGGGAAAAATGGTTGTAAAAAGTATCCTGATCCTGTGTGGGCTGTGCGGAAAGAGATTTGCGCCAGAGTGTGTAGGTGATTTGGAAAGTAAGAGGAAATAGAGGAGAAGGCGAGGTTTTTATACCCAACAGAAATGATCCTCCGCTGTACTCATCCAATAGCCAATTTACGACTTCCAAGGTTGAACGTTGTCGGTAGTCGGGTGGGTGTCACCCAGATGAGAAATGTAAGCGCCGCCTCCGTGGTTCACGACAGGGGGAGCCAAGGATGAACTTCATTGTCTACAAACCAAGTCCCGTGACACTAAGTATTAAGCAATCAATCAGAAAAGAAGAGACAGATGGGAAAATAAAATGAAAAAAAAGGAGTGGTGCCCAAACAATGATGAAAACACGGCAAACAAAAAGAAAAAAAAAAGATAGTGCCTAGGCCGGGAATCACCCGGATCTCTCAAGGCTTCACCCTCCTTTCAAAGTTATTGCGAACCCAAATTTTAGCTCACCCCGATGGAGGTCTGAAGGTACTTACGAGCGCCTTGCCATTAGACCACCTAAGCTGTTGGCACTGGGGAGATGTGGATCTGTACTACATAACAGCCAATAATCTACTACAGTGTCCACGTTGAGCTCCACTATCCGACGGGTGCTGCCGATGCTGATCCAGAGCAAGTCAAGTAGATGTTCTTGAATAGTTGGACTACTTAAGTAATCTGACAGCGTCATTGTAGATCTGGCTAGCAGAATTCAAACTTCGCAAGATTTTTCAATGTTTCAGACTCATATATTCTTTTCGCTTTCTCCGTACCCCGAATCCAGAACCGCAACCTCGTCGAAAAAGCCGACCTCGGGATCTTTATACTCACAGTCTGGATACAGCCACATTACTGCACGATAAAACAAGACTGATGATGATAACTCAAACCTTAGAATATCTATTCATTAATACCATGGACCCCCGAGCACCATTGAAATCAAAATCCATCGCGACTCCGACAACACACGAGCAAAACAGTGAATCATCAAATAAACCGAAAAAACATTCTCCGAGAAACAAAATTGACCATGCTCCGCCACGAATGCATGTTGCCTCTCTAGCGATGGACATTTCGAGTGTGCTGCGTGAGGTTATCCGCACGATTGCACACCTTATCGCAACCCTCGACGGGACATGGGTAAGAACCGGGAGAAAGGTGGATGTTTTTGAGATGACGAATCAACAGTGACTCTCGTTTGAACGAGCCGGAGAAATGGCACCCATCCCATTTGCATTTTAGGGGCTCAGCAGATGAGCGATCATGCACTCTATATCGAAAGTTGTCAAGTCAACACTGTCATATACTCGCTTGGTTGTCGTAAAAAGTATCAAGAGAATGGGTAGGCACATACTTTCGGGATTTTCTTATTCCTTTTCTGGTATTTTGAGGATCAGCGAAGGCCTGAGTTGGGAGTGCGCGACGAGATATTTCATCACTACCGGCGTTCTCTTCGCAGCTTGCTTGACCCGGGGGACTCGTAGACGAATCTCCGGATGAGGTCCAATGAGTGGGCGAGAGGGAAGTTGCCGTGACTCCGATAAACTGATCGAGGTCGGGATTTTGAGCGCGTATCTCAAGGCCAGTCCCAATCTTATCGAGGGCGTTCGTCGAAGATGAAATGTCCCAATCAAAAGCTCCGCCGAGATTCGGCATAGCCTGGGAAGAAGATATAATATCCCAAGGAGATGACAATGGCGGTGGTGCACTCCCCATCCATGTCCAGTTACGATTTGATGCCATGCACGGGAGTTGCAGAGGCTGCAGATAAGATGACTTTGCCATTTCGTATGAATCGTACGAGCCTGGGTCACCCATCTCGTTCATGCTGATCGTGGGGCACGCCATGGCTGAATGAGAGAACAGGTAGGTGGTGGGATTTCAGTGGCTGTGGATGAGAGGAGAGGAGAAGAGAAAGGAGAAATTGTACTTAAGTAGTCAGAAGACTTTTGATTCTGCTGTGGAATACTTCCATTCCTCGGGGGATTGAGGAGGACTAAATAGTCAGGGTCCGTTGACTCTGAGAATGAGCAAACGTCCTAGGTCTTGACGTAGAGGGTTGTAAGCGACGCTGTATCCGAATAGAAACTGTGAGAACTATAGAATGAACAAATCAGGAGATTCAATTCAGGGGCGCCACCTGTAGACCGGGGTTCTTCAGTCGAGCCCAAGTCGGATCTGCTATGTGTTGAGCCGCCGGGTTTCGTATACATTCGTACTCATACCTTGGGTGGATCTTCAGGTCGTCTGTTATCGCGAGTCGGTCATAGTTCCAGCCATGCTATTGGATCTTGGAGGTCAGATATGCATCAAAAAGACATCGGTACTCCATGAAGTTTCCCGTTTCTCCAGGGTCTTGGTGTGATCGACACGTTCTCCAAATAGATTCCACTCACATCTAACGGGTGGAGAACTTCGCAAGATGGGAAATCCAACATTAGCCAGTCAGAACGGGTTACGAGAGTGAGAACTTGTGACTCAGCCAATCGCGATGTGCCTACTGGGTCTGAGAACATGGCATAGAGCCAATCAAAGAAGATAATGCGGGTCCGAGAATCTGGTTTACCGCGAATCACCGAATGCAGCACTCAACCCAGGCAGACACCCGTAGATCCAACCCCGAGTGTGGCTCAGCGTGAAAATCCACCAATTGGCTCGGCGGTCGGTCTGTCAATATGCAAGATGAGATAGCCACGCGCCAAGAGTGAGGCAAGGCAAACAGCCCAGAAAAAAAAAGAAAATACCATACAGAGTACATCCGTGGATATTTATTCGGGGTGCCGCCCGTTGAATTTCTTTCGCTCATCTCAAAATTCCAATCTTTCAGAATCCTCATCGCAATGGCCGATCCAGGATGGGACAACTATAAGTCCGAGATCGAGAGGTTGTACATCCACGAGAACATGACACGTGATGAAGTAGTGGACTTCATGGCAACGAAGCACTCTTGGGTAAAAAGGCAAGTTTGAGATCTGAGTGCGGGTTCTCTGCTGACAGTGATATACATAGCCGGGCACGATACTCCAGCAAATTCAAAGAGTGGGGCCTGAGAAAACAGTCCCAACCGAGAGATGATCAATGGATTGCGAGAAGAGTTGCAAAAAGAAAGAGAGAAGATAACAAGGACAGCGAGGTCTTCGTCGATGGAGTTCAAATTCATCCTGCGAAAATTTCCAGATCGAGCTACAGAAAGGGCTTCCTGACTGAGTACTCGCGACGTGGTAAGCTTCGTCCATTCAACTCATCTGATCATGAAACTAAATACCCCTCAGGACCGTCCCCAAGTACCCCCGAAGGCTATGTTGTAGCTACGCCAACTTCACCTGGCATCCATGTCTTATGGAAAAGTCCACTGCCCTCGGTGCAGTTCATGCGTTTCATTCAACCTATAACAAGTAACGGTCAGATCAAGGTTGACTTCCGTTTGTGAGCTCTACTAAAGCTTTTTTCAAATTTGCAAATTACCCCACCCCTCGCTCTGTCTCTCTTATTCCAAATCCGTCGCACAATGTCATTGCAATTTCCGAGAGCACGACCTCCATTTTGATGAAACAATTGAATACCATTATACCATGGAACAAGCTCCGGCACCCTTCAGACATGCACAGTGCTTCGCGTCTATCAGCCGCACTGCAAATCCTTGTCCCGGAAAACGAGCTCGGCGAACATGAAAACCTCTGAAAAGACTTGAGTTCTCTAAAGGCGGGAGTCTGGGAGCAAATGAGTTTGTTATTCTACCTTATCTCGAACAACCTGTTTTTGTCAGACCCCGACGAGGACCCGGATGTAATGGAACAAGATGAACAGATTTTGGAGATACTCAAAGATACTGGGTGGGATGATTTCAAACATCTCAAGAGGCTAATCCCAGTTCGGATGCCCACTGCTGAATCCATCGCCGAGAGAATATTTTGCGCTGCCGTACGACAAGATGATTTTGACCTTGTCCAAAAGATGCTCCAGGCTGGCATGAACCCTGATGAAGTGGTGATTGAGAATTCTTTCGGAGAAGTTGATGGTTCACTCTTTACCGCTTTGCAGCATGTCTCGGTGACCAGCCGATGCGCCAGTTCCATCAATCTTTTGATTAATCATGGGGCTGATGTAAATTTTTCTCTCAAGGCTGATGGCAAGACTGCTTTGTTCTATGCAATTGAAGCGATAAACGTGGTATCCATTCGTGTGCTTCTGGCCCAACACGCAACGGTCACACCAGAATGCGTCTACTCTGCTACTCTTATTTTACCGAACTGCAAAGAAGATTTGAGCTGGATTGAAGATATCATTGAAATATATCTCGATCAAGATGTGGCAATGCAAGGAGACGCTAAAGCGGCACTTTTAGATGCCCTTACGCACAGACATAAACATATTGTTGAGCGTTTCCTTGCCAAAGAGGTCAATCTGAATGGACTGTTAACCACCCGCGCCCCAGATGGAGAGAATGAATGTCAGACTACGTTGCTAGGCCTAGCAGCAGAATATGGGGATGCTGAAATCGTGCGCCTGTTGCTACATTTGTCTTTCCATGAAGACCCTTCACTTCTTTGCCCACCATATGTTCAACCGCTCGTTTTTGCAGCCAAAAGGGGCTCCATCGACATCTGCAAGATCTTGGTGGGCTCAAATGCCGATATTCAATCTGCGGATGAGGGTGAAAAGACGTTACTTGAGCGAACCCTTCCGAGGGGCAACCTTGCTCTTTGCCAACTTCTCATTGACCACGGTGCTAAGATCGACCGTCAGCCGCGTGAAACTCACCAGCGCCCTTCGGCACTCATGGTCGCGGTCCAGCATGGGCTCATGGATATTGTCGATCTGTTGATCAATTCAGGCGCTCGACTCAATGACTTATTTGAGGTAGGCCCCAGGACTGTTCTTGGCGCTGCCGTTGGAACCGGAGACGAGGAACTAATTCAAAAATTATACAACGCCGGCGCAAGGTGGACATTCGCAATCAGGAAGATCGGCAGTTTGAAAATCGCAATGCTCATCAAGGAAAAAGGAATTCTTTCAAAATTGCTGAATCATCGTGGTCCTCAGCTGCTCGTTGAGGCTATCCTAGCGCGAGATGATGACCTTGCATGGTTCTTGCTTCAAAACAATGCCCACGAGGAACGGAACAAAACAGGGCCCCGCACGAGAACGCCTCTATGGGCTGCTATTGAGAGTGATCAATTAGGCTTCGTGGTGCCTCTTCTTGACTTGGGTGCCAAAGTGACCGACACGGCTCTCGCAAAAGCCATCAAAACCAAGTCTACCGTCCTGCAGATTTTGCTTGCAGCATTCACGGGATCTGCCCCAACAGCAGTTACAACTGCTGTTCTAGAAGCGTCAATGATTGATCTCGAGTTACTCCGGAAAGCAAAAGTCGACTTGAGAGGAGCCCCCCTATTCTTAAGAGGTCACTGGTCTTGTAATCCTGTAAAATCGACTCCCTATGGGAACTCTCGCGCCTTCCAGTCGGTATTGGAGATAGCAGCCTGGAAGGCCGATGCAGTCATATTCAAGTACATTCTTGAATGGGCGTCTGCATTGCAGGTGACATGGAGTCCAACTTCCGTGGCCTGCGCGTTGACATTGGCAATCCTCGAACAAAAAACCTATCATATATCTGAGCTAATCCGGCTTGGCTCTGACTTGGACGTCGATATTGCCGCTGATGTTCCGCCATCATTGTGGGATTTCGATGTTTCGGAACCAGAGACATACAGCCCTCTACAAGCTGCTGTAAGGACTCAGCAACTACAAATCGTGCGTGATCTACTAGATCTGAAAAGAGCCGATGTCAACTATATGGGAGAAGGTCAATTCAGAAAGACTCCATTGCAGCATGCTGTTAAACTTGGGAATATGGAGATTATCAACATTCTTCTCGAACAAGGGGCAGATATCAACGCTCCCCCTGCACATGACAGTGGTGCGACTGCTTTACAGATTGCGGCAATTCAAGGGTTCATTGGCATTGCGAGAATGCTGCTCGATCTAGGTGCAGATGTCAACCAAAAGCCCGCAAAAAAAGATGGACGTACGGCTTTGATGGGTGCCGCAGAACATGGTCGCATCGATATGTTACATATGCTTCTAGACGAAGGAGCCGAGATCACAGGTGAATATGAATGCTACTTTCGCGAAGCTGTGGAGCTTGCGGAGGGAAAAGGTCATTGTGCTGCGGCTAGACTCTTGAAAAGATCCAGGGATCGTGTCAGGACCCCTGACCACGCTCAGGCACCCAGGCACCACCGGCGTCTGAGGCTGCTAGGGCCCACCCAGGGCTGCGGGCAGGGCTGCAGGCACTGCGGGCTCGCTTACACCTTATATAAGCTCACCAAGAGATATCCCTCAGAGAGGGATCCCTTATAGCAAGGTAGCGATTAGCTTGGTTACATACTATAGAGCATCTTGCCCTCGCTACTCTCATTCATTGCATTCATCGTATAGGACCGCTAGTAAGCAGTCCTCACAGATTGGACTGAATTCGAGCCATTTGTGAACTAGGATGAACTGGAATATTTTGAAAACTGTGTTGAGGTCGTTTGATGTGAGTAGAGAAGGAAGTCCCAGTTTCGCAGTCAAATTTTCGTGTAGGATAGAAAAACCTTAGAACCACCAAAGGCACCTAGGACTGCTTGTATCTAGTCTGTGGCCCTTTGATCATTTCGTGTTCCTGGCCCCATCTGGACGAGAAATGGCCGATCGTCGCTTCATTCTCGCGCGACCGGGGATGCCAACGGAGTGTGCGCTGCAGTCAAAGTGGGATCAAGTTGAGGAGATCCAGGCTATAATCTGACCAGCTATAGAGGATCCCGCCTAAAACGATTTTCCCGAGTGAAGTTTTTCTATTATTGACTTCGATTGTCGTCATGATTATAACCCTTATTTCATTATGGAGGTTGACGAAAGTTCCTTCCGTGAATCTTCTGTGAACTCGGGAGATAAACTACCGATGTTGTCGTGGGAAATTTACGATCATCTCTCCCAATCTGCTCTCTTGGAAATGAAGTCTTCAGCCCACGTCGTTGCCGCCGGAGCGATTAACACCATATTTTCAGCTTGGGCAAAAATGGTAATCGATCCCCTCCTCTCCCCCACAGGTACAAAAAGTGTCCGTGGGCAAACCCGAACCAAGAAGGCCGATATCTCTTGAACCCTGACGAATATGCCAAATGGACCATCGCGCAAGTGGCCAACCCTTGTTGGCGAGGTTACGTGCTCAGAGCGTCGTACGAAGCCCCAAGAAGAAATCAACTTCTGGATGAGCGATCCAAGGGTTTCCGTTAATATCGCCATCACAATCAGTGTGCTCCGGGACAAAATAATGGTTCAGAGCTGGAAAGGGAACCACACCTGGAAATTGCCCGCAACCCTCATCCAGGCTGCCCTCGTGTCAATGGCCAGCTAGCAATCCAATTTTCGGACGTTCGCTTGCGGGCAAAACGAGGAGAGAGCGACTTCGTTCTGACGGCCACGGATATGGAGGAGCTTGCACGTCACATCTGGGCTTACCAATCCCCAACGAGCCGATCGCTGAGTGCCTTCTCACGGTCGCGCGACCGGGGGCGACAAGTGGTGGGTCCGTGGCAATCGAAACTGGTAGATAGGAGTAGGATGGGAAGGTAGAGAAGAATCACCCACCGTCACCCGCACTGACCCTTCCAAGTGAGCACCCGAGCAGCAGTTGATAATTACTTAAGTAGTTCACTCTGTGACTTCACATTGATTACCACGGCGGTTGTTATAGTATTTCAGGTGTCGGCATTTTCTGCCAGACACAGTATCCAGAACACAGTGGCCATAGGACGTGGTGGATTGCTCCTAGGCACGGAAGTGAAAGAGTGACAGGAGAGACTCCCATCACAAGGTACAAGTGTAAAGAGCCTCACGCGTGTCCAAAAAAAATTTGCGACCCTTGGGCGCTATACACCCTTGTACAAGACGCGCTCATTCGGCGACGTGCATCGTTTTTCTTGGCGCGGTGCAGACCAATTTTGGACCCCTGTTGGGCAAACCCCCTCATTGAACAACACTGCCTGGTTTCAAGCCAAGATGAGGCTACTTGTCGGAATTAATACAAGTGACAGAATTCTCGGATTCTGCTTGCCCAATCACATACCAAGGACACCAACTAAAGACGACTCTAGCACCCTGTCTACCTAGGCCCTTACACCGGACTACTACACCATCTGAGCACCTAGGCAATGAAACATATCAACCTGGTCTGAGCCAGAGTTTGTTTTTCATCCAATTGAAACATGAAGTATCTTGGCAATCTCCGGTTCTCACTTGGTGCTTACTTAGCCTTTACAGAATACCGTGCGCGTGAGATGGAAAACCCTGCATGTCGCCTATGGCCAGCTACAGGGGAATTGAAGTTCCTCCTTTGAATCGCACTCTAGGGCCATTCCCAGGAAGCATCAGCCGAAGTTGAACTCAGTACCGAGTACCGCGTGAGATTCCGCTTGCCAGGGTTTTCTCAAGATGGGGCCGGCGCAAGAAAGTGAACATATTCCCCTCAGAGAGTTCTCCCATCGGTCTGCATCCTCAAATCGTTTTAATCAACCCCACGAGGGCCAGAGTCCCGAATTGACCGAACAAACTTCTTCTTCCACCCCCATTATCTCAGAGACATCGCACCTGGAGGCGTCAAGTGTGCCTCTCGTCGAGTCCGATTCAGATGACCAGGAAAACGTGTATTACAAGCGGAAGGTTGCCTCAAAATGGAGCTTGTTCTCAAACGTGTTTCTTTGGGAGATTTTGGCCATGATTCTGGCCTCGGGGCTTTTGCTCGCGATCATTTTGATCTTGGCAAAATACAACCAACAGCCTCAACCGACTTGGAGATATGTATCGCTGAACTCGGTCATCTCATGGCTGAGCACCATCGCTAAAGCATGTCTCCTGTTCTGCATAACAGAAGGAATAGGGCAGCTGAAATGGACTTGGTTTACGCGGTCGGATCAACCCATATCTCATTTTCGCATCTTTGATTCAGCTAGCCGAGGACTTTTTGGCAGTTTGGACTTGATTTGGAGTTTACGAGCAAGGTATGTTGACTAGAACCAAATAAAGTGCCACGAATAGGAGCTGAACTTTCAGGCATTTTGCTGTTTTGGGCAGCCTAGCTGTTATTCTCGCGCTGGCGTTTGACCCTTTTACTCAGAACTTGATCCGCTACTATCCAAAGCTCGGGCATGATATGTTGGAGACAGCTGTTTTATCCAAGGCCTTTACTTACAATTCCTACGGGGCACCAACGAATAGTTGTGAGTAAGGCAATTCAAGCCTCCGCAACGAAGATCTCTGCATACATCTGTACTAACAACATATCCACCTCTTCGTAGTTTACTTTGCGGATCCACAACTCAGAGCAAACGTCTACAATTCTCTATTCAACAGCGACTCCTCAAGACCATGGTCCATTCCGCCGTTCACATGTAGCTCGGGAAATTGTACGTGGGAAGATCCAATCGCAACACTCGCAATGACGTCCAGATGTGAAAACATAACGAACAAATTGCAATCGCACTGTGAACCATTGCCTCCATCAGGAACAGACGTGAACTGTTCCATCTATCTTTCGTCTGAATCAGCCCATACGCCTGAAAATATCACAGTGGATTTCATCACCGACACCATCGTGGGAAAGCCAATTGTTATGGGGGCAATCGGGACTTTGGCTTCGAACGACAGTCTCCTTCATCCTATCCAGATCATTGCCCCGGACTGGCTAATAGCTAACAGTCTATACTCGGGCCATTTCTCATTAGATCAACAATGGCAGGCATTTGAATGTTCACTAATTCCAGTTGTCCGCAGCTTCCGTGCAAATGTGACCAATGGCGCCTATCATGAAGAGATCCTAGGCGACTGGGAGGAAATACCGAATTATGATGAGGGAGACAGATCACTCAAGATTTTCCCCCAATGGGGGCCAGAAATGGGTATTGAAGATGATCAGCTTTTCGTGCTGGATCCCATCGCTACCATGGCGATGGATTCATTTATCGGGGATTTATTCAATGCCAAGATGGAGACCAGCGTAAGGGGCTACTTTTTCAACAGTGAGCATATTCCATACGCCGGCTCCGATGTGATGCAATCAATCGCACTCTATGATTTTCCCGGTTGTGATTTGCAATCGGCTGAGAAGCTCCGTTGTGCTATGGAGAATGTCGCGGATGCAATATCCAAGTCCTTCCGCGACGCCGCATTTTCTTCCAAAGATAAAGCGAATTCTAGTGCCATCGGCAAGGCTATGACGAGCATGACATATGTTGAAATCCGCTGGCAATGGATCGTTCTTCCAGTTGTAGTCTGGTTATTGGCGCTCACCACTTTGGTGGGTACGATGTGGAAGACGAACAAGTCCAAATCACCAACGTGGAAAAACAACCTGCTTCCACTACTCTTCCTATATGAAAACGCCGACCACGAAAAGGCGGAGGATTTTGAATCGCTGTCAGATCATCAGAGAGCGAGACTATGTGACACCGATGGCGGAATGCGGCTCAGCAAATAATGCCACTCCCGGGGTCCGCGCCTATCATGTGAGCCGATAGGCCGAGGAGCAAAAGCGAACACAAAAGATCGATTCACTTTGATGGGATAGAGAGAGCCAACGAATCTGTTGAGCTCTTCTAAGTTTGGCACTTGAGCAGAGGACCCCCAACAAATTCATCTTTCATACAATTCTTGACTCGAGCATTTCCAGCGTACTCCACGGAGCACCGAGGTACAAGCTCAACAATTTTGAGGACTGATGGTACACCCTAGTATGCTCCCTATGCACCAGGGCATGCATGTTATTCTGTGCGTAGTATTTCATACTGACCGCCTCTTTTGAAATCTGAGCTGTGTGTTCAATAGATCGTGCATGCAATGTGGAGTCAAAGATTCACTGGTGACCGCCTCGTTGTAAAATGTGAGCCGCCTTTCCTAGATATTCATGTCGATCCCCCATTGACGCAAATGGACTAGTTACTTAGATCTACGGTTAGTTACAGGTCTTAGTCCAATGGATACAAGGATCGGCGTCCCAAAGTATTCCTACAGAGCACAACATGACACCTTGGGGCCCAAAATTTGACCACTAGAAAGGTTGTTGGACCCAATACTCCCTTCAGTGAGGAACTCTTTGGAATCAACCAGCTTGGATTAATTTCATTTTCTATTTAATTCCCGCCCTTTTGCTCTATTATCTCACTTCACATTACGGAGTACACGGCTGGTTGTTATGGATCCCAAACCGGCCCGACTCGCTCTCCCCAATGAACCTTCTTTCAAGGCGTTTTTCCAGCACTTCAAGAGTTCTCCGAATCGTCCCACATTTCATGACTCCGAATTGGATATCGAAGCCGACTACACGCAGTTTCTGCAAGATGTTTACGCCACTCAAATGGGGCTTCTGTCAGTAAAATCTACGGGATGCAAAGACTGTCCCTATGTGTTTCTTCTCAATCCCTGCAACTATGAGTTCGCTGTCGCAGCTTTTGCGATTCTTGCGACAGGCCATGCCGTGGTTCCGCTCGGTAAGTTTCCTATATATTCCCAAGCATACAGAACTGACGGCCGGCGCAGCCCCAGCGATTATGCCAGAAGAAGCTATACATTTGATGCGCATGTGTCGATCGACTACCCTTCTCATGGGCTCAACTACATCTGAGATCGGGGGCGAGATGAAGACACATGCCGCGACCGAGGGCTACCTTGTTGACGCCTTGCCCATATACACCAAAAGCAACGAGCCGGTCGAGACAGTCATTGATGAGAACTCGGATATTGAGCCTAGCAGTCCTGGTATGATTGTTTTTACGTCAGGGACATCAGGACCCCCCAAGGGTGTGGTGCACGGCCGACGCCTATTCTACGTGACGTATGAGCCTGATACGAAGAACGTCTCTTTGTTAAGCGGACCTCCACAATGGGTTGGCGGTTGCCTTAGAATTCTCCTGCACACACTTGCTGGATTTTGCATTAACATAGTTCCCCCAGACCCGCGAATTATTTGGGAACGCTTGCGTCTGGGAGATATCACGTTCATGAGCAACCCTCCGATAATGTGGGGGAGGCTGAGGGATCATTTCCTGCAAAACCTGGACCAACTCCCCTCTTCGGAGCGGGATCAATATCTACATGGGATGCGAAATATCCGAGCTGCAAATACATCCGGGTCAGCACTACCTCAACCACTGGGGAGGTTCTGGCGAGAGATGGGGAGACCCTTAGCCGTCTGTTATGGTGCTACAGAGCTAGGTAGGATCTGTCTGATGACTTCGTATGACACTGATCCAGACATTCAGGTTTGTTCACAAAACCCAGTCTCTTTTAAATGCACCTCCATACGCTTTTGATTTCTAATTTGTGATTTGCAGCGATGTCTTGGTCAAACACGCCCCGGTATGTCTGTTCGACTGTCAGATGGGGACCATGGTGAGCTGGAAGTTAAGAGTCCTACAATATTCTCCGAGTGAGTTGCCTTTGATCGATGAAAAGAACTTTCTTTACTTACCTTTGAAGATACCTGAATGACCCTGTGGCAACGAAGAACGCATTTACCGCCGACGGATTCTATAGAACCGGTGATTGTGGTCACAAGGAGGGAGAGAATTACGTCTTCGACGGCCGAGTATCATCCGACTGTTAGTCCTGACCTAGCAAACCTTCGCATCTTTTGCTAATCTTTGCTCAGTTATCAAGTTCCGCGGGTATCGAGTGCCTATAATCGAGCTGGAAACGCGACTGAACGAGGTTCCCGCTGTGGTTGAAGCCTTTGTCGTTCCCGTACCAGATGAAAACTTCGGGTTTCGCGTGGGAGCATTGATTCATTTCGATTCCAAGAAAGCGGATCAAGCTTTGTCCTTGCAATATGTCCGATCTCAACTATCAGAAAACGTCCCCATGTTCATGATGCCGACAGCATTGCGGGCCTTGGCGCCTGATGATACAGTCCCACGAACCCCGTCTGGAAAGCTGATACGCAAAGCTGCCGCTGAGAAGTACTTTCTGCGTACAGACAGTCCTGGCCTATCTGATGATGTGGAGGTTTGGATTGTCAAGGCAGAGGAACTGCAGGCCCGGAAGCCGTGGGACTGGGGAGGTACACCGATGACACTTTAACGAGGATTTGGGGTACGGAGTAGGAGCAGTAAACATACAACGAAGCTCCCATATGTCTCGCTCCCTCCGGAACAAATTTCTCAAACATTTATTGTGGAGATATTGATGAGTAGGTCTGAGGAGACATCTTGATGGGTGGTCAGGGTCATGAAGGTCATGTGACCTTTCTGGACGAGGTAGATAGACCCTTTGTTTTTTCCCTCTCTTCTTCCCATTTCTCTCTAGGGGACCATACAATGCAGATGGTTCTGTACGCTCTTGCCGTGCTGACGTGACCTGTTGAATACCTGATCTCTCATAAAATCTCATCCTGACCGCTACTTCACGCCGACTTGGATATGCAATCTGCACATGTGGGAAATTGTACGATGTTTTTCATAAAGTCAATAATCCGCAGATCTTTCTTTTTTTTTAACCCCTCTTCGGAGGTGATCATTCGGCCCTGATACATCTTAACACTTTGACTTCCCTAGCCTCATGCATCATCCTTTCTGGTCTTCCTGTTTTATCGCCGATAGGTTTGTCTTATAAAACCGTCGAATTCTTAAAAGGGTTTCTGAGACTTAAAATAAGTTTATCAGGATTTCCTTTCCGCTACTAAGGCATCACGATGTCTCCATCACTGGATCGATTGCCTGGTCTCCCGGGTGACCCGCTCTTCAAAACGCTCCTATATAACGCACAACATATCCATTCTACATTGATCCGGGATACATCTGCTGGCATCGCAGCCACGCCAGCACAATTTCTTCGCGATGTCATTTTCTTCAAGCATCGTATCAACACCCAGTTGGCCACGAGCGGCATCGACGTCCACACTGTGGCGGGAGATGTGGATGTATATATTTGCATTCTCGCCCCACTCAGCTATGAGTTTCTCGTTGCCTTCTATGCCGTTATAGCACTGGGTGGTGTCGCAGTGCCTCTATGTATGGCATTCATTCCCCCCTTCCGTACCTACCACCAGCTGATCAAGATGCAGCAACAAGTATTCTTCCCGAGGAAGGTGCGTGGATTTTGAACAAGTGCCGTGCCAGCTGCTTGCTCGTGGGAACGAATCAAGGCGAACTCGCCTCTCAAATTCGTTCCGAGCAACAACCTGGTCTCGACGTCCCTATCGAATTGACAACGCCCGACAGCTTCCCTCCTCTGCCTTCAGCGGCTACCGGAGATAGCTTTAATCCCAATGGGCCTGGACTCGTGCTGTTTACTTCGGGGACCACGGGACCTCCGAAAGGCGTCGTGCTTCCTCGAAACTTCTTCTTTCCCAATGTCGAGCTGGACTGCGAGTCTCATGATATCGCGTTGGTCTACAGACCTGTGAATGGTCTGTCCGGTATCCTCAACCTCATGGATCTCATATATGTCGGGGCCTGTGCAGAGCTGTTCCCTGGTGGAATTCAACCAGCTATCATCTGGGAGAGACTACGTCAAGGAGGCGTGACTGTGTTAGCGGGTGCCACTCGCTTCTGGCAGTTGTTGATGTTACACTACGAGGAAAACCTCAGCCGGCTCCCTTCATCCGATCTGCAGCAGTATCGCGAAGGGGCATATAACCTGAGGGTTGCATGGTTCGGGGGAGGCCTCCCATCACCGGTCGCGCGACGCTTCTGGCTGCAACTACGCACTGGGAAGTCTTGGATCGTGAAGTATGGGTCGTCGGAGACAGGACGCGAAGCATTTTCGTTTCGGTTTCGGGGGGAGGAGGAGATTGCCAAGGTCAGTGATTCCGTTGTTCATATCGAAACTCAAAAAAAAAGATATTGATCTCCAGTTAGCCCGTCATTGGAACCCCTCTGCCCGGCATGACGGCGAAGTTGAGCGAAGGGGACCATGGGGAGCTTTTGCTTAAGAGTCCGACCATGATGATCGGGTTAGTGCGAGTCCAGCGACCTTCGAGCCATCTAATTCATTGTGATGACAGGTATCTCGATGATGAACAACGTACGCGCGAAACTTTTGACGAAGACGGATATTATAAGACTGGTGATCTTGTCCACCGAGAATCCAGCGGCTTGTGGATTATTGATGGACGAGCGACCGTGGATTGTGAGTGAAATGATAACTAAATTCCCCGCGATGATAATTTGACACTAATCATGCTCTAGTTGTTCGGTTCAATGGCCTTCGCGTCTCGGTTAATGAAGTTGAGTCCCACGTCTGCGAACTACCCTACATCGGCGAGGCGTATGTGCTGTGTATTCCAGACTTGCAGTACGGCCAGCGAGTGGGCTGCTTGGTCCGTTGCCGGAATAAAACTTCGGACCTGGATTCGCGAGAAATATCCCTGGAACGACTTCGTGGAGATCTTTCCGACACCTTGTCGGTGTACAAATTACCTTCCATTCTGAGAGTCCTCGAGGCGGATGCTAAACTCCCCACCAGTCCCCAAGGCAAACTTGCGCGCAGTCAAACGATCAATATTTATTTCCTGGATGATACCCAGTCTTCGTGTTTGGAGGTGTGGCCATTGGATGCGGAGGACCTGAGGCCAAAGAAGGCGTGGGATTGGGGTGGTGTCGCCGCATAATGACCGAGAATCTCATCACGATAGATGAAGATCTTCAAACGTGATATTACTGTACATACGTACATATGTACTTTTTTAAAAACCAGTCAATCGGGCCGTCCCCTCCGCAGTACTTATTGAATTGGCGTGACGATCACGATGATCACTGGATGATCATTCTTCTCGACGATCTCTCTTGTTATCCCGTGCTCGATCACCTATCCCTTGCATCTTCGGGTTACCGACGATGTCCATATTCTATTTGATGTGGGAAGCTCTACTGGGGCGATCTGTTCTGGAGCTATCGATGTCCATTCTCCTCGTAGCATCCAGGGAATTTGAATTGGACTCAATCTTCTCCTCTTCATCATTTTTTTTTGCTTCTCACGACACATTCTCATTCAACCAGCTGGCCATAAATTTCTTGCCGGCATTCTCAGCAATGACTGAGCCAACCGCTAATGGAACGGCAACAGGAATCAATGAGGCAGAAGCCAAAAACTTGCGAAAAAAGCCTCCTGCGCCATCGGTACTTTCACGCCCTAAAAAGATCGCAATCATCGTTCTCGTTTCCGCCATGACCTTCATCGGACCAATGGGGGCGGGGATATATTTTCCATCTTTAGCACCCCTTGCCAAGGATCTTCATGTCTCGTTGAGCCAGATCAGTTTGACTCTTACTGCATACATGGTACGATTTTACAACATATTGCATCCCTCATATAGAGCCCTCACTGGCCCAAGTACAAAACGAGCTGACACGCACCCGGCAGCTGTGCCAGGCCATATTTCCGCTATTCATAGCGGGCATGTCCGATGAGCGAGGGCGCCGACCTGTGTTGATCGTCAGTCTAGTTGTATGCATCGCCATAAATATTGGCCTCGCGAAACAGACCACCTATGTTGGACTAATGGTCCTTCGCTGCCTGCAGAGCTGCAGCAGTAGTAGTGTGTCCATTGTCTCAATGGCTACCGTACACGATATTCTTCTTCCCACTGAGCGCAAGGACTACCGAGCCTATACTTCGGTGGGCTATTCAATTGCTTCAGTCGCCAGTCCACTTATCGGTGGAATTCTGGCGCAATTCTTTGGTTGGCCCAGTATTTTTTACTTTCTGGCCGCCGTTGCGGGAGTTGGGCTTCTCCTTGTCACTACAATTTTCCCAGAAACCTGTCGTGCACAGGTCGGAAATGGTACCGTTCCCCCAAAGCCATGGAATCGTCCTATCATGAAGTTGTTCTGGCCGCCGTCTACTTCTCCTCCCGAATATGACACTCGCATCCCGCCAAAACGACGATCATCCATTCTCCAAACAATACAAATCGCGCTTCACAAAAAAGCCTTTCTCATAATGATATCTCAAGCTGTTCTCTTTGGTGGTTCCGTTGCGATACTTGTCACCATCCCGCTTGTATTCACAGCGAAATTCCACTTCAACATGATCGAAGTTGGCGCTACGCACGTCTCCTACGCCATAGGGGGATTCACATCTCGTTGGATATATGCTCCATTGATGGGCGCGAATATCAGAAGGCATAAGCGGTTGGCTGGGGTGGGCAAAGAACCCCAATCTGGTGAACCAATAGTCATCCGCAGTGAGCGAGCCAGGCTTCAAATCGCCCTTCCCACCGTATTCCTGGGGACTGCATTTGTCGTCGCCTACGGTTGGGCTCTCCACTCCGGTATACACGTCGCAGGTCTGATAGTGATACTTTTCTTTGTGGGAAATACCTCGACGGGTGCGAGGACACAGCTGGCGGGACTGATCACGAGTCTACACCTACACCAGACCGCCAGTGCTTCGGCCGCTAGCAATTTTTTTCGCTTCATGTGTGCCGCAGGGGCTGCGGCAGCAGTAAGCCCCCTGATTCAAGCTATTGGAACGGGTTGGATGGGATCTCTGATTGCCCTGATATATCTGGGCGCTGCTGGCCTACTGTGGGTTGTCTACGCACACGGGCATAAATGGCGTCCGGAGGGAATACAAATCGCCAGTAGCGACGAGTGATTGAAAACAATTATAGTTAGTTGATTATTGATTATTTGTATATAATGTGATTGACAAGTCAAGTCAATGGACATAGAGACAGGAACCCTCGAGCCTCATACAGACCGACATTCTAAAATACGCCACCAGTCTCGAAAATTAGATGCATCTACGTAGTACACACTGCCAATTAATTTTAAATAGTGCTTAATCAAGACCAAGCTAATTCCGCCAATAGTTTTTCTACATTACTTGTACTCCGTACTCGTCAATTCACTGCCCCACCCCTTCCCGGTGTTGCCTCACAGTGCAGCCTGACTATGTGGGATTGCTAGTTACTTAGTCAAAAAGTAGGTGTAGCTCTAGAGTTACACCTGCATATCTTCTAAGGTTTTTTTTCTTCTTTGCCATCAGCACTATTTACCTAATTTCTGATCTTGCCTACTCGTCCAATTTTCTACTTAAGTAGCCCACTTCAATCACTTAAGTACTTAAGTACCATATTCTTGTACAGCTATATCCCACCCTTTTCCAGCTAGCATGGAGCCGCCTGATATTTATACAAGATTTCCCAATGATCCATGCTTCTCTCAGTTACTTACCACTGCGAAGCAAAAGGGCTCCTCAATCATTGTCAACGATCCTGGATGTGGCGTGAAAGCAGATTACAATCGGCTTCTCCGCGATGTCTCGACTGCCCGGCAAAGCCTCTGTGGAAGCCTGCCGTCACAATGGATTCGCAGCGGCAGGATCTCCAGTGAAGATCCCGTCTATGTGTGCACACTCTTCCGGGCAAATTACAATTTCGTTGTTGCTCTTCTGGCAATTTTGGCTACCGGTGGCGCGGCCGTACCTCTTTGTAAGACCTCAACAATGGGATGGTTTAACTCGGGATCAAGAACTTACAAAATCCAGCCACTGAGCTCCTACTTGACGAAGCTTTGTCATTGATTCTCAGATGCAGGGCTACACACCTGCTGGTCGAATCGGAGAATGCAGAATTTGCCGAGAAGATTCAAACCCATCTCCAAGAACACAGCGGATACTGCCTTAATATCGTCAGAATCGATCCGTCAAAAGACATCAAGCCTGTCTCAGCGCACTCCTACACCATCGAGGATGATGAAAGCTTCTCGCCAGAACGAGTCGCCTTGGTCATTTTCTCCTCGGGGACCAGCGGACCACCAAAGGCGATCGTCCATAGCCGGCGCGTCTTTTATCATGCGCAAGTCTTACTGCCACCCCAAAAAGACGGTCACGATATTTTCCTCGTGTACCGCAACGTTGTCGGCGCAACTGGAGTTCTTCCATTGGTCCGGTACATTCTGACTGGCGTCCAGCTAGAGATGTTGAATCAGAAGTGGGATCCTGCGATGATGTGGGAGCGGCTGCGTAAGGGTGATCTGACGATGTTTGTCGCTCCTCCGACTCTATGGCTGATGCTTATGAGGCACTATGAGACTTTCATCATGCATCTACCAGAAAAGGAGCGCGCAGCTTACGTTCAAGGACTGAGTGCTCTGCGTGTCGCGGTGAACATCGGAGCTTCCGCTATGCCTGAATTGAAGCGATTCTGGTGGGAGCTGCGTGGTGGGCGAGCGCTACAAAATTCATACGGTAGCACTGAGCTAGGTTGCTCCGTGATCAGATCCTCGATTGACGAGCCGCCGGAAAATTTCGATGTAAGTATAATGGACTAAATTTGCCGATTCTTTCAGATTTTTAACCAGAAGGACTGACAAATTTTGAAAAACAGAGGCCAACCCTCGGGAAGGCAAAAAAAATGTTTGATGTGAAGCTCTCTAACGAGACTCATGGAGAGATCCTCGTTCGGTCTCGGTTTGTGTTTGCTGGGTAAGACATTGTCCGATCGTGGATAGAAAGATGAAATCCGAACTTCCTACACTCTGCTGATCGATCTATAGCTACCTGGACGATTCCATGAACATCACAACATCCTCACTCCTGGATGAAGAAGGATATTTCCACACCGGAGACCTTGCACACATGGAAGGCGATGACTTCATTATGGATGGCCGTGTAGGGACCGACTGTTCGTATTCATCACCTTACATTGGTGCACCGGAGACTAATTATCTACGAACCACGCACAGTCATAAGAACCATTTTTGGATCCCAAGTCCCCCGACTGTCGGTGGAAGCACAGCTATCACAGCATCCCCAAATCATCGAAGCTTTTATCGTACCAGTGCCAGACCCTGCATGCGTTAATCGCGTCGGAGCTATTGTTCACTCCAAGTCTGGCGCTCTCGATCTTGATGAGCTTCGCGAAGAACTCTCAGCTCATCTTCCCTTGTACCAGCTACCTACAATCCTCTACGTGGTGAGAAGTGGAGAAGAGATCCCCCGAACGCACACACACAAACTTGACATGAAAAAGGCAGTGGAAAAATTCTTTCCCTCGGTATCCCATTGCTCGCTAGACTCATGCTCGAGGAATATTCAAATCTATGATATGGCAAAGCTGGAAATCATGAAACCAGAGCGCCCATGGGATTGGGCTGGGATGCAGAACGAGACCGAAAGAAGTGCATGATTGAACCCCAATCGGTATAATCACGGAGCTGTGGATTTTCGAAGATTCCTTGGTAGCTCATTGTTTACTCGACATTAAATCAGATCAGTGCCAATTTACAGGGCGTCATTAAGAGGTTACTCTAGGATCATTATCTTAAATTGGTAGGTTGTCCCTGTAATGCAGCGGTGAGCACGGAGTACTCCGTATAGAATTGTGTATCATCTACACCGTACTCCGTATTTTTAGACTTATAAAAAGTCGTAGAGAGCTGTGGGGCGGAGTTAAGAGATCGATAGTTTAGAAGAATACGAGGTGGTAGGTACGGAGTACTCCGTAGTGTACTTAGTACAATATGCAGGCGAAAAAGGATTGGATCCGGCTGAATATGTCTGCTGCAGATCACCAGGAAAATAGATACTAACTATTAAATGCAAGCATTCTAAGCTTAATAAGGTTGGAACAAGGTAAGTATTTTCAGCCTCCCAGAACTTTATACCCGATGAAACACAAGTTTTCGACCTGAACCCATTCAATGCAGTATGTGGGTAAATCGAGCTAGGCTGAGTCAACTGAGAACATCGATACTATCACAACCTGAATTTATAGCAAAAGCTTGTCATATACTGAGCATCAATGTCAAAAACGTGCGAGTGCTTCCGGTGCCAAGTGTAAGGCTGCAAGCTACGTAGTTCGACAAAGCAAGGGGTCTCACCGTGGTTGCCAAGCGATTCCCGAGATCGAATCTCACACCTTGAGGAGCTAGGGGTTTGATGCATGTTCATTGTCACCTAGTTACGCGTATTTTGCCAAGGGTTCGACATTCCAGTCAGCCTCCTGGAACTTTGCATGCACGAGTGCTCACTTTGTCCCGCAGATCTTACAAGATCAACCGCAATGGCTACTCCGATGGATTCGTTTACAGGTCATTCCAGGCAATCATCCCGAGATCTGCAATAACCTGCAATAGGTCGATCGTGGAAAAAGGAAAACAGGAATAATGATCTTCTAGTTTGTTTCTGTTTTGGTTTCTAAAGTTAACACGTTGATCCCTCCGAAACCCTGGAGCAACTCTTCTTTCAATGCCCGCCTGGGCAGGATTCGTGTGACATGATATCGCTCTATAAGTCATGATGTGTATATAACAGTAGAATCAATCCAGAGTCCCTCGGATAAGATTTTTTGTATTTTTTGCATTTGCGTGTATTGTTGTTAATTTCAAAAAAAAAAAAAAACAACAACAACAACAACACAACACAGCCGCCATGTGTCAGCCATTCAACTATCCAATCGCTAATTTGTCCACCATTCGGGTCTCCGATTTGCGAAATGGATGTCCATCAACGGCCAGCGAAGTTCTCGGGGCTGCCAAAGAAGATGGGGTGTTTTATTTGGATTTCACAGACAGCAAGGAACTCCGCACAGGCATAATTCCGGAAGTACAGGGATTCAGTCGAGAGCTTTTTCGGCTTGGGCTTGATCAGAAGATGGAATTCGACATTGATCAATTGGCGCCCTTCAAGACCAATGGGTAAGCTCACTCATCACGACATCCTATACACAAGCTAAATGGCGCGAATAGGTACAAGCCTATCGGTCGCAACGTCGGGGGAATCTCAGGTCAAAGTGATGGATTTGAAAGCTACGCAGTAAGCTAGCAAGGCATCTATTTTATTAATTATGGGTTATAATGACCACTCGGGACAGCTTCCATGCAGCAGTATCATCGCCGAAGAGCCAGACAACTTCCCTCGGCCGGGTATCGTCGATTCACACATAGTCACCTTGCGGGATCTTACTTCCTGGTGCCATGAGATAGCACAGTCGATTCTTCGAACTTTATCAAACGCCCTCGAGCTCCCGCAGGAAGTTGCGCTGGAGAGTTTGCACAACGCGTCCGCCTCCCATGACATTATTCGCCTCTTGCGATATGAGAAAAACACATCCCCCGGTGTACTTCGCGTGCCACAAGCTGCTCACACCGACCTGGGCTCCCTGACGTTCCTATTCACGGACAGTCCGGGATTGCAGACGCGTGCACGGGACAGCAGCGAGTGGGAATACGTGATGCCTAAGGAAAACTGCGCGATAGTCAATCTGGGCGATGCACTGAGCATGTGGACGGAAGGGGCTTTGAAGAGTGTTCTTCACCGGGTGGCATCGATGCCGGGACAGGGAATGAACGAGCGTTACAGCTTTGCCTTGCTGATGAGACCGACCAATACAGCTCCCATGTGCTCTTTGCTCCATGGGGCGGCACCAGATGGGCAGCTTCGTTGCGAAGAGTGGATCAGTGCAAAGTTCAAGGCCTTGAGGGGGACGAAAGATGGTGGTCCCGTTCGTTCTATGTGTCGTGACGCGGATATCAGAGCTGGACGGCTCGCAACAGTGTAAGCGGATGATTGCACTTCTTTGTGACTGGAGATCAAAAGTTAAGCCTCAATTCTCGGCGGGGGCCCTTTCATTAAAAGATTGTATGTAGCAGTTTTACGATAAAGCTTCGCGTTCGTTCGAGCTGCTGTATCCCACATTATGTGCCGCAGGCTATCTGCCAAAGCAGGCCATCAACTAGCGCCTAATGCTCATAAAGCATTCTGTGCTGCAATTCGTGCTCTACGCTGGCGCGAAGAAAGGCGGCGGATCCCAACACGCTATTGTACAAGAGTGGTTGCTTGGTATAATACTAAAATCATATTTTATCAGCTTCTTTCGTCTTGAGGGTGTCCGGGAATCACCAAAACGAGTTTGCCCGTTTTCGTTCGTACCTCGTAGCTAGCTGTGGAGTTCAAGCTGCATACAGCGACGGTTCCGTTATAGCCTAGAGTGCCGTCTTGATTCTCCACGACGAACCTATCCACGAGCGCGTGATAAGCCCGAGTGGCAACGCTGGTATAATTTGCTCGGAGATGATCAATGGAGTTCTGAGAGAGGGGCTCCTGAGGGTTGTTGTCTTGCAGAAGGCCAAGTCGCACCCCCTTATAGAGGGCATAGGTGAACATGGCAGACCCACTAGATTCAATGTAGTTGCCTGTTCGTCCCGGGGAGGACATCACTTGCCACCAGCAGCCAGAGGCAGGATCCACTGCTTGGACTACAGCATTGGCAAGGTCAACGAATCGTGCACGCCATGTCGCCACACGGGAGTCCATAAGCGAGAGCTCTAACAGGTCAATCAATCCCATCATGAACCAGCCCAGGGCACGATCCCAGACAATTGGACTAGCACCGGTCTTGGGGTTGGCCCATGAGGCGGTCTTTGTTGCATCATATCCATGAAAGAGGAGCCCTGTCGTATTGTCATGACAATGCTCCCACATGAGTTCAATCTGATGGAAGAGGTCATTGTTGACCTCGGTCATGTTGGCAATATCCATGTTTGCGGTATACAAGGGGTAAAATGACAAAAGTGAGAACATCCCATCCAAGGAGCTCCAATTTGGATAGACATAATACCACAGTCCGCCTGTCTCAGTGTCAGCCAAGAACAAGGAGCTCGCAAGGTCGACGATTGGAGAACACAGGACCATGAATGATGAAATTTTTAATTACCGAATAGATTCCGCCGCTGTAGGTCAATCGAGGTACGCAGAGCAGCAAGTGTTTTCTTGTATGTGTTGGTCCCGGTTTCGTCGTATCTAAGATCCCGGATTTCGGCTTGATTAGGAAACTCATGCGGGCTGAGGAGGGGGGGTTTCATCAAGGACGTACAGGTACAACAGTCCTCTACCAACGGAGAGCCGATCGAGTGGAAGCGTGGCATCTTTGGTTGCATTATCAACAACCTCAACAACACTGTCAACGCTTGCGGTCACGTAGGTTTTCCAGTTTTGCCCCATGTAACGACCCGAAGGCGATTCTATTAGTTCCATCAAGGCAGTCTGGAAAATCCCAACCTGCAAAATGGACGATGCATCGTTTTGATTTTCGAGAAAGGCTTGTCCACGCGCGATGATGGAGTCGGCCATTCGAGCCGAGTAGGGCCTTGCAGTGGTGTTGGCGGGTGAAGACGCTGCATTGTTGGCTTGACTGAAGAGCAGCGCGCATAATATTGGAAGGAACGAAAAAAATGAGCTTCGCAATGCCATCTTGTTGGATTCACCACTCTTGCGCAGAATAGCAGGTCTGTCCAAATCGCAGTCGAGCGAATAGGAGGGATTTGCGGATGAGCCTCCGAGACTCCAGGGCTGACGCGTGTGGAGGCCTCAGCAGGAGCTGTTATGATGGGCCAATCATAGTCTGCGGACCCGTGTCGTACTGAAGTTGCAGATCGGGGCATGATCCTCCCGGGGTTATTGGAGATGCACTTGAGATTGATCGGCTCTGCGAGAGGGGGCTTAGTCCACACATACAATGGGCACGGCCCGTCATTACGATACTGAAAAGAAGACGAAAAAAACATACAACAGTGAGGATTCGCTGGTGGTCACCCACCCAACTACTAACTCACCGGCGTGTGGCTTAAGTACGGCTGAGCGGACGGGAAGCCCTGTTCTCCACACCCTGTGGTCGTATGTGCTCTATATGAGTTAATACAGGCTTGAGAAGCACCAACGAAGCGATTTTGTTAGGATTCTCACTGTATGAAGTTCAAGATCGGCTTTAGAGTTACAAGAAAATATCGAAGCCGTGTTAAATATGCTGTTGTCTCACCATACTCTTAAAGAAAATTGCGAGTAGTCCCAAGGTCCTGTAGTCTTGAAAGTTGGATAGAACATAGAAACAGAAACACAGATTGACCTAGAGGGAAAAAAGATACTTGGAATGTCCTTATGAAGTACACGAAAATGCGATATTATCCAACTTTAGAATTTCTGCGGGCCAAGTGTCAGCTTAGGTCCTCACTATTAACGCTACGAGATATGTGGTACATACAAACCCAAACACTGGCGGCAGATGCACTCGTTGTTGACCATGTAAATCCGGACCCAAAGCTTTCGAAGAATGATCTCGTCAGAATTATCGTCCTTCGGGTCCCTGAACTTGTATCCTTGCTGCACCAACTCTGTGCGCTGAGCTTCTTTCACCACATGCTCCTCTTCCTTAGTGGAGGAACGCAGAGTGAGGCGGCCTACTACCATAGCAAGCATACCGAACATCTTTCTCAAAGGAACAGGGATTACATGGGAGGTGATTCTGTCCCCTACCTCGGGGATAATGTCTGCGAGCCTTTGACATTTCTGTGGAAAGCAGGTGAACGCGGCGTCAGATTTATCTGTGATCAATGTCCACATGGAGATTGTGTTGCTCATGCGAATCAGCTCCGTTTTCATCGCAGCTGCTCCGCGCCCCTTTGTATCGCCGATAGACAAGGCGGCGAGCTCCTCTACGAAGGAATCACGCTCGGCTGGGAAGTTCTTAATGACACTCTTTTTGAACTGTGGATCCATGGTCTGCTGTTAGTGGGAAGACTTTGATGTTAATGTTTGCGGATATAGATGTATGCCGAGGCTTCAATAATGCTCAAGTACGAATGCTGTTGATAAGTAGTTTGATTTAAGGAGATACTTAAGTATTACCTCAAATCGGGCGACTGCAAGCCTTATATATTTCTAAAGTTGCCATTTTGATTTATTGTGGCCTTGAAAGTGACATCCCCCCACCCCAATGGTATTGTTGCACAATAAAGCCTTTCACTAAAATGTCTGCCATGAATTAAAAGAGAATTGTGACCGGGAAACGACTGAAAGGAATAAAGAAGTAGGGAAACAAGGCACCTACCTCTGCCAACAAAGGCCTTTAAGACCACATAGCAATCATAAGTAGAATTTATACAGTGTATACGAAAACAAAAAACACACAGTGCATGAATCTGTTCTTTAGCTCGATGCGATCGAGGCATGGGGGGGGGGGGGGGTGGAAAGAGTGCCATTAACGAATATAGATACTTGGGAGAAACTATCAAGAAAGCAACCGAAAGATTCGATGGGAGGTCCACCTATGCTCTCGATCAAATCTTCGAACCTGCAAATTGGCGTATGTGCCAAGGCTCTCATCTCCCCTCCATATTCAGATCTCGAATGGAGATTGATGGAAAGCGCAATAACCGCTGCATTCAAGATCTTCGAATTGAAGCAAAGAGGTTTCATCTATCATTGCTTGAGTTTGCATGAAAATTATTTGAAAGTGGGCGAGAAATGAAAGGAGAGATTTTTAAATTGCGTGGCTAGTGTGAAGGGGGAGATCCTCCAAACTCAACTAGGCCTTGGGTTATCTGAAATGTCAACACTCCAAGTACATTTTCATGAAAGGAGCTAAGCTTGAAACTGACATTTTTGACATTTGTGCCTGTGGAGTTTCATCGGTGAATGTCGTGAAGCTAAGCATTTTGCTCAGTGCTTGTCACGAATCAGGCAATTATGGCGAGCATCACGAGAGCTTCATTGCCTAATAGAGATGCCTGCGGTCGGGCTGTTTCTTTCTCTGATCTCAGTCTTTTTTCTCTATCTACGGAGTGCATTTTTTTATTTTGAAGCTTTCCCTTCTCACCGTCGGTTCTTCTCTCTTCTTGCAGGTGCCTCCCTTGCGTCAATATACTCAAAGAATGACCGAGTCCAAGGGGCCAATAGGGCTGGGTGTGGACTCCAAAGTTTCCCCCGAACCCAGATCACAAAGCGAGGTACCGGACGCACCTTCAGTCGGAGGCCTCGATTTCGAGGAATACACCCGCGGCGGTCTTGGTAGACACCTTGGAATATTTTCTACCATTTTCTTAATGTGCGTTGAAAAAAAATCAAAGACATTTATCAACTAACCTGTGGACAGCGTTGGTCGTATCATAGGTACCGGAATTTTTTCTACGCCTTCTTCAGTCACGAGCAGTGCTGGAAGTGTAGGCGCAGCCCTCTTATTATGGGTATTGGGTTTGCTACTTGCGGGAGCGGGTCTTTCCGTCTGGCTGGAGCTTGGCTGCATGATACCACGCAGTGGAGGTGAAAAAGTCTACCTCGAGGCCGTGTATCGGAAGCCTAAGCTCCTGATAACCGTTGTGTTTGCAGTTCAAGCAGTTGCTCTTGGCTTCACAGGTAGGCTTTCCAAGTCTCTCTTTCTGACACCAAACTAACAGTTTCATAGCCTCCGGGTGTATTGTGTTTGCATCTAACGTTGTCCTTGCGGCAGGGAGAAATGCAACTGAGTGGGAAGAGCGAGGAATTGCAATCGCCGTGATTGTGTCCATCACGATGTTGCATACCTTTCTTCCAAACTGGGGAGTCCGAGGAATGAATGTCATTGGTGTCATCAAGGTTATACTACTGCTTTTTATTGTTATAACTGGATGGGTGATACTCAGCGGGCGAGTATCAAGCGTTGAGGACCCTTATGCGAGTTTTCACAACTCCTTCGAGGGCTCAGCAACGTCAAGCAACCTATATGCGACCGCGCTTTTTAAAGTTTTGAACTCATATGCTGGGTGAGCTACATAAAGACTCTTCCTGGTTGGAATGTGAGATTGTTAACAAACAGAAGATGGTCAAACGCAGCTTACGTGGTGAACGAAATCCGCAATCCAATTCGCACGATGAAGATCGCCGCGCCAATTGGTCTCGCTATCTGCGGCATCCTATACCTGCTGGCCAATGTCGCATATTACGCAGCTGCCACTCCACAGGAGATTGCACAAAGCGGTGTCACTGTTGCTGCATTCTTCATGGGCAAGGTCTTCGGGACAGCGGCCAAACGTGCCTTGAGGTAGGTAAAGCTTTCATCTTTTACTTCCTATGCTCACATATCAAATTTCAGTGTCTTCGTTGCGATCTCCGCATTTGGAAACGTCATGACGGTCACTTTCGCCCAGGCCAGAGTCAACCAGGAGCTTGCGAAAGAAGGGGTGATCCCCTTTCCGGAGTTTTGGGCGTCGAGCTGGCCATTCGGATCACCCTCGGCGGGATTGCTGCTGCATTTCATCCCCTCATTTATTGTCATCGTGGCAATTCCCTTTGGCGATGCTTACAACTTCATCCTTGATCTTGAAGGATACCCAGGAAGTGTGATCAACTTCTTGGTTGTAGCTGGACTGTTCTATCTCCGGTGGACAGCAGCAGAAATCCCCCGGCCGTTCAAAGTCTGGTGGCCTGTTGCATTTTTCTTCATGGTCGCTCAGGCCTTCCAACTCGTTGCGCCGTTTATCAGACCACCAGGAGGAAAGGGTGACACTTCACTTCCATACTGGCTTCCGTATGTTATAGGAATTGTGGTTTTGCTTGCTGGTATCGTGTACTGGGCACTTTGGCAAATCATTCTCCCCTCGTTTGGAAAGTACAAACTTACACCACAGCACTCTGTCTTGTCAGATGGCACTACCGTTGTCGTATACAAGAAGCAAAAGCTGATCTAACTTTAGAAGTCAAGTTTTGAATTTATGGAGCCTGAGCTCCAGAGTGAAAAACGATTGAATCCAAATTGACTGTTGCCGAATTAATGGATTGGAAAACTCACTACATCGACTTAATCCTCGACACTGTCAACCCCTGCAATGTAAATCCCTTTTCCTTGCTTAAGTGGCCGAGGAGAGTTGCAAATCCAGCCCCTCAATGCCGTGCTTCAGGCCAGGGGCCAAAATGCAACAAAGTGATATAAACAGTGAACCTAGCCCTGGAGATATCACTTATTTCTCCTCTGATTCAAGGTTTTTATTGAACATTAGCTTACTTCTAAGTTAGTACTTATGAGCATGATATCACTGTGAGCTTGACGACATCCTTTGGAAACCAAATCAGGAAATTACTTTCACAAAGACAAGCTTGGTCTCCACGGCCCTCTCGGACAGTTATCCGAAGCAACATGATGTTGAGAAAGGTGCAATTATGGGTCTGATGACGAATATGTACCGCACCGTTTTGGCCATCATCATCAACATTGGAGGTCGAGCTTTTGAAGCGCCCAATTACTCTCAAGAGGTGGACCTTCTAAAGTTCTAAAGTTGTTAATACGTAGGCCTCTTCAATAAATCTGGAAACTATCTTATAACAGGTCTGGCATTGTCGGTGCTGAAAACCCATGTCGTCTATAAACCCCCCGAATTAGCGATGCAACTTCCGTATGGCGTGCTATGTGCTTATGTTTGAACACCGGCGAGGCCAGACAAATCTAGCTGGATATGTTCATAAGGGCATGATATAATTCTCATTTTTAAATTTGGTCACTGGATAAAGAGTGAGGACTCAAATCTTCATGGTGGCTAAATTCTCAAGAAAGCGAAACGAAAGTGGGTTTATATATTTTACCCACAATGTCGCTTGAACACCAAAATGAGAAAGGCGGCGAGGTTGAAACTCAACAAGTCGCAGCTTTTGACGAAAGAATTATCAAAGACAGTGGTATAACCTTTACTGCAGCCGAGGGCTTCAATTCCACCGCGGTAACTTACCAAGATGCGGCTGGTGCACCCGTGGAAACAAACTCACCACTGGGATACTCGGTGAGCTTCTGGACGAGTTTATGTTTAAACATAAATCAAATGATTGGAACGGGTATATTTTCAACACGTAAGTTTCAGCCTTTGAATATTCACCCCAAACTATGATCTTCCTCTAGGTCGGTCCTACCTATTACATGTTGCTCAAGTGCTGACAACATGGAAAGCGGCCTCAATTCTTGATGGCGTGGGCTCGGTTGGGTTGACCATGGTGTATTGGTTTATCGGATACCTTCTTTCAGAAAGTACACTTGCCCTTTACCTGGAATTTGCTTCTTACTTCCCCAGTCGCTCTGGGGCCGAAGTCGTGTATCTGGAACAGGCATTCCCCTACCCCAAATATTTCTTCCCAACGATATTTGCGGCAAAGCATGTGGTTTTCTCTTTCGGAAGCAGCAATGCAGTTGTGTTGGCCGAATATATCTTTGGCATCGGTGGCTTGTCCTATACGAATTGGCAACTGAAGGGGGTTGCAGTGGCGGCATACACAGTTGCGTTCATCGGTTGGTATTCCTAAGCGCACAAAAGATCGAATGAAAAGACTGACCAGACGAAAAGCCGTGAGTGTGAACACGAAATGGTCAATGCGACTAGTTGTGGTGTTTGGCTTCGTGAAAGTTTTGACGTTACTCTTGTAAGCTCCCAACTCCACTTTGGTCCGCCCTCTCACTAACCACACTTCACTAGAATCTCGATCGCAGGATTGATCGTACTTGGTGGTCATACCAAGGTTGAAGACCCCAAGGTGAACTGGCGCAATCCATGGGAAGGCACCTCAAACGCGTCCGCCTATGGCGCGACCAACGCAATGGTGAAACTGATCTTTTCCTATGCCGGCTATACCAACGCTTTCAGCGTGGTAAATGAGATCAAGGTAATTAGCACTTTGTTTGTCATCAACAGGAAGTGACTTGACATTTTTACAGAACCCCGTGAAAACACTCCGGTGGAGCGCTCCACTCTCGCTCATAGGCGTGACAATACTCTACATCCTAGTGAATGTCGCGTACTTCTCTGCAGCGTCACGCGAGGAAATCCTCGCATCAAAACAAATTGCCGCTGCGATATTTTTCGAAAAGGTGTTTGGGTCCAACCGAGTTGCGCGTGGGCTGAATGTGCTCATTTGCGCGGCCGCCTTTGGCAACTTGATGGTCGTGATGATCAACTATTCGCGCATGCTTCGAGAAACTGGGAGGTAAGAATGCAACGTTGACATCGTCCATGTTAAAATGGCAGAGGATTTAACCTCTTGTTTTTACAGGCAGGGTATTCTCCCCTACCCTAAGTTCTGGACCTCTACCAAGCCATTCGGGACACCGCTTGGGCCATATATTGTGCAGTGGGTCATCACAGTGATCATGATCATTGCTCCTCCAGCCGGCGATGCTTTCAATTTCAGTTCGTTCCCTACCGTATCAGAAGCATGACATCTCTAACATTCTGACAATCTGCAGTCGTCGATCTCGCAGTCTATCCCGGCAACATCTTCAACTTCCTCTTGGTTATTGGTCTACTACTGATCCGCAGACAGCGCGCACGCATGGGACTGCCAAGACCAGAATACCGGGCATGGAACATTGCAATTGCCTTTGCGCTCGTCACCAATGTGTATATGCTGATTGCACCTTGGTACCCACCGACAAGCGGTGCCAACGGCGGAGATGTCAGCTTTTGGTACGGCACATATTTGGTCGTGAGCATTGGATTGTGAGTAATCTCCCTGCAAGCGAACTTTTCCAGGCTAACCCCAAAACAGATTGGTCCTCTGCGGCATTTACTACTACCTCTGGATTGGTTTGCTCCCTCGTTGGAAGGGATATGAGCACCGACAGACCCTGGTGGAGCTTGACGATGGATCGATTACCCACCAACTTGTCAAAGTATCGAAAGAAGACTTAACCCGGTGGGACGACGAGCACGACGCCACAGGTCGGGTTTATCGACGAACCGGCTACAGTAGCGCAGACCAGGGCTCGAACTCAAATTGAGATCTCATCGTGGACAATGGGTTTCAAGTCCCGGTAAATCCAATTGAGACATCGGTTCAGGGTCTCGAAGAGGCTGCCACATCCAGGTTTCATGTTGGCTATGGTCATGCAAAGAGGTATGACACACGCACACGGCTGTTATCATATCCCGGACTGTCCCGATATTGCAAAACCCCCGGATTTCTCCGGAAACGTTTTGCCGCGTTTTGTGTCACCGGGACTCATAATGTTAGTTTTTAACCTTAGATATGCGACGCCCAGATAGGAAATCAACGTGGGAAAGACCCACTCAAAGGACCCACAAATTCCCCGAGTCCCGACTGTTCACATCTCCCATTGGTTCAATTCTTATCAGTCAAGCCACGCCAAGACAATGTTATCTGTTATCTTTTGTCATTAGATTCAGTCCCTGGGCCCATCGAACTATCTGGGGTATGGAGAGGCTCTCATATAGAACTGGGGTTGCCGGGTGAAGCAGATGCAAAATAAGTCAGTTTACCTCAATACGAAGATGTCAAAAGAAATCGAAACAGGGCCGTTGCCCGAAAAGCAAGAAGTACCAGTGACCATCACAAGTGTGGACATTGATGCGGAGGCAGAACGTGCCTTAGTATGGAAATTTGATCTCCGCCTCCTGCCAGTACTGGCAATTATGTATCTCTTCAACAGCTTGGACAAATCAAATCTAGGAAATGCCAAAACAGCTGGACTTGTTGGTGAGTTAACCTGGATGGAATGTCACAGTGCTTTTGTCACTAATCACTTCTCTTGTACCAGACACCCTCGGCTTGAAAGGAAACCAATACAACCTCATTCTCAGTATCTTCTTCGTCCCATATGTCTTGATAGCGCCGTTCCTCGGCCTTTTGGGAAAGAAGTTCGGGCCCAACATTGTCCTCCCCTGCATGATGCTTGCCTTTGGTATCTGCACCATTCTTGTCGTCGCAGTTTTCAACTTCAGTGGTCTATTCGCGATTCGATGGTTTTTGGGAATGGCCGAGAGTGCCTTCTTCCCATTGGTGATCTACTATCAAACAACGTATGTTCACTCATCCCTTTGCTTTGACATATCCTAACTTGACAATCAGGTTCTACCGCCGTGGTGAGCTGGCTCGCCGACTGGCTATTTTCTACGCGTCACAAACCATTGCATCCGCCTTTTCTGGCTTGCTGGCATTCGGGATCTTCCGCATCGAATCAGGCCCTCTTGCTCCCTGGCGCTATCTCTTCTTGATTGAAGGCTCAGGCACTGTCGTGTTTGCCTTGTTTGCTCTTTGGTACCTGCCTCGGTCGGCCGCAGAGGCATCCTTTCTCACACCCGAAGAAAAGGAATTAGCCTACCTGCGACTGCAGGTTGACAGTTCTTCTGTGGTTAATGAAAAGCTCGACATTCGTGATGCGTTCCGTGTGTTCAAGCACTGGATGAGCTGGGCTATCCTGGCTATCCAGATCTGTCTTGGTGTTCCTCTGCAGTCCGTCCAGCTCTTTTTGCCAGTCATTATTCAACGTCTGGGCTACAGCACCGTCAAGACCAACCTATACACCGTGGCCCCGAACATCTCGGGTGCTGTTGTTCTTCTCATCCTGGCTTTCAGCAGTGATTACACCAAATGGAGGTTCCCCTTTATTGCCGCTGGTTTCCTTTTCACTTTCATCGGCTTCATCATCTACGCCACCATTGATGTCCAGCAGGATCTGGGCGTGGCATACTTTGCTTCGTTTTTGATGACCTGGTAAGTTCCAAGGTTCAAATTGAAATTGGATTGGGAACATGATACTAACAGTTCATTACAGGGGAACATCTGCACCATCTGTTCTTCTAGATGCCTGGTACAACAACAACACTGCGAACGAAGGACGACGTGTGGTGTTGACGAGTATTGCTGTTCCCATGGCCAATTTGATGGGGGTGGTCAGCTCCAATATCTTCCGCACTCAAGATGCGCCCGAATATCTCCCAGCCTTGATCACCACGGCTTCCTTCGGCGGCTGTGGCATTGTGTTGACCCTTTGTGTCGGATTCTGGATGATGGCTGACAACCGGAGACGAGACCGAAAGCAAGGCATTCAAGTCAATCCGCGGGACGTTCCCACGGAATTGCTTCATGAAGGCCCTGCCAGTGATGATTTCCGTTGGTTCTATTAGGTGTATACCCTGATAGTTCCTCCATTTCATGTATATATTAGATCTTTAGAAGAAAGCGAATAATGAATTTAATGTCAAGTCTATACTTCAGGACCTACAGATAGGGCTTGGTACATCCCTAACCCTGAGTATTTCAGCTCTTCACAACTGAGTCTATACTTATTCCAATGTAAACTAGTCAGTCTAAGTTCTCAAGTTGATCAAGGTAACTAATGCATAGTATATACTTAAGTAGATGAGACTTGGCTATGAATGATGTCATCTGATTGAGCCACTCAACGGCCTGGACTGGGTCGTCAACGCTGATTGGCCAGTTCCCTGTCGCCAGCGAGGTTTCGAAAAAACCGGATTGCAGAACTCCATTTTCACTGCGCCTTTCTGCTTCTTCTTCCTTCAATATATCTATCATCGAAATATAATGTCGGAAATCGGGGGCAACTCCGAACCAACTTACAGATTGGCGCAAGAACGGGAATTCTACAAGTACGAGAGATCCAGACCCACTCGATCTCCAGATCCACTGACACGGTCGCAGATACATCCCGCGACAGCATGCCGCAACACATTACGCCCCGTTCGACAATGCCAGCGAGAATACCTTCACCCCACAGCCCTCCAACGAGTCAGCCTTGACTATCTTCGCCCAGCTGGGTGCCATCCGCCTTGGAACCGAGCGCGCCCTGATCTCGCTCTTCGATCGCACACACCAACATGTCATCGCGGAAGCAACCCCGACCCTGAGTTTGACTGGCGGCGGAATCAGAGATCCTGGCGATCGCCTGATACTGGGATGCTGCGTGTTGCCCAAGGAAAGGGGGTTTTGCCACCACGTTGAGCGGTTGCCTTCCCCTGAATACAACCAATACAATGAAGTGGTAGGGGAGGATACACTGATTGTCCCTGATACATGGGAGAATGAACATTTCAACTCCCCCAAGCGACTGAAAGTACTAGCCGGTGTACGATTTTATGCGGCGGTCCCAATCATAAGCCCCCGAGGTTTCACGATTGGAGCGTACAGCGTGATGGATAGCAAACCGAGGGCGACAGACCTGGATCAGAACCATTTCCAATTTATGAAAGATATGGCTGCGACGGTGATGGAACACTTGACATTGGAACATGATGCCCAGAAGAACCGACAGGCGGAGCGCATGATTGTGGGACTGGGAAGTTTCGTGGAAGGAAGGTCGACCCTGCGCGACTCATGGCGCGAAGCTCGCGCACAGTATGCTGCCTCGGAGCAATCTGGAGAGCCCGTAGAGGGTCAGTTGAACATTGAGCAACAGAATCTCCAGCAGGCAAAGCAGGATCAAGCAGTTCAAAGCCTTCCATTCCGCCCACCTGGAAACTCGACACCTGAGTCGAGATCGAGATCATCCACACCCCGAGCACAAGGAAACTCCCAAGGGAGATCCAAGGGGGACCCGAACCCCACCGACTCGAAACCAAAACCACAAATAACCCAGAATGGCAATTCAGTGCGAAGTGTTCTCGCAGGTGAAAGTCTTCAGGATACAACCTTGTCAACCAGCATCAAACAGATCTTCTCTCGCGCTGCGAACTTGATTCGGGAATCACTCGGGGCAGAAGGTGTCATGTTCCTAGATGCCAACAGTCAACGTTTCGGTAGTCTGGTCAAACAGAACCGGCGCAGGGTTTCAGGTCTCCCTTCGAAAGACCCTTCTTCAAGTAGCGACGAGAGTACAGACTCGGCGAGCTCCCACAGGAGAGGTTACTCAGATGAAGAGAAAGACAATACACTGGTTTCCGAATGCTTGGGATTTTCGAGCTCCAGGTTGTCTAGCATCGATGATGAAACACGGGCAGGTCGAGCAGTCGTTGTACCAGAGCCCTTGTTTAGCTCTTTGGTCAAACGTTATCCGCATGGCAAAATATTCACTTATAACGCGAACGGCTCAGTGTCTGAAGATAGCGACAGCTCACGACAGCACTCGGAGCAAGAACCCCCCGAAGAATTGACTACAACTCGTACCGAGGAACCACGCACCGCAAGCAAAAAACGACGGAAACCGACCTTCCGGCAAGATGCTGATAGTTTGATCAAGATCTTTGGTGACGCTAGAAACATTCTTCTTCTTCCGATCTGGGATTCCGACAAGGGCAGATGGTTTGCTGGCACGCTGGTTTGGACCCGCAACCCTGAACATGTCTTCACCTTCGAGAACGAGACCATCTTTGTTTCTGCCTTTACCAACAGCATTATGGCTGAGATTCGCCGGGTTGATGTGGAGTTGGCTGAGAAGGCGAAGACGAATCTGGTCAGCAGCATTACACACGAACTCCGAAACCCATTGCATGGAATTCTTGGAACGGCAGATATTTTGAGTGACACGGCTATGAATGCGCTGCAACATGGTATGGTCCACACAATCGAATCATGCGGTCGAACTCTTTTGGATACCATCAACAATTTGCTCGATCTTACCTTCATCGACAAGTATCAAAAGCAGGTTCCCTCAAAGGGAAAAAGATTCAGAAAGCGGAGCGGGACCTCAGCCAATTCAAAGCCTTCAACTCGGGGCCCATCAAAAGAAATCGGTGAATCTCTGTCTTATGAACATGTCCAACTGGATTCTGTCCTCGAGGAAGTTGCGGAGTGTGTTTTCGCTGGATACAGCTTCTACACGAAGCCACAGGCACCGCCGCCAGCCCTGAGTGAATCTTCCTCCCGGTGGGCTGGACCAAGTACCAAATCCGATCCTGTTGGCCCCCACGCGAGCCAAGTCACTATTATTTTCGACATCCAGCCAGACACTGAATGGGACTTCTGCACGCATGCTGGCGCTTGGCGAAGAATATTGATGAATGTGTTCGGCAATGCACTCAAGTACACAGAGTCTGGTTACATCTATCTTGGATTAAGTTCTGCGCCACAAGGTGGTGAATCTTCGAACGATTCGCATAGCCAGGATGGCACGGAGTTTGAAGTGACTCTGACAATCAAAGATACTGGAAAGGGTATTGGACCGAAATTCCTTCATGATGGCCTGTTCACTCCGTTTTCTCAAGAAAATCCGTTGGCCTCTGGAAGCGGATTAGGATTGAGCATCGTTCGACAGGCTGTTGGCTTCCTAGGCGGCTCAATCGAAATTGAATCCACGCAGGATGTTGGCACTACCCTCACAATCCGAACTCCGCTTACCCGGGCTCCTGAACCCTCGGAAACAGCATCCTCAGTCGCCATGTTCAGCGCTTTACAAAGATATACACAGGACAAAACTATCGGTTTCCTTGGATTTGGATCAGACCTCCAGTCTCACCGTGACACATCCCTTTACGCCTCACTGGACCGTATGTGTCACCATTGGTTCGGTCTCACAGCGAGAAATTTATCACCCACAGAGGGAGAGGATGAAAAGTCCGATTTCTACCTGGCTGTGCAAACGGAATTAGACAACGAAAGCATCCAGGGTCGAGATCTGTTCGGACTGAGTCAAAACCTAGTCAACCGCGAAGGTCGCTCCTCACCTGTCGTGGTCATTTGCCAGTCGCCGGAAGAAGCCCACAGACTGTTTGTTTCTGCCAAAAGCAGAAATGAAGAATCATACTTCGAGTTCATAAGTCAACCGTGCGGTCCACGAAAGCTCGCCCGTGCATTGAATATCTGCATTCAGCGTCAAACCGACGACCGAGAAGGCCGCCCAAGCACCGATGAACCGACCCGTTGGATTGAGATGCCTGAATCATCCCACCTGCCAGTGGATCTTGGTCCCAGTGATCCACCTAACGATCGGATGAAGATCAGCAAACGGCCCACGGCAGATACTATGGGTAGCCCCGACCGCGGGCGTGGTGACGACTCCCGTGAACGCACCCCGGCCGCCAGTCCAAAGGATACCCGCGGGACCGCAAGCCATAGTCCAATGGACACCCAGGACACCCAGGACATTCCAAACCCGTCGACAGAGGTCACTGAAGACAATGAACTCTCGGAGCCGCATGTCCTACTCGTGGATGACAACCAACTCAATCTGCAGTTACTTCGTGCCTACACGCAGAAGGATGGCCATCAGTACATGACAGCTACGAACGGAGAAGAGGCTGTACAAGTCTACAAGGCCCACTCAGATAAACTCAAAGCCGTCATCATTGGTAAGACTATCTATCTCATCTCCCAGGAATACAACATACTAATAACAGCAGATATTTCAATGCCCATCATGGATGGTTTCGAAGCCTCGAGACAGATCCGACGCGCCGAGAAGGAATACCGAAACAAAAACGGCATAAGTCAAGACACTCCTCGACTCGTTATCGCAGCTTTGACTGGCCTTGACAGCGCAAGTGCCCAGCAAGAAGCCTTCGGATCGGGCATCGACACCTTTTTGATCAAGCCTGTGAAACGACCGGATCTACAGGCTATTTTGAAACAAATGAGAGCATGAATTATGTATAAAATAATTTGATACACGACCAGACTTTATGATTTGACTGATTCAGTCTTTGGAATTGATACCCTATTTCCCTCACTCATTTTATTCTTTTAAAGCATGCTTCTTGCTCCGGGCCTTACGAGCAAATTACGGTTGGATTATGATGTCTCACTTGCGACACTACCAGGTATGCAAGTAGAGTTTACAGTGCTCACGTACAAGCTTGACAGCTTGAAGGGTGTAACTCGAAACTTGAATTTCATTCATGAGAACGAAGGATACCTGCCAGCCAAAGCTGATTGATCCAGAAATTACGTGATTTGGCGTACACAGATCATTTCACTTGCCAGCTGGGGCTGCCACAGTCCCCTCGTAGCTCGGCGGGGCTTCTGATCTCGACACTTGGTTGCCAGAGACTTCCTTTGCGGTCGCGATAATCGCCGGTGGCTTCGGGATGTTCTGTCGGAAAACATATTTCTTGATAAACCATGGAAGCCAAACTGTCAACTCATGGTGAATGTATTTCCTGGTCTCGACGGAGAAGACCTCTGCGGTGATGTTAGAACGGCAATGTCTCATGCAGGATGTTACTCACGATCCAATTCTTCTAGTGTGAGCTGCTTGGTTTCTCGCACAAAGCAGAAGATCATGCCCCAGGCGATGAGGTTCAAACCGGCATAGAAGCCGACTAGATGATGGTGAGTTGGTAAATATAAATCAAGGGGGACAATTTTCAAGACTTACAAGCACCGGTCTGTGTCATGACGGTCGTCATCCGAGGGAATGTGAGACCGAGAGCACCAGCTATAGGACACTGTCAGTATATTTTGGAATCTTGCCTTGAGAAGACTTACCGAATGTGTTGTTGATGCAAACTGCCCAAGCCATTCCTTGCTCACGGTGGACAGTGGGGAAAACCTCGGCGGAGTATTGGAAGGCGACTGGTCCTTCACCAAGGGAGTAGGCAATGGTAAACAGGTAGACGAATCTGGTTACAGACCGTCGGGTTAGCTCGTATCGAAGTGGTAGATCTGGTGAAAACTAACAATGCCACGGGCCCAATCCTTTCGCCAGCGGTTCCGGTTGTCTTCAAGAGCGACAAACCGGCTGCAAGAAGGAAGATACACATGAAGGGGAAAGTCTGGATAATGTTTTCAGTCAGAAAGAGCTTCTTGTTAACCCATAAGTCACTCACAATCAGGGTAAGAGTTCTTCTGCCTTTGGTGTCGATCAGGAATAATGTGGGAATGGTTGCTACCACTTGAATTGCACCATATCCAAGGGATGCATAAAGTGCCTGTACCTCCGAGTAGCCGGCTTTCAAGAAGATGGTAGAGCTATAGAACGAAATGACTGTGGGACGTCAGAAGTGCTCTTTCGCCGGACAAGAAGTGACTTACTGTTAATACCACACATCTGCTGTGCAATCATGACAGTGGAAGCACCATAATTTGCCCGTCTGATTCTAGGGATAGCGAAACAATCCCACAGACGCGAGAAGTAACCTGCCCCTCGTGCCTCCTTGAGCTCTTCCTGGTAGATGATGTAAGAGTAGTAGAAGTCTCGTGCTCCTATAATTGGATGGGCACGCAGGCGCGACATCGACCTGAACCCCTTGGCTAATTTTCCATGCTTCATGAGCCAGCGAGGAGACTCAGGACAGAAGAATACACCAACTCCAAGGATGAGAGAGGGAATAAAAGCCGAGCCGAGTTGAAGACGCCAAGCGATATCACCAGTATCTTTGACGATCACGTTCGCGGCGAAACCTAGGAAAATACCTGAAGTAAAAATCAGCAACAGCACTTCGAATATCTCGACACAATCACTCACCAGCAACAACCCAAAGTTGCCAGAACATCACGAGTGCACCACGGGTGCGAGCCGGTGCCATTTCAGCAGAGTAAATCGGCACCGTGGCATTTTTTGCGCCAATTCCAATGCCCATGACGAATCTCGCGGCAAACAATCCTTGCCATGATGTCGCAAATGCAGATCCAATAGGTGTGGCAGTCAGACAGCAGGCCGTGACAAAGATCTCACCCCTTCGACCCAAGTAATGATTCAGAGGATCGACGATGAACGCTCCACTAATCCAGAAGTCAGACTGAGAAGTGTACCAAAGCCACCCCGCTGATACTCACATCAATCCAGCAGTGAAGAAGATAATAGAGTTAACAATTCCCACAATCCACTCATCTTTTCCCTCGCCAGCTATACCAAACTCCTGGGGGAACGAAAGATTGGCTCCATTGGCTCCAGTCTGATCCCAGCCTTGTGTCGCGGCACCAACAGCGCAAAGAGAGATAGAGTACCATAGCATTTTCGAGCCATGCCATTTGTGATCTCTCTCGTACGCAAGAGCGGTGCGTTCTTCTTCGGTCAACTCTGGAATTGTTTCGAATCCATCGGGGTCGCGTGCAACGAGAGCAGCGCGGCCAAAAAGCTCGGCGTGCTCGGACATGCCGTTCGACTCGGCAAAAGCTTGGGCATCGAGGATGGCTTGTTCTCGGGAGGTGCGCTATGAAGAACAAAATATATCAAAAACTGTACCATTTCCCAGTGCGAATCCTGTCAGATCATGAGAAAGTATGAAACCTACTGTTAAGGGGTTTTCAACGATATTCAGTGCCCCAGCTTGGCGCCGATCTTGGGCTGTAGGATCATTCGCCTCATCGATCACCTTCTGTGGAGGATGTGCGACGATATCATTGTGAAAAGTCTCGATATTATTCGATTTATCCTCCATGATGACTTTCCCTCTCGGATTGAGAATGAAGTGAAACCTTGGAAGATGAGCGCTAAGGAAAGTCGGGGTTTGGCACACGGATCAATCGACAAAGGACAGTCAAACCCCATATATATGAAATCAGATCCCCGTGGGGTAAAACATGGTTGCAGATCTAACCCAAAAACAATTATGCTTTTTTGCTCGGAAATACTACGGTACAAATGGACCGGTGTCAGCACTAAAACTCTTGGAAGGGGCCATACCGCTTCGCCGCTACGCCACTAAACGCCATGGTTTACAACTTGGTAGTACTTAAGTATCTGAGGCGTTGGAATGATGAGCCGAAACTCACAGTATAAGTAGAAAGAACTTCCTAACAGCCAATGTTGGTTCATGTTTGGTGCAACTAGCATGCTTAAAAAGAGGAGAAAGTCGCCCCACGACGCGGAACGGAACCAGTCAGATTCCCGGGGGCGTCAATGCGGATGCGGGGCAAACAGCATGGAGTATCCCGAAGCAGGCAGACCAAGCGCTTGGCCGTTTGATCCTTTGGTCATTCAAGTCATACGTTACGCCTGCCAAGGCCGAAACGCACAAACATGCCGGGAAAACTGGATGAGTGTGAAATTAGAGCCTGCCGGGTGAATGAATCATTGGTATGCCGGCTTCCGGGAAATCAAAGCTCTTGACTTTAGAAGGATCAAAGCTTTGACAACACTTTTGAGAGTCATGCTCCTTCACAGTTTAGGGGTGCCGTGAATAAGGGGCTATTTATTACCAGGGGAGTGTGAGAGTCAAAACTATGGCATTCACAAGAGTGACAGCTCGTTTTGAGAACTGGATTTGATAATGCAAGATCAATATAAACCCAGGGATGCATCAGGGACACCGTATTGTGTTCTGTTCCCGGGTACGCCGTGATTTGGAGGCCCAAAAGTGGCGTTCCGGCATAGGCCACACCGATCTTACGTTAGAGCGCACCGAATTTTGCGGCTGAGAATCGGCCCATTTCAGAAGGTTGCATTGTGGCTGGAAGTGTGATTCCGTGAGATAGATCACGCTCAGTGAGATGTCATTTTATTTTCAACTCGAGAGGCAAACAGGTTCTCAATTTTACCGATGAGAATTGCTAACCTTGAAAGACTTACTCCGTAGTCTGTATAGTATACTAGGAGAGGAAGCATCAAATACAAGGAAAGGATGTAAAAGTGCTCGGAACAATGGTCTGAGAGCAAAATACTCTGTACATGCGGAGGACAGGACAGGAGAGGAGGCGAGGTGGCCTGAGGCATTGATAAGGCCACAAGGCCAGAAAGGCCCTCCCTAAGATTTTCTTCAAAATGATCATATCGCCAATGTGTCAATATTGTTTACAATTTTTTCCATGATGCAATACAAGGAAGCGAATGAGCTGGGTATCATTAGATTTTGACTCGCCACCTAGATCAAGTGAATCTATATCTCAACCATTCACTATCCCAATTCTCAAGGTGCCTGCAGTAGTCATGACACACACGAGCCATATGATATTGAACAAGTATTAGAGACTCGGCAGGCTTGATTTCGACGTGGATTGCTCTGACACGAGCTGCGTCGGGGATTATTTCTCCAGGCCAAACGCCGGCATGTTCAATATCGTAAACACGTTGTAACACCAAAGCTATCATGCTCGTCGACCAAATTCCTTCCTGTCGACGGGAACGACGGAATAGAAACAGTAGTCGTTCTCGAATTGCGGGATCCCGACATTTGAAAGAAACAAGGCAAAGAGGTGGGATGATGCCTAGGTTGACTGAGAATGAAGGTGTGTCGATATTGTCGGACATTAGGACTGATTCGGCTAAATCAAGAACGTGCTTGAAGCTCTCCAGGTATTTGTCGTATTGCATCTCCCTTGGACCTGGTCCAGATTCGACAGCCCCTAGTATGGGAAGGAGCACGGCCCACAGCTCCAGAATGTTCAACGCATTCAAGTCTCGCTGTGATAAATGATATTGATGAAGCTCGCGGTATGTTTTGAGCTGACTTTGAAGCCCTAAGAGTTTGCCCACAAACTCAGCCGGGTCCGTGGCAAGTGACGGGCCATCATCCATGTCTGACGGGGGACCACCCGACTCAATACCAGACCTATGATGGTGGTTTTGATAGGCCAGTATTCGTACTAGCGTGACAATGAGGTCGTTGGCTTGTTGGATCTCATCAGCAGCTTGGTCCGGTGGAGCAATAAGAAGGGGGATTGGCTGCTGGTCACCTGTGAGGGCCCCGTTGCTATTAAAGGAGGACCAGACCATATGGACACCACCAAAAGCCCTCGTGAGTGTGGCAGAGACGTCACTTGTGCTGCCATGGTCCATTAAATATTGCTGTAAAAGTTTGTATCCCGATCGAAGGTGTATGCCCGCCGACAGAGCATCTTCCTGGAAAAGCAGTGTCGAGACCAGCACGACACACGCAACCAAGACAGTTTCGACTCGCAAACGACCCATCCCGGGCTTGATTAGATTTTGTTGTAAAGATTGAATCGCCTTGTTGATTTGACGAAGGGAGAACGCTTGATCATAGGGGCCGGGACTAGTCCTTGAGCGGACGAAATGATAGTTCATGGAGCCCATACCAATCACGGCATGGCGGATAGCCGGTTGGTCTTCACTGGCCTGGTGAACCAACCGTTGCCAGAATTCATCATAAAAATGGCCTGCACATTGAAAGGAAGTACTTCGACGGAAGAAGTCTAAGAAATACTGTTCCTCGAGTGTCAGATCCACTTGATGTCTCGGGACTCGCGATATCAACGTCACTGCGCCTGACGGCACTACGGGACGAGCCAGGCGTGCGGCTCGGGTGCGTCGATCGATCGTCTCACGGTACTCGCATTCTCGGTCATAAAGAGTGCAGATTCCACATCGTGGACGGGTCTCATCACATTTTTTGTGGAATTTCCTAGTGAGCTATCAGCCCCGCACATAGACGATCAGGGGGCTGCTCGGTTGAGAAAAACCGGGGGCCATACTTGCAATTTACGCAGCCTGTGCGCACCTTAGGGCGACTGGCGCGTCGTTTCCTCACCGTCTCATCCGTAATGAACATTGTGAGCCATCAAGAGGAATGCCAATACAAACAAACGAAAAAAAAGTCAGGATGATGATCCTCCACCTAAAATGGTGATTATGTAAGGGTCGAAAGTCCCAAAATGGGCCCCTATTCATTATTTGGAATTGTCCACGGCTGCAAATGTTTCAATGTCTAAGAGCTTCATGTCAGTAAGGTACAATCTGAAATTTAGGGTTGTCTAGACCCAACCCACTCCCTCCAACGTCGAGCCCAGGTCTTAACTAGCCGGGGGCCGTTTCAAGGTTGCGGCTCTTACCGTCCGAGCTCAAGCACCTCATGTACTTTCTTTCTAGTACTTAAGTACATCGCAATTCTCCACACCACCATACTCGTGCCTGAAGAATCTAAGCTAAAGGTATTTCACTCCCCGAATCATGGGCCCTTGAAATGGGGGCCAATATGCAACACTGGCAGACCTACTCCGTACTCCGTGTGGAGAAGGGCGCTGCAGTCATCTCTCACTTCCTTCAAACACCCCCAAACGTATCGTCATTCTGACCTTTACTCCTGGTTGCAGAGAACACTGAAGACCGAGAATTCTACCCAAACAAGGCTGCACTGCATGAAGGATAGTCAGGACGACACAAAACCCATGCATTACCAATCAAAACACACGCCAATTACACCAACACAGTACATATTACTTCCTACCACCCATCCACCTGGGAGGGCAGAAACTTTCTGACCGATAGATCACTACGTCGACCGTTCGAAAATCATCCAGCCATTGACACCACAGGAAACCGTCGGCCGAGTCGATTAGTATATCACGAGCCGTTCCCACCACTCGCCCAGAAATCAGAAGAAGTGTTGAACAAGTGGGCTGTAGGTGGAATTCCCGTACGCCGAGCCACCATAAACCAGATAGCCCCCTTCTATGGGCCCTGACTGGGCCATGACAGCCTCCTGGTCCCCAAAGGCAAAGACGGTCTGCATTCCCATCACCATGTGCTGTAAAATATGGCAATGCATCATCCAAACGCCGGCATTCGTCACTCGTATACGCCAAGCTCTCCAGCCTGACGGCGCAAGAGGCGTCGTCTTTTTCCGGTATGAATATAGCACACTCGTGTCCCGAATGACTGGATGGGTTCCATTCAACCGTTTTTCGTTCTTCTCCGAGTTATATAAACCATCACCGCCGCCAATGTCGTAGTAATGTCTGCCGTGACCGTGGAAAGGATGGTTTTCGAGTCCACCGTTATTGACAGCACCCTGGTTCTGCCAGACAATCTCGAGGACCTCATTAATCTGCGCTGGGTAAAGGCGGGTTAGATTGTCAAACCCAAGGCCGCTCTCGATTGCCCGTTTGTATGAGGCATCTAGATCTAGGTTGCCCTGGTATAGATCGACGAGGTATGGTGACTTCGGGAATGTCTCCATCCAGTCGTACCCGCTTTGGAGCCAGACTGTATGAGTGCTGATGTTCTGGTGGACGTTGATGACAATACGCCGGGTGACCTCCGCAGCAGTCGGGAAATCAGTATCAGGGAGGTACGGCTCCAGTGCGTAGTCCATCCAGCCATAAGTGACATTCGCGACAGGTAGGGGAGGTGTGGCAGGGACGGTCTTCAGATCGGTCGCGGTGGGTGATGAGTATTCCAGAACAGCAAAGGTTGTCAGCACAGCAGGCCGACCCAGCGTCGTAATCTGGAAGTAAAATTGGCGAGACTCTGCCTGCTGCAACTCTTCTTCGGTTTTGGCCTTCAAAAGCACGCTGTACCGCTGACCACTGGAGATCTGCAAATAGTCCGTCTTGACCGGCTTGGTGTAATGACCATCAGCTTCAATAATCTCAAAAACGTTGTGGCCCTCGAGGGCCAAAGAGACAAAGGACAGGGCTGTTGCTCCGATGAATCGCAGGCGATAGGTCTTTCCAGGCTCAACACTGATCGCGGCCAGCGAGCACGCCCCAGTCGCATTCGTGGCCAGTCTGCCTTGACCGTTCACTAAGACGGCCCCGGTCTCTCCACTCCATGTGAAGTTGCTGGACGTGAGGCCCTCTTCGATCACATCATCAGTCTTCGCGAAGAAATCCGACAGAAGAATGACGCGCTCCTCATCATATTCAAATGGCGAGGGTTCGGCCGGTTCCACTATGAGAGCCCCCACGGCAGTAACCCCCTGGAATCCAACGTGTGAATGGTAGAAGTAAGTACCAGCATAGCCAATTTCCGGGCGAACCTCGGCGTCGAAGAAGTGACCAGGGGCAATCGGCCATTGGCTGGCCATAGGTGTACCATCGGAGAAAGGCGCGGCGAATGCGGACAAGCCATGCCAATGCTGTATACAGAGTGAGCTTGTTGATTGAAAATGCAAAGGAAAGAATTGTTCCGTACCATGGTGACATTTGAATCCTCCATATCATTGTAAACTCGGATCCAGCTCACTTTGCCCTCCTGGAGCCGCAACTCAGGACCAGGGGAAGACCCGTTCACAAGGACAGAATATCGGTCCATACATGCCTGGCTATAGTTCTGAGCAGTCACCCGGAGAATTTGATCAGGTTGGAATGAATCGTCGTGAAGAATAAGGTTTGCTTGAGTCAAAAACGCCAACCCTAGAACCAAACAAAAGGTAGGCAAGATACCACGCATTTTTGAAAAACATCCCAACATGATAGAATATAAAATCAATCAGTGAGTGATGGAATGAAAATGCGAGGAATGGCAATTTCTATTTATAATGTCAGACCCATCAATTGAGCTCTGTCGGCAAAGAACAGCTCGAGCCTCGAGACAACGCAGAACACGGGGGGGGGAGCAAGCTCGTTTTTGTACGCTAGTATGATTTTGTATGCCAAACTGGGGCCAGAACCAAAGTGTAAGTAACCAAGGGGACGATCTAGGTAAGCAATGTGGCGATGCAAACAAAACAACCCTAGATACGAGGGTCGCGTTGACCGCTCCATGCTGGAACCCCTAGCTGCTGTCAGACTCACAGGTGCAAAGATCCTACAGTGGCATGTATTTCGAAATTTTAGGCACGCGAACCCAGAGATTGTGATGAAAGCTATACAGCTTCCCAGGAGGAGACACTGAGATATTTGATTTTTTTCATAGGGCCGGCGATCGTACCCGTAAGCCAAACCAAACCTTTTTTTACTTTTCAGGCCACCCAAGCAGCCGCCTGTTTCCCCGTGCCGTCGATCTTTTCCAAATTAAGCGGAGGGGATGTAAATACAAAACACAAAAGGGGATAGTATAACAACTTGAAAGAGTAGTGTATCTCATGTCGAGTATCTTTTCGATATCCTTCATACCAATTTCCCGAAATCTGAAGATTCACAGCAATGGGGATCTGGCTGCGGTGCATAGACTCGTTGCCATTGGTCAGTTCCAGGCGCGAGTGGAGGATGTTGGTCCCAAGGTTATACCTTGAGTATTACGGGGATTCAATGAGACCCGAGTTGAGAAATAACGTGCTCAAATGCAGTGCTCTGCACGGTGTCGACTAATCCATATGAGAGATGACTTGCCGGAATTTGGCAGGGACAGGCAGAGTTGTAAGAGCAAACACCATCGCCCTGTCGACCCAGAGTTAGTCCACCTGTGCGAGTAACCAGTACCAGATAACCGTATACTTACCGCAAGACAATAATCTAACGTTATGCCACTTCGGTCCATTTCCTTTGAGAGCTGAGAGATTGTAGTGTTTCCACCTGCAGCAATCGCAGATTCGGCGAACATCCCAACAGAGGCACTAAAATCCCGTTGTCCTGTCCCGTTGACACTAGAAAGCTTCCCAGGTACGCGGTACGGGTTACCGACCAAGATAACTGATTTGACTTTGCTCAGAGCACGGTGATTCAGTTGCTTGAGGACTTTCAGTATCAAGCTAGCTCCCTGAGAGTAGCCAAAGAGAGCGTAATTCTGGTTCGGGCAATTTTCCACGCTTTCTTTGATGATATCCAGCACGAAAAGCTCACCGGTTGTCGTGTTCTGATCTGGGCCCGCTGGATACTCAACGGGCAGACTAACACCATCACTGATGTTGGCCAAGATGTTCCGGATCATTGGGTAGAACATCATAGACACACCCTGAGGCTCAGATGTGCCACGCGCGTCAACCAGTTCTGCCAAACATGTCAATATCATGTGCATCAACATAAATCTTCATGCAAGCAATATACACACTATAACTTGAACATTTGATGGCTTCTTCTCGAGCGGTTATGTTGACGTGAGGGATTGTGAGGAACTCCGAAAAGCCACATTGACAATCGAAAGTGTTAACAGCTTCAGTCAAGGTAGTGTCATCTGTGCAATTAGATGTGCTCCCGTACGCTGAGACGCATGTGACCAGGGCAGCTAGAAAAGATCGACGAAAAGTTGGACGCATTTTCTGAGATTTTCATATGCCAGACGAAAAGAAGGAAGGAGAGATGAGAGATGATAAGAAAAGTCTTCAGGCTTAGGAGGTTTTATAGTCTGTCCCTCTTTCAAAATATATTAGCTTATTGAATTGACCGTTCATGGTGCGACCTGGAATTTACATCGATCTTGTTTTTACTCGTACCTCGTAGCCCTTCCCTTATTTGGGTCAAGGTTTGCAGATCTGCCGGGTTAGTACTCCATCGGCCCACACTGAAGAAATACGAAGCCTTCGTATCCTTTTCCTGTTCTGGCGGCGATCCGAAAATCCCCACTGGGTATTTCTCACCTTCGATGTAGAGCGATGCTAAACTGATTATGCAAAATTGATAAACGAGGCTGGTGCACTCCAGGGCTGTACACCACGAAATAATCTCATGCTTAATCCGGCGCCAAAAAGACCGTTGTACGGCATGTCTTGTGAACCACTCATAAAGGCAGAGCTTTTTCTGATCCTGTTCGCAAGACTTTCAACTCTAGTATGTCTAACAACCAATTTACTCGTACAATACCATAGCGTGTATCATTCTGTGAGACTTGGAAATACTCAAAATCTGATCCAAAGTTTTCAGTACTTCCATAATTGGATACTCGCGCAGATGAATAGAGACGAGTCATAAAAGAAACAAAAAAATTATTAATTCCAAGTATCACATAAGTATGATCAGCCTTTTGCACAATTGAGCAACGAAGTTTGGCGAATGAGGAATGTGTTTCATTGGGCGTTTTCATCCTTCGTGATGATCTATAGCTTCCTTCCTGGCAAACGACCCCTTTGAGATCCATTGCATGTCCATTCCCGTTGTCAACCCAATGACATCTCCGACATGGAATTTATTCAAGAAACTGTTTTCCTTGTTGGGTATATTCACCTCTCCTTCCAGTAGAAACATGGTTTCATCGTCAAGAACAGCGGTATAGGGTACAGAGAGTGTTCCATCCAGGTCAACGTTAGATCCGGCTGTTCCCTTGCCTCCGCGCCAAATACCACTCAGCATTATGCCCTGCGATCCGCTATGCTGAATATAGCGAAGCTCTCCGGCGACCAAGGGGCTGTGGGCGGGCTCATGGTAGTGCTATTCCTGAGAATCCGTCACGCCATCGTTCACATGGTGCACTTGCATATCCTTCGATGGAGTTGTTGCTGAACTGGAACCACTCCGAATGAGAAAGGTGGTTTTGAATAATGGGGCTTTGATCTCCCAGTGGATTTCGGTGCCTTTGGGGGTGATGATAATCGAACCGGGTCTGGTCTCAAATCTCGCTCGATGCGAGGGCGGGTATTGAAGTCCATACTCCGTAGTGAACTGGAATATATAGCGCGGGATCTCCACAAGGATCTATAGAAGAAAAATTGAAATAACGCCCGCAGAGCTCGAAAGCTCCAAGGGATCTTGAGTATCAAGATAAGAAGAGTGACTTGAAAGTGACTTTTGACTTGCCTGAAGTTGATAGTCACCGTCCTCGTTGCTACTGTCTCGGGAAAAGGCCGAATCCCGAAAATCTCGGCGACCGACTGGGGACCAAACGCCGGGTCACCGGGTCACCGTTCGGCCTCGAGAATAAATCAACAGTAATTGACTGAGGTATGATGGGCAAGGAAAACGAAGTGAGAAATTGTTGAGGTCAGATAAGAATTCATGATTGGAAATTGATTTTCCGAAAAGCCCCATGGTTTTTGATATTTCAAACTTAGAATCTTCAGACCCTAAATATTACCTCCTGAATATTCTTCGCCAAACTAGAACAACAGTGTTGCTTGAATCTCACACAGCATCGATAGTCAAAGTCCTCCAACCCTTGGGTCTTAGCTTGTCCTGACCCTCGACTCGAGCATGGAAAAACCCACGGCCTCTCTCGTGACGGCAGAAAAGTTGACCGAGACCCTTCCTACCATGGCATTGGCCACCAGGGCTATACACGCGGATGACTTTTCGAGCTCTCACCGAGGCATCGCACCTGCAATGCATGTCGCGGTCAATTACAGATATGATCGGGATCCCGAGAAGTTGGTGCAAGGAGAGAACAAAGATGTGCCACTTCCTTATGTGTGGTTCGGTGCTGACAACCTCCAAGCCAACCTCTACAGACTCCTTCGTATATTCCAGATATTCCGCACCCAACAGCAAACGCTTTGAGACTGTCCTTGAGAACCTTTTCGGTGGCGGAATAATGACTTACTCAACAGGGCTAGCTGCTTTCCATGCCATCATGGTTCTGCTGGTGCCCAAACGGATCTTTCTCGGAGATGGGTATCATGGAGTGCATGGAAATATTGATCTGATGACGAAACTCACCGGAGTCAAGAAGCTGGGGCTTGATCAGCTTGATCAAATTCAATCTGGTGATGTGATTCACATCGAAACACCTGTCAACCCAACTGGAGAAGCACGCAATTTATCCTATTATAGCTCCATTGCTCGAAGAGCCGGCGCATACTTGACTGTGGATGCGACATTTGGCCCCCCTCCTCTGCAAGACCCATTGCAGTTTGGAGTTGATGTGGTTCTCCACAGTGGGACGAAGTATATTGGCGGTCATTCCGATATGATGTGTGGAATCCTTGTTGTTCATCCCCAACGAGTCACTGAGGGATGGGTTGACACACTTTATTCGGAAAGGTTGGTGATGGGAAACGTCATGGGTAATCTTGAGGGATGGCTGGGTCTGCGATCTCTCCGGACACTCGATCTTCGTGTCACCCGACAATCGCAAACCGCTGAGAGCTTGGTGAATTGGATCTACCAAGAGATGCGGGACTCGACTTCTGTGGTCGGCCGCGTCGTTGATGACATTCGCCACGCTTCCCTGCAAGATCAGGACCTGAGAGATGGGTGGCTGCGGAAGCAGATGCCTCGAGGGTTTGGTCCAGTCTTCGCTATCTGGATGAAGAACGCGGATCAAGCAAAGTCACTACCAAGCAAGCTGTGCATCTTCCAACATGCGACAAGTCTCGGAGATGTTGAAAGCCTGATTGAATGGAGAGCAATGAGTGATGACTCGTGTGACCGCAGACTTCTTCGGATCAGCTGTGGACTAGAAGACCCAGCGGATCTCCGCCGGGATCTTTTGGAAGGTTTCAAAGCACTTTGTCATCAAGTTCCAAAAAGCGACTGAATCTGAATACTGCAGAAGATGTATGGTTCTCCAATCTGACTATCGTGTCAGGAGATTAGTTGAAAAACCCAGATGAAAAGGAGAAAACATACCAAGAAGACCCCCGAGGGCTTGAGCAAGGTAGTTTGCATGTCATCAAATCCAAAGACAAAGACCATTCAATCTTCGATCAAAGTAGACTGGTACGCAATATAAATCTCCTGACTCATACTGCCCACTCCCTCAAACATGTTAGCCAATTTAACAGCCCCAACAATCGACTCCATCCCTTGACGAAGCTCTCGCAACAGTCGCTCAGCATCTTGGGACTCCGAGTCTGTTTGAGGGGAGTGCAACAGGTAATAGTACATTGACAAATGCTTTGACTCTAATGCAGCACGCAGTCGGTAGTGAAGCATAAGGAGGACGTAAGAGCCTTGCATAGCCGCGCACATGAAAAAAGGTAACATATAAGGTGTTTTCCCGGTCACTCCAGTTGGCTTTCTACCCGTAACAACAAATGGGTGTAGATAGGGATTGGCAATCGGAATATCCTCAAGAGTTCGTGATATGAGTTGGGCAGATTTGAGACAGACAAGGGATGAGTCCTGTTCAGTGAACGGGAAAATAGAATCGAGATTCGGTGGCCGTCTTGAATCGAATGCCGATGTCGCTTCCATCATTTCTTGAATTGCGGCAAGGTCGCAATATTTGTTGAGGAAGAGAGGAATATCCATGAACGCTCGGGCTCGATGAAGTCGAATTCGAGCTCTGGTGAGAGTCAGAACCCGAAGACTATACAGAGGATGTGTGTCACTCACGAATGGACTAACACCGTTGCGATTCTCCACATACCCTGGGCGGCACTTGATTCAATACCGCCATTGTATTTGGGCTTTTTCAAGAGATCTAATTGCCTAATTATGCTTGTTATGTGAGCGTCCAGGTGTGCGATCCTTTCGGAGAAATCGGATGCTGCGCATTCACTTGAAGGGTTCACAAGACATTCATCGAAAGTCTCCGATACGGACAAAATGGCCTTTTCGGACTCTAACAGCAAAGCCCATGGCTGGTGGTAGATCAGCAAAGTGACACGTGAAGCGCAACATAGGTCTTTCAAGCCCTTCATGTAACATCATACCTGGATTGCAGCATTCTGAAATGAAGGAAACGGCGTCGAGATCCTTGAGTCACCAAGGCATATAATCGGTGACTTTCCTCTGCAGTGAGCAGAGGCCGTTCGGCTTTTTTGGATGGACTCACAATTTGCTGATCAATAGAAGACAAGTAGAGAACAAGCATCTTTCTTTGTCAGTCAGAGACCAGAAATGATTTGATCCGACTTACAGCACCCCACCAAGCGCGACGCTGTGCCTCTGTCGACTCGGCTCCTAACTTGTGGAGAGAAAGATCCATAGCGGAAGTTATAGCTTGGTTTGCACGGCTGCGCATTCGTGGTAAACTCCCACGTTGGCAATACTCATACACGCTTAGTATGACTAAAGCGAGGACAGGGTACAACTGGGCTGGCGTATCAAATTGGCCTTCCTCGCCGATGGTGCATGAATCAGAGGTCGGTGGTTTCGAAATTGTATCAATCTCATTTTCGACCTGACTGAGCGCCGCTTGCGCACAAAGGTTTGCGTGCACCCTTCTCGATCGTATACTTGACTCCGATGATGAGTTCGGATCTTGGGCTATGGGTATCAAGGATAAAATGGCAGATAAGCCCAAAGTGAGTGACGATCTTGGCCAATGAGGCAGTGATTGTGGATCCAGGTTTTCAACTTCACCGTGAATTTTGACTGGCAGAGGATGGTCATAACATCCTGTTGTCAATGAAGGCGACAGTATTGGAAGAAAGGGGTGTATATAGATGCAGTAGGCACTCAATCTGTTTATAGAAAGGTGGAGTCAGGACCGCACCGCAGACCACTAATGTGCAACAGCACAGCGCCGATACTTACATGTCATCATCCGACGCATAAAGTCGTAAAATCGGAGATTCGGGGTCCTGGAAGTTCCCCGTGCGTCCTTGGGGTAATTGGTTCGGAGCTGTCCCGCTGGGGCGGGTATCTGAGGGGCCTAACAAATCGATAATTTGCCCCAACCCGTGATCTTTGGGCAGTTGGTCCATAAGAAGATTTTCCGGTCCTGATGTCCAATCCTGCTGCATGGTGCGATCGAGCGAAAACAGAGGGACGGACTCAACTGATGGAAGAGATGTAGAATTGCTCTCAGTATGAAGTTTGAGTCCCCGCCTTACACCCCTCGCCGACTAGGGCGGAATGAACATGTCAATTTTTTTGAAGTGCACTGAATTTTTGTTAGTCAGATCAAGGTTCCCTAGTGGTGAGCATACTCTGCGACAAGGATGTCCGCCATCACAACGGATTTTGGCCGCACGGCTAAGCAGATATTAGAGCCGGATCTGGAAAGGTGAAAGAAAACTAACCATGAAAGACATGCTGCCCTAGCTATCTGAGGATCATTTCCGGGTGAATCTGTCATCATGAGGGTGAAACGCAAAGGAGCTCGGGCTTTGAAGGTAGGGATCTTTAGATGTTGAGGCCATTTTCGGAATAGCTCCATGTGTTTGCACTGTTTGTTCATTGCTCGTGAGGACGTATTTGTGTAATTCTTTCGATACGACGATAACCACATGGCCTGAAGTGTATTGTAAATACGCTGCATATGGGCCAATAGAGATGAGTATTTGCCCTCCCCGGGTCCACTCCTTCAATGCTCTCAGGTTGGAATCTTGGAGGTTCATGGCCACATTATCATCACTTCAGAGTTCCTGAAACTCTCTCCTGAAATACAGCCCTATAAAGACCGCAGCAAGTCTCATGAACCACTCATGAAAGCCGAACTCTTTCTGATCCTCTTCGCCAGATTTTCAATTCTGGTATGTTGATCGCCAGTGACCGCTAATGGTATTCCAAGCAAGGTAGTCACTCGGAGAAACTGGTCGCGGATCCATTCATACTGCCCAGGTTCGAGGAAGGTCGCCATCAGGTGGCCATTGTCCTCCAAGAAAAATGTTAACAGGCGGCTCAGTGGACTCATAATGTGCCAAGGACCTTGGGCGATAATGTGCCGCCGGTTCTCTTCTTGGGGCGTCTGTGGGCGAATAAATTTCTTCTGGAACATTTTTTCGTTACTCGAGGTGAGATGATCATGGCTAGGAAGCAATACTGATGGATCAGTAAAGCTGCTGATGCTCAAAGATCCGGCTTGGTTGCCAAGAAAAAATGGCACGCTGTAACACACAGAGTCCACCATCTCTTGAAGTATGTGATGGTATTTGATGAAATCCTCGTTGCTCGCTATCGTCACTGAGTTGCTCGGACCGAGGATAATCTTTGCAAGTAAAAGACGCTGAACGCGCCAGAGATTCCATATCGTTCCGATCTGACAGGTAGGATAGACCTCACAGACAGATTGATAGGTCGGGATGGATGAGTCGATGTCTTGTCCACTTGTGAGTCTGAGTGGCTTCCAATCTTCCGGTACTCTTCGTGCCCAAGCCAAAAGCTGTTCGTCAATGGCCTTTGCCTCGGAAATCCAGTCTCTGGAATTGCCCTTGATCGCTTCTTGGAGATGACTGGCCTGCAGATCGGCAACAGATGCACCGATAGCATCAAGGGCAAAGCTCAAATTGTCGGACTCCATTAGCATATGGCTCTTTCCCATCAATGAGCGTACGGGGCTCTGTAATGGTCTCTTCTGGCGTATTGCAGAGGACATCTCACTATGGAAGATGAACTTCCGAACAAATGCGTTCGTCACCCCATTGAAACGGTCCGAATCTGTGAATGGGAGTAGAGAGACTGCACCGTCGTGATGAGCCCGCGAGGCCGGGCGAAGACCATATATAGCGGCAATGTTTTCGTAAGATTGCAGCGATAGCACTGCCAGCACAGTTGCTGGCTTCGCCAGCTCATTGCTGTCCTGGATCGTGCCCCTGAGACACTTAAGTGCCTGGGTATAGGTCTTCTGTGGCCCTCGGAAGCCACGCCCGTGCCGCCAGAGGGACATTACCTCTGACGCTAAAGCTGATATGGCGAGTGAAAGTGGTGAGTCCTGTAGCTGAGAGCTATAGACTGGAACTAGCAATTCATAGAATCCGCGTGCCGACTCTAGTCGACGACCCATCATGGCATAATGTTGAAGAAAGAATGGGATGGCAGTATCGGGTTCGTCCAGTGGTCGCAGGGCCAGCCTTCCGTCAGTACTCTGATCGACATTCTTCGACCCTTCGGAGAACTTGTGGCTCTGGTCTTTGAATCGGATCTTCACGGGGTTCGCCTTATAGCCCCCGCAGTGGAGCCTGAGCCGCCGGCAAGACTGACACTCGGGCTTCGCCTCATCGCATTTCACGCGTCGTTCTTTGCATGTCAGGCAACCCCCAGAGCGCCCGCGGTTAACCATGATTCTGAAAGAGGCTAGCTTTGCGAGATGATTTGATGACGCCTTTTTGCAGGGTTTTCCCAAAATATCTTTGCGCGGGTGAGATTAGGCTCGGACTTGGCCCCCGGGTGGAGATTGTAGGGCTGTGCGCCAATCAGAGGGGTTCTTCGCGAACTGAATTCCTCATTGGGCTAACATGAGAAGCTTCGTTGAATAATTGATCTCTAAAAATTCATCCAGATCAGTACTTTTTGGGAGCGCACTTGCCCATGACAAAGTGCTCTCGCAATATGGCCTTCTTTCGGCTATATATAAATCGCGCTTCAATTCTGGTGCCTTGGTAAATGGCATCTCCAAAAAGAGGCAGCCTGGAGAGTGCCACTTGAGAAAGAGTATAAAGACAGAAGAGGTGCAAGAGTGAAAAAGGACTCAAGAAGTAAAACACCACATCGCACCCGAGCACTCATCTTGAAGTCACACTTGAGCACATCTTATAACTTGGTCACCTCTACTCATAACCATGAACTTTTCGATATATGTCGGCCCACTCCTGGCCTTGTTGGCATACTGTCAGCCGGTAATCGGGGCCAACACCACCGAAAGTCTTCCTACATTTCAACTGAGCACAAGCAGCGACTTCAACTTTCAACTTATCATTGCCCTTGGTGATGCCGCTTCTGGCGGGGCGGATATCGCTCCTGTCTTAGGCGTCGCGAAAGACCTCAAAGCTGGAGACATGGCTGCCTTTAGCAACCAATTCTACGAACTCGCCAACTCCACCAAAGCCCAGGCAGAGAGCCCGGATAATGCCTTCGATCCGGTCAATGTTAGGGACACCTGGTTCTCCGCCTCCTCATACTTTCGTCTAGCAGACTTCTATCTTCACCGTAATTGGAGCAACCCGCTTATTTACAGTCTATGGGAAGAGCAGACCGCAGCATTTGACAAAGCCTTAGCTGCCTTGCCTAGTCCTGGCAAACGAGTTCAAATACCCGCTACAGAAGGCAATGTCACCGTCGAAGCTATTTGGTATAGTGTACCCGGGAGTGAAAACCGCCGACTGCCAACGTTGATCATCGGCAATGGGTTTGATGCGGCACAGGAAGACTCTTACCATCAATTTGTCGCACCCGCTCTGGCTCGAGGCTGGAACTGCATAACATACGAGGGTCCGGGTCAGCCAACTGTTCTCCGAAATCAGGGTATTGGATTTATCCCGAACTGGGAGCAAGTGGTTACCCCGGTAGTGGACTGGCTACTTGCTGAAAAGGCAGATGCTGTGGACACCGACCGACTCGTTCTGATTGGAAACTCCTTTGGTGGCTATTTAGCAGCCCGTGCCGCAGCCTTCGAACCACGACTTTCGGCAACCATTCTTCTTGGCGGAGTCTGGGATGCTTATGCTGCCTTCTCATCCCAATTACCGGCCGAGATGATCGACCTCTACAAAGCAGGAAACTACACGGCATTCGATCGTATCATCCACTCACTACGCGATGCTGGCAAATTTCCCACAAATGCCGCTTGGGGTATAGACCAAGGATTGTGGTCATTCCACACACACTCGCCCTCCGAGTTCTTCACCTTAAGCAAGGAGTTCCGTTTGAAGGATGTTGCCGACAAAATCAAAATGCCTGTGTTCGTTGGCGATGCTGAATTTGAGCAATTTTTCCAAGGACAGCCTCAGCTGGTGAAGAATGCCCTAGGTGATAAGGGCACTCTACATCGATTCAATGGAGTTGCTGGCTACCATTGTCAAAGTGGTGCTGGGCAAGAGCTTACACGGACTATGTTTGCATGGATCAATAAAACCCTTGGTTAAAGAGGCGACAACTGACATCGCTCATGCTTCTCATCTTCCTGAAGTCTGATTACTTCTAAAGTTAATTGATGGCTAAATGTTCAGAACGTCGGACGTTTTGACTGGGACTGGAACGCATCCATGGATGAATTCTGCTTTATATTACCGTGGAGTTTAGTGTATCAATTTACGCAGTCTGCATATACTCTAGAGGCCTACAGACTAGGAGCCTTAGCGATCTGCGCAATGGGTACATGCAAGTGAGAGAGGTGAGCCTTGAAGAGGAGAAATCTGAAGAAGCTTGGAAAGTAAGAGATAGATAGCTTGGAAAGCAAACAGAACAAACAAAGCATATAGCGCTGATGTCCAACGATAAAGCTTCTGCAACGCATCTAGAACAAAATTATGCACAAAGTGGCTTCTGGATAGCCACTCGATCAAGTTACCGATTCAGGACTTCAGGAGCGAGTTGGACGAAGTGGGGAAGGTCTCTACCTGAGTCACTCAGTCGAGAACTCATACTTCCGGTTGTATTAATACAAGCGCGTACGAAAAGCCGTTATCCGTTTTTGCGGGGGTGAGGTCTCTTCTGGCCAATCGGAACCCGCTTTGATCAATCTTTCGCTGAATTCCCGGGATCCGGTAATTGTATGACGATCCGACGTTCCTCACGGTCAACTTTGAAGACCCTTAATGTAACGGCTAAGATAGTCCATGCATGTGTTTTGATGGCGTGTTCAGGGGGAATATGAATTCCTTGCCCAATTTTCAAGGTGGGCCGGAGGTCTCGTCCCGGACGGATGTTTGATCTTCCTCTCTTCCCATAGGTCCTTTGAGCAGCCAGACTGCAATTTGACGGCTAGAGATCGTAAGCCATGCCCAGGGTGGTCTGTAATATGATAGGCTTCCTTCAATCTCAAAAATTTGATTGGACTGACTTTGCTCATAGCTCGAAAAAACGGTGGAACTCGGAGACTAGCGGAACATATGGATAGATCACCTAGTCTTTTTAATAAGCATCTTTGTGCTCGGTACTTCCTATTTAACGATGCAGCCCACCAGTTCTAGCTAGATTCTGCTACAGCCACTGACGAACTCGATCTGCGTTCAAGATGTCTGTTCTGGGTGGCATACCCGCCACGAATGGCGCGGAGTATCGGCAACAACTGGGTGTCGAACACAATGGACAGGACACGGATACTGTATCGTCCAAGACACAGACGGAAGGTGTAAACGGAGAGCAAGATTCGATTGATATAGAAGGAGAAGTTGAAGAGATGGCCAGGCAACTCACTCGCCATTCCACTCATTTTTCAACCTCGCAGGCAAAGAACCCTATCTTTGAAGATGACAAGGAAACCACATGGCATCCCGACAGTCCATTTTTCAAACCAAAGGATTGGGTCAGATCTCTCATCGCTGCTCAATCGCAAGACCCAGAGCGATTTCTTCAACGGTCGGCGGGTGTCGCGTTCAAGAATCTCCATGTCCATGGTTTCGGAAGTCCCACTGATTACCAGAAAGATGTCTTCAACGCGCTTTTGAGTATTGGGAGCCTCGTCCGAAACATGATGGGAACTGGAATGAAGCAAAAGGTGCAGATTCTCAACAACTTCAATGGATTGGTTCGCAGTGGAGAAATGCTAGTTGTTTTGGGTCGCCCAGGAAGGTAGGTCTATCGTCACTGCCAAGGTACTCTGAACCCTTTCTTATACTCTATTTCTTAGTGGTTGCTCAACTTTCCTCAAGACGATCGCTGGTGAGATGAATGGCATCTATGTCAGCGATGACAGCTATATGAACTACCAAGGTACGATGCGAGATACGCAGATCTCCATGACATACCATGTACTGACCAACTCCAACAGGAATCTCCGCTCCTACTATGCAAAAGCAGTTCAAGGGAGAAGCAATCTTCAGTGCTGAAACTGATGTGCACTTCCCTCAACTCACTGTTGGTGAGACCTTGACTTTTGCAGCCATGGCGCGTGCACCACGCACGCGATTTGCCAACCTGAGTCGGAAGCAATACGCTGAACACCTCCGTGACGTGGTAATGACTATGCTTGGACTCAGACACACGTTCAATACCCGCGTTGGAAACGATTTCGTGCGAGGTGTCAGTGGAGGTGAGCGCAAGCGTGTGAGTATCGCTGAAGCCATCCTTAGCGGTGCACCGCTTCAATGCTGGGACAACAGCACACGAGGTCTTGACAGTGCCAACGCACTGGAGTTCTGCAAGAACCTTCGTTTGATGAGTGATTACACCGGTACCACTGCCTGTGTTGCTATCTATCAAGCCTCTCAGAGCGCATACGATGTAAGAATGGCACCTTCAATATCTCTGGAATCCACAACACACGACACTGATGATTTCTACATTAACAGGTCTTCGACAAGGTTGCCGTACTCTACGAAGGCGAGCAGATTTATTTCGGTCCAACCGGGGAGGCTCGTGAATTCTTCGTCAATATGGGCTTTGACTGCCCATCGCGCCAGACAACTGCCGATTTCCTCACGTCTCTCACAAGCCCAAGTGAGCGTAGAGTGAAGCCAGGTTGCGAAGACAAGGTTCCTCGGACCCCCGCTGAGTTCGCACAGCGATGGCAAAACAGCCCAGAATGTGCTCGCCTTCTTCAGGATATTGCTACCTTCGATCAAGAGCATCCTATCGGCGGCCAGTCACTTACTACATTCAGTGAGGCTCGTCGATTGATGCAGTCAAAGCAACAGTGAGTTTTAGTCCGCGATTTTTGAAACAGCAAAACGACGTTGGAGTACTAACAATAAATCATCTAGACGTCTCAAGTCCCCATACACCCTTTCCGTCATGGAGCAGATCAATCTGAACCTGCACCGTGGCTTCCAGCGTCTCAAGGCCGATATGACTCTGACATACTCCGCCCTATTCGGGAACTTCTTCATCTCCCTGATCTTGGGAAGTGTTTTCTATAACCTTCCCGCGGATACAACGAGCTTCTTCTCCCGAGGTGTACTCCTCTTCTATGCCGTTCTCCTTGCTGCATTTGCCAGTGCTCTTGAGGTATGTCAGAACAGTGCATATGCGAATTCCAATGAATACTGTAGCTAACACGCGGCAGATCCTGACACTTTATGCCCAAAGACCAATTGTCGAAAAGCAATCGCGATATGCTTTCTACCATCCATTCACGGAAGCGGTTGCATCTATGTTATGCGATCTCCCATACAAACTGACCAACTCTGTCACCTTCAACCTCCCACTCTACTTCTTGTCCAACCTCAAGCGTGAGCCGGGTGCATTCTTCATCTTTTGGCTATTTTCCATCGTCACCACATTGACTATGTCAATGGTATTCAGAACCTTTGGCGCAGCGTCACGATCACTTGCTCAAGCGCTTGTTCCGGCGGCTTTGCTCATTCTGGGACTCGTCATATACACTGGTTTTGTCATCCCTACCAGGAACATGCTAGGCTGGTCTCGCTGGATGAATTACATCGATCCTATCGGATACGCATTTGAAAGCATGATGGTCAACGAGTTCCGTGATAGGAAGTTCGCCTGCAAATCCTTTGTTCCTTCAGGACCAGGTTACGAAAATGTGGACGCCATCAACACCATTTGCAGTACTGTCTCCGCTCAGGCGGGAGATGCTTACATTGATGGAGATGCGTATGTGGCAACCGCATACAACTACACTGACGCGCATCTCTGGCGTAACCTGGGCATCGTCTTCGCTTTCATGATTGTCTTCATGTTCGTTTATCTTACTGCTACCGAGTATATCTCCGAGGCTGCATCCAAGGGTGAAGTATTGCTTTTCCGTCGCGGTAATCAACCAAAGGCCTCGAAAGGGGATGCCGAAACCACGCCAGATTCAACCTACCGGGCCGAGGAGAACGCCGAACGCGCTGGTGCAAACATTCAACGCCAGACTGCTATCTTCCAGTGGCAAGATCTTTCCTATGACATCAAAATCAAAAATGAAGATCGTCGGATTCTAGACAACGTCAACGGATGGGTGAAGCCCGGTACGGCGACTGCTTTGATGGTGAGTTTATTTTCCCTACGGGCTCAAAATGGCAAACTAACATTCACAGGGTGTCTCTGGCGCCGGAAAAACCACGCTTCTTGATGTTCTGGCAACCCGAGTGACGATGGGTGTCGTCACCGGCGATGTCTTGGTCGATGGTCAGCCCCGAGACGATTCATTCCAACGAAAGACTGGTTACGTGCAACAGCAAGATGTCCATCTGCCCACTTCGACAGTACGAGAGGCTTTGCAGTTCAGCGCTGTGCTCCGACAGCCCGCGCATCTTAGCCGTCAAGAAAAGTTGGACTATGTTGAAGAAGTTTTGGAATTGTTGGGCATGCAGTCATATGCCGACGCGGTGGTTGGTGTTCCAGGTGAAGGTATGATTTCGCTCCTGAGGGCCTATGATTGGCTGGTCCGATGATTCTCCTTTCTTCTGGGTATTGATGAGATTTAGGTTTGAACGTTGAACAGCGCAAACGCCTGACCATTGGCGTGGAGCTCGCTGCCCGACCTCAGTTGCTTCTCTTCCTCGATGAACCCACCTCCGGCTTAGACAGTCAGACCTCATGGTCTATTTTGGACTTGATTGAGACTCTCACTAACCACGGACAAGCTATTCTGTGTACTATTCACCAACCGTCTGCTATGCTCTTCCAACGTTTCGATCGTCTTTTGTTCCTTGCGAAGGGAGGGCGCACTGTGTATTTCGGTCAGATTGGAGAGAATTCTTCGATCCTCGCAGACTATTTCATGCGCAATGGTGGACACGCTCTTTCCGAGGGTGAGAATCCTGCTGAATGGATGCTGGATGTGATCGGCGCCGCGCCTGGATCTCACAGTGATATTGACTGGCCGGCTGCCTGGAATGAAAGCGCTGAAAAGGCAGCTGTTGTTCAACACCTGGGTGAACTGAAGTCTTCCCTTTCTCAAAAGGCACCTGACGCTGGCGCAGAGACAGAACATCGTGAGTTTGCGTCCTCGACCAGGGTTCAGCTCTGGGAGTGCCTTTCTCGGGTCTTTTCTCAGTACTGGCGTACGCCGTCCTACATTTATTCGAAGATCATTCTGTCGATCCTTACAGCGCTCTACAACGGGTTCTCATTCTTCCACGCACAGAACTCGATCCAAGGTCTCCAGAACCAGATGTTCAGTATTTTCATGCTCATGACCATCTTCGGAAATCTGGTCCAGCAAATCATGCCCAACTTTATCATCCAACGTTCTATCTTCGAAGTACGCGAACGTCCTTCGAAGATGTATTCTTGGAAGGTATTCATGGCGTCCAACATTATTGTTGAGCTACCTTGGAACACCCTCGTGGCGATCCTGATGTTCTTCTGCTGGTACTACCCGGTCGGATTGTACCAGAATGCAGAGCCAACTGACGCCGTTTCTGAACGGGGTGCTTTGATGTTCTTGTATCTGCTCATGTTCCTGCTATTCACGTCTACTTTCTCGCACATGGTTGTTGCTGGTGTGGAGAACGCCGAAACCGGAGGAAATATCGCCAACTTGCTCTTCTCACTTCTTCTGCTGTTCTGCGGGTAAGCCAACTTGAATTCCCCTTCCTCGGACGTTTCTAATATGTTTCCAGTGTCGTTGCCACCCCAGAGGCTATGCCCAGGTTCTGGATCTTCATGTATCGCCTCTCTCCGTTCACTTATCTCGTATCCGGAATGCTCTCGACGGCTGTCAGTGGCGCCAATGTGACATGCAGCTCTATTGAAACGCTCGTCGTCGATCCCCCAAGCAACCAAACATGCTACGACTATCTCAATGCGTTTGCCACTGGCAGTGGCGGCTATATTGAGAACCCTAACGCAACGAGCGCATGCTCGTACTGTCCTATGCGCTCAACCGATGCCTTCCTGGACCAAGTATTCTCCTACTGGAGTGATGCCTGGCGCAACTTTGGACTTATGTGGGTCTATTTGTTCTTCAACATTGTGGTAGCCCTTGGCATCTACTGGTTGGCTCGTGTTCCCAAAGGTAACAAGACCAAGGGCAGCGCTTGATTTTCACGGCGCGTGTGAAGTATAGAGGAAGAGGGGCTGAGAGGAGTGGTTTTTTGTCTATTTTTGTGTTTGTGTGTGCATTGAAATCTTAATTGATAGATTGATAGATATATTTAATAAGACTAGAATATATGCTCGAGTTAAGCAAAGTTACTTATTCTACTTATCACTGACAAGATAGGAAATGAAAGCACATCTCCTAGATTCCTCTTCATCGCAAACTCTGGGGGTAATCGGGTCTGCCGCGAGGCAGCCTCTAATGGGGGCCACAATGGCTCCAGGGGGTTCTGATGAGGAGGGATCGGCACTAACCGGCCCTTACAAAAATTACAGACCATCGGAGTACTGACGAAAAGTGGTCTTTTCTCTTTCTCTTCCTTCTTTTCCTCTCTACTCTAGGGGGCATATTCACGTTCGGAGACATCTTGTTCGGAAAGGCCCCAGGATACAATTACTCTTACATAGGGCATTGTCGCATCACCGCCAGGCAGACGCTGTATGAATCACTCATTACCCTCCTTCAATCCGTTCTGTCAACAAGCGAAAACGCGCTAAGCTCCAGGCATCGCGCGCTTGCCACCAAGAGAAAACTTTGGTGTCTCAATTTACACAAAAGGCTTCCACTGCAACTCGCACCAGTCCCAAAATCGGGCTTGATACCCGAGTCCCCCCTCCTCGCTCGGGGTCATCGCTGCAATAATATCGCGTCGTGGGCAATCCTCGTCTGGTCGAATCCTTCCCCAGGGAATGACATAGGCTCCATTCTGCTCAGGGGTGATCTCGGACGACAAACCGGCATACAGCTCAGTGTAGGCCCTAAGTTTTGTCTCGTGAAGGAAGGGGCGGATGAAACACATAGCAATCGCAGAAGTCTCTGCGTAGGCTCCTGATTTGAGATTTCCTGGATTCTGAACCACGCTCACAATATTATCCTCCTCAAGCTGAGATTGGCGGGCTAGTTCTCGTCCCAGCATCCACGTTCCCACCTTGGATGCAGCATAATTGCGAGCCCCATCTTTGATCCCCTTGTCTAGTACGTTGAAATCAATTCCATTTGGCGGTGACATGCCCTCGGCCAAGAAGCTGGATGTCCATACAACCCGAACTGATCCACGAGGTGTCTCGGGTGCAGCTGCAGCTGCTCGTAGCTGGGGTCGCAAGAGCTGGGTGAACAGCAAGGTCGCAACGCAGTGCATCCCCACCATCGCCTCGAGTCCTTGGGCGGTTTTGGCGCCGGATTTCACCCTATGCGCCCCACTTCCGGCATTTTTCCAGAGAACATCGAGTTTGGATTCTTCCTGTGCGAAGGTAGTCACCGCTTCCTTGACTGATTCCAAGTCGCTGAGGTCGAGGCGTAGGAATTTGATTTTGCCGGGCACCTTCGGGGCAGGCGAAGCCTTCACTATTGAATGAATTGCGTGCCCGGCGCGCTCCTGTTGGGCCCGTTAGCCCCCTGGTGAGGTTCAAGGGACCAGGCTTTGGGAACTTGCCTTTGATCTTGATGCCATGTAAATTGTGGCCCCAGAGCTGTACAGTATCCTGCACAATTCAAACCCGACACCAGAATTACCACCTGTCACGATAAAAACACGACCATGCTGCGAGGGTAGCTCTTTCTCCGTGAAGGAGGCTTTGGGTGGGAACCACTGGGTGCGCAAATTTCGCACGGAGGTAAGCGACATGATCGGGGAGGTGGAATGCTAATGACATTCGAATATCCGGTGTGCCTCCTTTCAGGTCGCTTCTGTATTTTCATAGGTGCTTGCTGGTCCTTGGGCCACCCCGGTACAATCAGCCCGCGCGCTGATACTGCATGCAGTCCATCACCGCGCGGCTTTCACTTGCAGGGATCAACCCGGGCTAGGTTCTTCAAGCAGCCAACCACCTAACCAGGCAAGCAGCTTCTCTAACCTACCTTTTGCTACCTTTTTTTTTCTTACTCTCTGCCTGGGGCACAAATGGACCTGGGAAGTTGTTCGGCTCCAGACTGAGTATAACAACCCTGAGGTAAAGAGGCAAAGCGAGAGAGAGAAAGAGAGAGAGGAAGGGAGGAAGCAGGGGAAGGCAGAATGTTGGCAAGGTACTATCTTGTACACTTCTAGGGCTAACCCGGCACACAACACGTTTTCTCCTTGGAAGGTATCGAGCGATATTTTCTAAGATGGACTAGAATCCGGACCTTTTCTTTCCCCTGATGAAGTTCTTCCGCTGTTTGTTCTGAGAAAATGGCCAGTGTGTGTTCATTCGGTATTTGCTTTGTGTTATTGCTATTTGGTATGCGTATCGGTCAAAATGTTTAATGGGTGGTCATGCCATATTTAGCTAGATCACCTTCCAGGGTTGGAGACCAAAGACCCCAGGCACGCTGTGCGCAAGTGAGCCTAGAACCCCCCTTCTTGGATGGACTGTTGAAGCCTTGGTAGTATATCCTTGTGGCCCCGGCTTAGCGCGTGTGTTTATCCATGGATTCGATTCGGCGCCCTCGGCTGACCTCGGAATTCCCTTTTTCCTGCAGACTCATGGAGCCTAACAGAAGGATGGACGCGTCAACTTACCGTCATCCACTCATTGTGGCCTGTGAGCGCCCTTTGCAGCATCGTATTCAACGTCCTATCTGGAATCTCACAGAGGACTCCCGCTCACTGGCTCATTATGGATCAATATCAGTACAATACGACCTCAGGATGCTGTTCCTGTCGTCAACACTTTCTCCCCTTCAAAGATTGGGAACGAAAATATAACGCCTGTGAGTCTTTCATCATAGAACACACAAGGATCTTGCTCTAATCTGAATTTCTCTAGTATATTTGACCCGAAAGGGATTTCAACTGTTCGATGTTTCTGAAGAAATGAGAGATCGGGGCAGTATCATGGTTGAATCACCCGGCAAGGCTCTTTTGTTCCACACCGTCTGCTGGTTGCTCTTGATCAAGCACTTTGGAAATAAAACAATTGATTTCCGCAGGCTTTTCGAAGTCTGTAACAATAGGCCTTGGTCGGAAAACTACTCTGAATTTTCGAATACTCCTAAGGCTGCCCTATTGATCGATACTAGGTGGAAAGAGATATCGTATGATGGAAGAGAGGAACCAATTTGCCCAATGGAAACGCCCCGTATCAGATACATTGGGGACGCATCAAGAAAGCTCAGGAGTATCCAGCGCTCAAGGACATTATATCGCAATCTGGCCTCATCTAACATCGATTGCCTCAGCACGCTGCCAATGGAAATACGACTTGAGATTGCTTCTTACCTTTCAACTCCCGATTTCTTTACTCTTCGCACTGTTTCACGAGGTATGGCCGCTCTCTTCTCACTCCAGTCGTTCTGGAGGACAAGGTTCCTCATAAACGGAGATCGAGGCTTTTTGTATTATCTTACAGAGAAACCTCATGGCCACCGAAAAACGAATTGGCGGTCGATGTATCGCTGCACTGCGAGATGCGACACATCCGATTGTCTTCTTCGGGCCTTGCTTGGCATCTGGAGGGGGAATCGCTGGCTGGTAGACAGATGCTCAATGGTACAGAGATTGGATGATCAGAGTGAATCTGACCTACAACTGGAAGTTTCTGGTCAAATATCTTGGAAAGTCCCCGTTATCGAGACTCTTCGCGATAGATCGCCATGGCGAGTTTATTGGCTCAGGTCCCCCTTTCGTTGTTTGAGCCACACATCTGTCACACAATTTGCCTCACTGAAAGGAATTATCAGGCTAGTCGTGTTTGTTTTACATGAGCCCCCTCTTAGAACCGAAAACGAGACGACAACTTGGATTACGGGAATTGATTTAATCAGTGCGAATGCAGAAAAGACAATCACAATTGGGTATCGAGTACCAAGAAGTTATGTGACACTCGATCTCCACCAACGAAAACTGCGAGGATTCGAGATTTTTGTTGGTGATGGCGGAATCCGAGCTCTACGTCCTATCATGAATAGAAAGAGTGTGGAGGACTGGATAGGTCAGCCAGCATCTTATGACAGTGCCTCCGGTTACAAGTCCAACCACTTCCGAATTGCTCGCCGGGATGAGATCAAAGCTATTTCGGCCAAGTTTGATGTAAGTAGACCTTTCAAGGTATATTTGGCTACAAGCAAGTGACTGACCTGATACAGTACTGTAACATGATTTGTTTGTCGATCGCATAGGTTTTGCTGAATATGACGTGGCTTCCCTTGCTTGCTTTTTTGCAGCATGATACTCGCTAGTAATATCGTAAGGAGAAATAAGGGAACCATTTTTGTAGGCGTTTTATGATGGCGGAAAAAGAAGGGCACAAAAACACCCGATTCTCGGGTCTATGAAAGAGACATGAGCAGGCAACCTATCTACACTGGAATTACGGTAAAACCGCACAAAGAATTCTGTAGACAGGATTTCCGATCGACATACTCCCCCTGGTAGTACATATTTCAGATACACGTATCTCAGGAAGATATCAATTAGGTAGCAAAGCCATCATTTTTCCACTGCCACGAATTTCCTTCTTGCGATATGATCCCAACATACGTATTACGAGTTGTAGACTGTGTGGGTTCCGAGTTGGCGCTGTATGTCGAATTGCATCTGTCCAAAATCAATGATTCGAGGTCCAGCGTTGAGACAAAGGTGGAAAACTCAAATTTGGGGAAGCGAAATGCTTTTCTTCTCGAGTTCAGATCATGAAGCACGCAGCACCTGTAGACCGACATCGACGCTTTCACCAAGCTCTAAGCATGAAAGTAGCACTGAACACAATAAGTGAAACTGCAACACCAAGGCAGTGGGATCTAATGCCCAGGTGGGCAGGTGCTTGTCGTCCATTTCGATTTCAAATTCTGGAGATAGGAGGAGAAAAGAAAAAACATCGATTATTCCATCTCAGCCTGTGATTCTTTACTCATACTTATGCGGGAGTTACGAGTCAACGCCTGTGGCCGTAATGCAATGACAATCAACCCCCCAGGGCTGAGTCCTCAAGTTGTTTGCGATGTCTGCCTCAGGTGCCCACTGTAGATAACCAGCCTAGCTAGCTTAGATCTTCTCTCTCCTCTCAACCCAATCAACTATCGTTCAAAGCAGTGTTCTGTGCCCTTCCCCGCTGAAGAGAAGTCCTGATAATACACAGTTGAGAAGGAAGATACTTCCTTGTGTGTGCCAGATTCTGGTCTACTCCGCTCTGTGTATCGTCTCATGGAGTCAGCTTCACATATCGTCACCACGAACCACCAGGTCGGGAATCAGAATTGAAAAGAGGGCCGCGCGGATCCGTCCCCCACCTCGAAATATCTCGTCTGGGAAGCTTTTTCCATCTCGCCGATCACCAAAATCGGATGCAAACTTTAGAATTAGCAGTAATGATTATCTGTTGTGGAATGAATGGCTCGTTGTACGGCATGGATATTGCATATGCAAGATTACCGGGATATGAAATACACATGCACGAGCATCTAGACAAATGCCCTATACAAGGCTCAAGCACGAATGAACGATTATTGTTGAGTATCTATGGATGGAATGTAAAATGAAGCTAATATTTCCACATTCTCGCCCGGCAAGCTTCCCGTTAGTTGCCAGGCTTCGACCCCTGAAGTACCGAGTACGACTGTATGGGCAAGTGAGTAGACCTGTTCTTTTTTCGGAAAGGAAAACACAAATGAGCTGTGTGGCCTGGTGTATGTTCCTCCAATTAGACTAGTAAAGATACGTACATGAATATTGCCGATAGAGAGCATGTGGTTAAAGCCTGGAACTGCAAGGGGGTTTGCAAAGACCCACAACTCTAGAAGCTTTCTTCTATGTATATGTTTTTGCCAAAAGAGACGAGCCAATAACATTCGAAGTTTTTTAGCTAGTCCTCCGTACTACGAGTAGATCTATCGTCATCAGACACATAGAGGCATATTATTTAAGGGCATTCCGGATCGTATTTCGCATAAGAATCAGATCGTCCAGTAAGCAAGTTTATGACTTTCTTCCAACACGCAATGGATGATCCCAAGCTGTCCGGTATACGGTCGTCTGCGGACAACTTTGTCATTCCTCGCGACCTGAAGTTTCAAGTGAAGTGGAAGGATGGCGATAAAGAAAATCCCAGAACCTGGCCTATCTGGTACAGAAGCTATATCGTCGCCGTCATGTCCTTATCCACAACTATTGTGTATGTTTGTCTGGTCCAATGTAACTGTAATAGAAGCAGTTAATAACCAGGACTGTATCGCAGAGCAATGTATACGACAATATACACATCCGCCGTTGATGGGATGCAAAAGGAATTCGAAGTACCCCCAACTATCATAGTTTTAGGGTTGACAACCAATTTGTTCGGCATTGCCTTTGGGTCAGTACTTCTATCCTCCGTTTCGGAAATCTACGGCCGTCGTCCCCTGTATCTCATCTCAGTTTTCTTATTTGGTGTCTTTATTCTACTCGTGGCTCTCGCCCAAAACGTTGAAACCATACTTATTAGTAGGTTTTTCGCGGGCGTTTTCGCGGGCAGTATAATGTCCAACTCCCCGGGAAGCGTTACTGACGTGACGGATGATCGATATCGCGCTTTAGCGATAAGTTGCTGGAGCCTTGGGGCAATGAACGGCTCAGTCCTGGGTATGTTCCGGGTTGTTCTTATTATCATATACACCTTGATGCTAATGATTCAATCTTTTAGGGGCTATTATCGGTGGTTTTGTTTACCAGTATCTTGGTTGGCGCTGGATAAACTGGCTTGTCCTAATCTTTTCTGGTGTCAACTTTCTTTTGATCGCTTTGGTCAAGGAGACCTATACACCAAGCATTCTTCGGAAGCGAACCAAGAAGATACAAGAGGAGACAGGTGATCAAAGATGGTGGTGCCATTATGATCATAAAGAGGTAGTGAACGGATCTCAGATTATCAAGGCAAACTTAGGCCGACCGATTCGCATGATGTTCTTCGAGCCAATATGGTAAGTTGTCTAGGATATCTCTTATTCCCCTATGCCAGTTCTTTGTGGTTTAAACAGTAGGTCCAACTCGCAATTACTGAAACTGATTGATATTTGATAGCGTGTTCTGGAACCTCTACCTCGGCGTGGTGTATGCTGTTCTCTTCCTATGTTTTGTGGCCTATCCGATAGTATTCAAGGAGCTTCGTGGCTGGGCTCCAGGTCTTGCCGGACTCGGCTACTGTGGTATTGGAACGGGATCTGTGATTGCTGTGATATTAGAGCCACTCATTCGGCGAGTTATCGCTATGCATTCTCCAGATCCAGGAACAGGACAGCCCGCACCCGAAGCAGCCGTCTTTGCCGTGGGGATAGGAAGCGTTCTTATTCCGCTGGGTGAGTTTGCGTTCGCCTGGACCGCACAACCCTCGACAATCCACTGGATATTCCCAATTCTTGCTGGCATTCCATTTGGGCTTGGCAATTGCCTGGTCTTTATCTACGCTACCAACTACATTGCCGGAAGCTATAGAGAATATGCAACATCTGCACTGGCCGGTAATACGATTGTGAGGTTCGGTCTTGCTGGGCTTCTGCCGCTTGCTGGATCCAAGATGTACAGCACTTTAGGTGCTAACTGGGCGGGGACGACACTGGCTCTGATTGAAGTCATGCTAATTCCGATCCCCTTCGTCTTCTACAAATACGGCCATAAGATTAGGAAGCGAAGCCGCCTCATTGAGAAGAGATCAGAAGGGCCCGGATAGCACGACCAAGATAGGCATCCGCATCCAATTTGCGATGATAGAGAGACGAGAGAAGAAATCGAGCGGAAATTTCATAGGAATTGTGATGGTCAATAATCGTTTCAGCAAAAACAAATGCCGATTCTTGGTGTTTCCAAGTTTCCCTACTTCGACGGTCCCCAGTGAGAGGATATATTGCCAGTTGAAGTGTTGGCGCGTTCGGAAAATATTCTCACCGGACTCAAGGGATGGCCACAGTGACCAGCACTTCGTCTCCACAGGACACACAGAATGGCTCCCTGAGCCTGATCTGTGGTCCCTCGTAGCAGACGCATGGAATAGTTGTCGGTGACAGCTGGGCTGGTACGCAGAAGACTCTTCACTGGCAGAATCCTTCATATTTGCTAGCCTAAGGATAGAAAAAAGAGAGGGAGGATGTGGGTGATCGGGTCAAGTAAGCTTGATTTCTGAGATCTGACGTTAGCGCGAGAACAGTGGGATCCGTCCGTCACGTGGTGATGACTGTCACGTGGCCTCCAAGATCAGGCCCCATGCGGAGACACGCGGCAGAATTTGGTGTGTCAACCCGGTATCCATGGATCACCTAGCAGTCCAGGCCAAAACAAATGACAATGGCACACTCCAACGATCCTTTCACTCCATCCTCACTTCATGACTCGTCGACTTGACTAACTTGAAAAATGGCAGGGCCACGGCCAGTCTCTCCTCCTCCTTCAATGCTCGCTGAGCTGCTTCGGCATGCCGCGCAGCAACCTTGAAGAGCAGCCAGTGCCTGTTGGAACATGTTGAATCGGCCACACCCCCCTCCCTCCCGTGAACGCAGTCGCACCAGCGCCAGCTGATTCTGACCAAAATATCGAAGGAACATGACCCTTTCAAGCAAATGCCAGAGCACCGGAGTGAAGAGAGTTGGATCTGCCCGCCACCAAAGTCAATTAAATGACGCCATATCGTCATGCAACACGAGTTGACAAGCTCGTTCTGGGTCTTGCCTCGATTTCCACAATTATCGTGCACTAGGTGAAAACCACACAGCTTCGCTCTACAAAACCATTCATATTGGTGACTTCGCCATCACCTCCACTGACATTTTATCGGATACTGGATGAAAAGGATGACGAAATTGCTTGGATATCCGCGCGTTTTGTCCTTGTGCGTCCACAGCTCCCATTGCCGACATCCTGCGCCATGTTTCCTTTTCGTGAGAGGTGCCAGAAAGCGGCGGCACGGCCCGGCCCTAACCACGGACTCGAAATTTGATGATGGCCGGTGCATCACAAACTAGCGTTTGCCCATCTTAGCTCATCCAATTTCATTACCGCTGGCCGACATCAGCTTTTTTAATCTGACTGGAGCTTCATGCCCATCCACCATCATGCCTCAATGCATTTAGCACCAAATTACCGCAGCTCACATTCGCGCGCGCGTATCAGGCGCTGTGGTTGAAGTATCCCTGCATGGTCTGCCAAGACTGCCACCGAACCGATCGTCACCCGAGCGGGGGCTGAGCCTGACCCCCGATTTTGTGAACGGTGAACTTTTTTCACCTCCGGTAGCCCCTCAATACCTGCACTTTCTTTTGAAAATGACGACAATATCGTTTGGGGAGGATTACCAGGGCACTCAGGTTGGAATCAACTACGGGTCAATAAACTATCAATATGGTACGTAACATGTAACCTTTTCAGAGCGTGCTGAGTCCAGATAACCATGCTCAGCGCAAAAGGAGAATAAAGATCGTGATACAGACAGGGGTAGGTATCAATACCATACCCAACGTCATTATTACTAAGTACAGTGGCAGGTGTTTTGGGATCGCTTTCTTTCCCGGAGATGCTAGACCGCAGAGATAACATCGCACCATGCCATACCAATACTTGCCGGTGGATTCTAGACCTTCATGATTTCAAAAACTGGAAAATCCAGTCTCGAGGCTTGCTCTGGATTAAAGGCAAACCCGGTGCAGGCAAATCAACCTTGATGGCATTCCTTTACGGTCAACTCAGTGAAGAGCGAGAGTTGAAACGGCGACCAGGCAGGGCTGGGGGCGTACGGCTCGACTTTTTCTTCAGCGCCCGAGGCACTGAGCTACAACACACACCACTCGGAATGCTCCGATCACTGCTCAATCAATTATACGACTTCGATGAGACCGTGCGCCCTCCAATCCGCAAGATTTTTGAAGATCGATGCAGGCAGTATGGGTATGGCGAAAACCACTGGCAATGGACGCAGGTCAAGCTGGAAGAGCTTCTGGCAGATGCCATTCTAGAATCTGCTGAACGACGGGAAGTGATGGTCTTTGTCGATGCTCTCGATGAGGCAGGAGCTGAATTTGCCCAGCATGTGGCATCATATTTTCACCGACTTATTAGTCGCGCAGAAAAGATGGAAGCAGCCCTGAAGATATGCATCTCATGTCGACATTATCCCATCGCGGAGGATGGCCAGGCTGTTAATATCATTGTTGAAGCCCACAACCGTGATGACATCGCAAGTTACGTCGAAAACGCCTTCGTTGGAATATCCGCTGAGGAAAACCAGGAAGATCTGAAAAATCTAACGAAGCACTTGATCCATCAAGCTGATGGGGTTTTTCAATGGATACACCTGCTCGTGCCTTCTATCAAGCGAAGAATCGCTGAACGTGAATCTTTTGATGAAATTCATTCCTGGCTGCGTGAGGTCCCGGCCGGTCTCAAAGAAGTTTATGTTTACATTATCAATCATGTCATTATGGAGCACAATCGGAAGCAGTCACTCCTACTGTTTCAATGGGTGTGTCTAGCTGAGCGACCGCTGACTGTGACACAAACGCGGTTTGCGCTGGCCACTGAGAATATTCAGATATCATTATCCCAGACATCGGTGCCCCAGGTATCAACTTATCCTCGTTCATTGGAGAATACTCGCCATTTTGTCGACAATGATGACCACACGAAGATAAGAATCAAGGCTCTCTCTGGTGGACTAGCTGAAGTAGTATCAACAGAAAGAGGCGTCGAGGTTGTACAGGTAGTGCACCAGTCCGTCAATGATTTCCTCTGCGAAAGGGGATTCGAACTTTTATCGAGTCATGTTACTGCCAACGCATCATCTCTCGATGGTGGAAGAATTCTCCCACAATGCCAGGCAGTTCTCTATCGGTTATGTTTGATCTCTGTGGCGACCTTTGCTCAACTCTGGGAAACCATGAAAGATTCCGTCGGACAACCTGGAGTTATTGCGTCAGATGCTGTGCAATATGACACATGGCTCTGTTATGCCACGACTTGTCTCTTTGGACACGCAAAGAAGGCTGCTGGGTCTCGAATCGGTATCTTGAAGAATGAGCTGTATCTTTTACAGTCAATGACGGAGCCTTGGGTCCAGCTTCAAATTCGCTGTCATGGTGTGAAATACAATATTGGTCACCCGCGATTGGAAGGCGGCGCGGTTCTCTTGCATGTCGCTGCAACTTATGACCTGGTGGATATCATAGAGACTCTTTTGGAAAGTACTGACCAGATCGACGCAAGGGACTACTTGGGGAACACAGCGCTCCATCTAGCCGCGCAGCAAGGCCATATAAGAGCAAGCAAGATTCTTTGCGAGAAGGGCGCAAGTTGCGAGGCACAAAATGATTATGGCATGACAGCATTGTTTGGAGCGGCTCGTCATGGAAACCTGGAACTTTTTCGGTGGCTACTACACAAAGGAGCCATCACTGGCATAGACGATGACAGGGATGGCGCATTGCGGGCTGCTGCGAGGGAAGGACATACTGAGGTGGTGCAAATTCTACTTGATGCCAAAATCGATGTCAATGCCCAGGACAGAGAATACGGAAATTCCCTACAAGCTGCTGCTCGCGGAAGGAATGTGGAGGTTGTTAAAATGCTACTTGATGCCCATGCCGATGTCAATGCTGAGGCTGGAGAATACGGAAAGGCCCTACAAGCTGCTGCTTGCGGAGGGAATGTTGAGGTGGTGAACATGCTACTTGATGCCCACGTCGAGATCAATTGTGAGGCCGGAGAATGCGGAAAGGTCCTAGAAGCCGCCGCGTGGAGCGGAAATATTGAGGTGGTGCGTATATTGCTTGATTTCTATGCCGGTGTCGATTCTAAGGCCAGGGAATACCGAAAAGCCCTGGAAATCGCTGTTCAGGGAAAGCAAAGCGAGATTGTACGGCTACTCCTTGATTTCCATGCCACTTTTGATGCCCAGGGCAGAGAATATGGAAACTCTCTACAGTTGGCAGTGTCTATAGGGTTTTCTGAAGGGGTACAGATGCTACTCGATGCTCATGCCGATGTCAATTCCCAGGGCAGAGAATTTGGAAACCCATTGCAAGCTGCCGCTCGCGAAGGGGAAGTAGCGATGGTACAGATGCTGCTTGATGCCTATGCTGATGTGAATGCCGAGGGCGGAGAGTATGGAAAGGCTCTACAAGCTGCGGCGTACAACGGCGATATTGAGGTGATGCAGATGTTACTTGATAACCATGCTGATGTCAATGCCGAAAGTGGAAAGTATGGCAATGCCCTCCAAGCTGCCGTCCACAATGGGCATATTGAAGTGGTGCAAATGCTCCTTCATGCCCATGCTGATGTTAACGCTCAGGGTGGTCAGTATGGCAATGCCCTCCAAGCTGCCGTGTACAATGGACATATTGAGATAGTGCGGACGCTTCTGAATGCTCGTGCTAATGTTAATGCTCAGGGTGGTCGCTATGACAATGCCCTCCAAGCTGCCGTGTGCAAGGGGCACGTTGAAGTGGTGCGAATGCTCCTTGATGCCCATGCTAATGTTAGTGCTCTGGGTGCTCAGTATGGAAATGCCCTCCAAGCAGCCACCCTCGAAGGGCAAACTGATATAATGTGCGTCCTACTTGATGCTCGTGGTGATGTCAATTTCCACGGAGGCAAGTATCAATCGTCTGTTAAGGCTGCACATTCTAGGGACTATCCTGATGGTGTTCGATTCTCTCTTGATTCAGAGGTATATTTACCACCTTTGGATGGGCTGGACCAAAATCCGCTTCATATTGCAGTTTCACGCCCTCCAGCCCTGTCAAGACTAACGAGTATAATCTCTCACTGCCCCTACCTGACGTTGGCCCTTGACCAACGGGACAAGCTTTTGCGAAATCCTCTCCATACATCCATTTACAAAGGGCTCGGAATATCATCTGCAATTAAACTCCTCGAGCTTGGCTCTGATCCTTCTATTTTGGATGGCTATGGGAGAAATATAGTGGATTGGGTACAAGGGAACAGATATTTGATGGCTCAAATTCGACCGCATTGCCCTCAGACCCTCCCAACATGCCAGGAAACTCAGTACCTCACAACCCGTCAATCGGTCCTTCTCTTTGCGAAGAATATTCTCCGTTCTCTGCCAGACTTTCAATTGCCTCTCGTGCAACAACTAGGACACTTTCTCCTACATCTTAATGATGAAGACAGAGCGACGTATCTCTTCCAACTACATCTGTCGCCAGAGACTCAGATTTTCAGAATCGAATGCTTCATATGTGACGAGTGGATATATGGTCTCATTTTTGTTTGTCGACAGTGCCCAAATGTCGTTCTCTGCTGGCGGTGCATCCGTTGTCAACCTCCGGGGCTACTGCACACATACTTTCACGAAAAATTCGAAATATCAGCACTGCGTGATAAGGAGCAATTTTTCAGATCAAGCTCTGATACACTGGGTCTCTTTTTGCAAGATCTCATCGAGGAATTTTCTGCAAAAAGCGCCGACGATCCCAAAAAAGGGTTCCTGGATTACCCTTCACTGTCTGCGGCTCAAGAAGAGACTGCCTTTTCGCTACCGAAGACCACTTTTGGCCCAGCAATTATCGCTTGCACTATTCTTGTTGTAATTCTTGGCGTTTCAATTGGATGCTTCTATTTTTAATTTTGTTCTGATGCACCTGTTGGGGTGGAGTTTGCCCCAGTCTTGTACGTCCATTCCTGCAACACAACGGCCAGTGATTCGTGCGCAGGGTCAAAATTTTGAACCCAGGTCACTCGAACTTAGCCACATAGGAAAATACCATTTAAGTATCAGCCGGGTTGGACTCGTCCTGGTGAATATTTATAGATCCAGTGGTACTTAAGTACTGATCCTCTGTCTTTCGAACATAGAATTTTTCACGCCCGCCGTTTGGGCCTGGGAGGCTAACCTCGTATTGACGCGTAGTAAGATCCTTCAATCTCAGTTATGTGGTGCGTCCCAAACTCTCAAGTTCATCATTATCTTGTTCTTTTAGCAGACCATACTGTAGGTGGGCTAAAGTATGGTCTAGAGCTGGAGGTGAGACCTGATTTTTTTTTACGTAGTTTGAAGAATAGAAATGATCTTCAATCAACTTCAACGCTCTTCCTACATTTATCTAGGCCCTCTTGCATTGTCTGCATTTCATTGATCTGAAAGCGGGGGTGGTGGGCTACCGGTCGCACTCCAAAGATTGTGTATCTGGCCCACATAACTGGAAGTAGATGGTGCGCTCGAAATCATGAGAACTGCTTGTGCATACCAGAGGTGGTAGTATATTGCTATCTATTCACGCCCAATATCCTTGAGCCAAGCAGGGAAGGAGGAACGGGCAGAAGATCGCAATCATCTAGCTGCTCTGCTGCTACTGGGGAGAGAGAGAGCAGCGCGGGATCTATCTACAAAGAGAGGGCTGGCTCTAATCCTCACCCAAGCAATGTCCCTATCTTCGAAGATGCGTAGCTCTGGTTGCATATCTTCTCGCCTGCCCTGCGCAGTCGCCGATGTCGAGGTACGGTGTTTTGCATATATCATATATCATCGACGTGATACAATGACCGCAGCTACGCCCAGAATGACGAGTGCAACATCCCCCGCAAATTTCTTCCCACTCTGAACCTGCATGGCGAGGCCTATAGTAAAAGATACCAAACTAAAACATGCTGCAGAGAACTTGAGCCTTTGCCTCCCCAAAATGAGACTCAGCCCCACAAGGGTGTCGATGATCGGAACGAATTTGGCACCGACCGAGCCATCGTCGGGCTTGTGATATTCCTGGAACGCGTACCATACAGGGGTATACTGGCCGTGGGTGAAGCGGGAGAAGGCACCTAGTAGAGCAACGGCGGCGAGGGCATAAGGCGGGAGTTTGTCCAGAAATAAAACCATGACAGCGGTTCGACCAAAAAGTAGCGGATATGAGAGGAAAGAGAAGAGTAAATCCACTTCCGGTTGAAAAGGGAGGATCAAAGTAAGTTGTCAATCAAAATATTGCGTGAGAACGATGGACTTCTCACCGGCAACTTGATCTGAATAGTGGAAGACTGCAGGAGTAATGGGGGAAAGTAACTCAGAACAAGTTATGTTATCTCTCTCACTGTGTTCAAGTACTTCATTTGGCCGCCGTTCTAACCCTTATTGCGCCACCTGAGGGGTCGTGGCCTCTAGAAAGGTCTAAGTAGATTACTCTCTCGTTTGGCGGAGTCACAGCCCAAGACACTAGATGAATCTCGGATCCACCACTGCTGCCCCGGTGCCAGCTCAGTCTCTCCGGCCCCGAGCAATGAGTATTGTAGTGGAACTCTTGATATTTTTAACAGATTGACCTCACAGGCTAAATGGCACACCCTTGTTGGGAATCACAAAATGCAATACTATCAATCAGGAAGGAAAAAAGTTTCGCGGTCAACACCCCAGTTGATCAGCCCTCAGGTCTACATATATTCGCGTAATCGGGAGATCTGCCGGTCGGAAAGGATAAACAGCCTGGGATTCTCCCTTCTCCACATATTCCATGGTGTGGAACTGACAGACGGTTGTCCCCCGAAAGGGGGCCGGGGGGTTCGACCACACCTTCCACACAGCATCATGCGCAGTCTCAATCTGTATCCCACGGAATCCCTCCGCCACTGACCGTCGCATCATTTCCTCCGCCAGCAGTCTCATCAGCCCACGGCCTGAATGTGCTTTCATGGTGTTTGTCGCATTGCGCATAAGCAACTGCCTGGGCCCGGTCGGCTTCCACGAGACGGGATCACGCGGGTCCAGATCTCCGATGGCCTTGACGAGGGTCGCAAACAGCGGCATAGCTCCCAGGAGTGGCATAAGTTGGTTCATGTCAAGCTCGTTGATGCCATCGTATGCCATGGCGATTGAAACGAGTGGGAAATCCATTTGCTCCTCCAACTCGCTTGGTGTCGCACTCTCACAATCGAAATCCCAGTAAAGCTTGCCGCCAGTGGTGGCCGATTCGGGTCTCTTGAACTCATAATTTTTGTGGAAAATCCCGAGGGAGTAGCCCGAATCGATTTGGTGTTTGATCAAATAGTGCGCGGCGTGGAACGACTGGTAGAGTCGCTGCGTTTTGTTCTCGGGATACACGACTGGCCACAGCGGACTATAAAATATGTTGGTGTAGAGGCAAATGGACCTGGCCCATTCTTCGTGTTCTGGCCCCAAAACGCGAATCTCGTATTCCGGTGGAAGTGTTCGCGCCATTTTGAGGGCTTTGGATAAATGGAATAACCGTGTAGGAGCATGGCCGAGTTGCGACCAAGTTGTAAGACTAATATTGATGCACGATGTTTTAAGCTAGTCTCAATTGGAGCATGGTGTTCGCCTCGTCCTACATAGTGCTTACCCTGGGGCCGGGGCCGTAGCCCCCATAAAGAATGTTGGGGCCTCGTATGGCTTATTAATTCTGTGCGCGCGTATCCGGACCCAATCCTGAGGAGGAGAAAAATGATCAGAAAATTAATATTATAAGTACACACAAACTAGAGAGAGAAGCTCTAGAGAGAAAAGAGAAAGTGAACTAGAGACGAGCGAACTACTAAATGAGGCCACTGCGACCGCCACGTGGGCATTCATGCGCAGCTTTGGTTGTATCTGGGGTATCGCGATTCCGACTACTGTTTTCAATACGCGGGTTCAGGAACTACTCTATCGCATTAGTGATGTTCAATTACGGTAACAGCTTGCTAATGGTGGCGCATATGCAATGGCTAGTGATGGGCTTATACGCACTTCGAAAGACACTCCCCAGTTGATGGCGGAAGTATTGAGTGTTTATCAAGATAGCTTGCGATGGGTGTGGTGGATTGCTATCCCATTTGGTGGTATTGGACTTCTTCTTTGCATACCTATCAGGCAACTAGTGCTAAGTGAGAATTTGAACACCGAGTTTGGAATACAGGTAGGAGAGAGAAGGGAATAAGGGAATATGTATGGAATTTGTTGGTTGTCATTACGTGCAACCATCCGGGTATTTACTACTCAAATTTTTGGCGGAACACAGTGTAGCCCATACATATCCAGCCCTGGAGAATTTAGTGGTATGAGTCTGCTCCATAGGGGGTCCTGGTTTTGAACGCATGACCCACTTGTGCCAGAGCTAAAGTTGTTCCGGGACCAGTCCACACTCTGAGTGGTTGACAATAAGTACATACGGTCTCCTATTGATCAAGAGCGCTACGCTAGCCTGTCCCGGACTAGCACCTCCCCCCCCAAGGCACGTGACCCTGTCCACACTTTTAGGTTGTGCGGGGAACGCCCGGGTATAGTATAAGACACAAGGAACAGAGCTTGTAGCAAAGCTGACTTCAGGGGAAACTGTGGACTTTGAAGACGCCAAAAGCCCCGGGGCTATTGCCAAGACCCCACGGTTGTTCTAGATCCAACACTTGTGTTGATAGTCATGTGACCCCTGGTTTGGAAGCCCCTGGGTATCCTGTTCTCTTGCAACTCAAGCCATTGAAACCTCCATTCAACACAACTCAGGCTTTGCAATCTCTTCACTATTCGACTTGGATCTCCACACATTCAAAGTATGCAACCCCGAATGCACTACGATGATGCCTCCTGGGAAAAAAGCGAAGAAGTCTCTGATTCCTGGGTACGCCAATTTCTCGAGCCTGACATCTTGAGACCGGTTGGAAGCTTCCTTGTACGACACCACAATCCTAGCAATCCCGATCAATTTTCCATTCTGGAAAAAGGTGCTTTCAATATCTCTCTTCGAATGAAGTATGAAAATGCTGGCTCCGCTGTTATACGATTTCCGCAACCTGGGGCCACGATGTTTCCTGAGGAAAAACTCCGCAACGAGGTCGCTACAATGCGATTTATCCATGATAAGACATCAGTTCCAGTTCCTTTCATTTTTCATTGGGGTACAAGGAAGGAAAGCCCCCTGTGGTGAATACAACTGTTTTAATAGTTCCGTCACTGGTCGGAGTGACAAAGTGATCCCGGGTCATTGTACAGTCTTCAAAAGTCCACGTTGCTTTGATAGGGGTGTCGTGCAGCCTGCTCTTCGGGTCCTCGGCACATTTCCAAGCCATCGCAATCAATCGAGTCTCCTCGGGAGTTCTAAACAGTTAGTATGAATCATAACCACGAGGAGACACATACGAGGACCAAGTTTGACATTGCTCATCTTTGAGCTGCGAGTTGGAATATTTCGCCGCTTCTTTCTCGAGCCCCTCCAATAAGAGTTTGATTTGAGGTTTTAGCTCACCTAACTCTGTCAGTGTATATTGTCGTATATTGTTCTAACAGGCGGTGGTATAATACCATCTAAATCGAATTCCTCAAAGACACTATCCAATACAATAGACAGTTCAGCAATTGCGGCCGAGGAGCCTTTGGAATTGTCGATGAATGTAATACCGGATGAAGGAACAGCTGCAGAGGCCTGCGAGCCTGTTTCAATTGACGTTCGGTTGCGCCGAGCAAGCTTTAACAGTTTTTTGAGGGAAAGGCTCATCCTAAATTCGTAAAAAAAAAAGTACGAATAATTTCAAGAACAAAAACAAGAGAGTAGCTCGTCGCACGGGGTACAAAGTACTCCGTACGCTGATTCCTGATCCTGGATCTGTGAGGTTGAGTTGGGCAAAATCGGATCTACACCCCTTGCATGAATTTGCGTCACCGGATGGGTACAAAGCTTTTGGGTTCTCTTCACCCGGGTGCAGTGGGGTCGGGGTGTTTCATCGTGCCTCAGCCTCGGGGCTGAGGGTCTTGGACCGAGTGCCTGCATAATTAGCGTGCTTGGCAGCAAAGCCGCCCTCTTATCGGCCATTCTGATTGGATCTTCTTCTCCCAAATGTGAGGCAAAGCACTGATTTGATCAAAACATCTGCTGGTCTTGTTTGTCCTGTGCCTTGAGCCTCACTTTGCCTGCCAGATCAGGGGAGGCAGCAAACTTGGCATCAACCCTCTTGAAAGTTTAACATGTTATAATGTCTGCAGAACCCAATATCAAAATATAAGTCTTGACTTTGCTCTTCGGACAGTGATTTCACATTGCGTGTTTGCTTCCTCGGTCCATCTTGTACGGAGTACGGAGTAGAAAGCTCTCTATCATTTCCCTTCTCTCTTTTCCAGACCAACCGTCAACCATCCAACCATCCAGATTGATCACATTGCTTCTTTTTCCTCGCCTAAAGGCTACTGAGATATCACATTCGAGTTTCGCAAGATGTCATGCTTCGGACGATGTGGTACTAGAAGACCTGGATCATGGGTGAATGTCGGACCCGGAGAAGAGCATCTACAACAAAACATAGAAATGCTTTATTGGGTTGGAGTCGAGCAAGAGCTTGAAAATATCATACGGACTTTGAACACCTGGCAGAACATCAAGAACTGCGACGCCTCGCTCAAAGATGAGACCATTGGCAATATCCATGGTTATGATACATTTTTGGGACAGGTCAGTCAGGAAGAGAGAGAATTTGCTGTTCAGTATGGTAAGTTGATTATGTTCTTTCAAATATGATTTGAGTTTGACATGGTATAGCCGAGAATATGAAGAGAGAAGCGCTTCAGAGGTCTGAGAATCGGTCTGCAGCAGCTGAGGATAGACCGTCTACTCTCCAAGACCAAGACCAAGACCAAGAAATTTCAAAGCGCGGAGAAAGTCTCAAGGCTGACGTTGAAAGAAGCATTGCTTCTATCCCAAAGCTATCCGGCATTGAACAGCAGGCATCTGTGCTTTTACAGGCGGCTGGTGAGTATAAAGCGCAGCAAATATCCAGAATCAAATCTAACAGAATAGGATTTCTCGACATCGATAAAATTATTGAGCATCGGCCGCCACTGGAAGATTTGGGATTTTGGAATAGACCAGCAATTTCACAGTGTGAGTCTCCCCGTTTCTCTGTGCTCGGAGAACGTCCACTAACAACATAAGTAACGCTCTCCGACAACACAGAATCTCGCCCGAAGTTTTCCCCGTTGTATTGTCAAGGAGAGAAATGCCAAAGTGTGATCTGAGGAAGCTTTTTCGTCAATAAACAAACTGCAGAGCAATTTTGCGAAACCTGCTACAGGAAGCCTCACTACGAGAGGTCGCTGTTCACAAAGGTTTACAAGCATTGCATACTAACAGAAGTCATCACTCCAGAGATGAGCAGGAACATGTGTCCATGTAACCAGGTTCCTCATTGCGATGACCAAGGCCAGGGACGCACCCTTTTTCCCGTTGATGTGAGCGATCAACATGTGGATGAAGAGGACAAGCGATGCAACATACTGAATCTCGGGCGGGATATCGCCCTAGCCAAGTACCATGGACTTCTGAGTTCTGCTCCCGATCCAGAGGCCAAAGCCAGAGAAGAGGATAAACAGAAAAAGAAGTCTGCCAAGTTCAATCTGCTCGGCAAATTGAGTTCCAACAAGAAAGGCCCAGAGAAAGAAACAGCGAGATTGTCAAAATCAAGGAAGCGGCCTTTTGGGAATAGGTCAAGCGAGTTTGTTGAAGGAGAAGAGCTGAAACCAATTGGAAACATAGCTGAAATGACGGAGAAAAGAGCAGATGGTGACATCCCGTTCTTTTTTCGTCAATTCACAGAGCAGTATCCATTTGGAAATGTCCACATGGGGTTACGCGTTGGTCCACTCATGATTGAGAACGGAGTTCCCAAGTATGTATGTCTTTGCCAGTCGCCAGATAAATACTTATTATGGCAGTACCAAAGGTGGAGCCTTTATATCCCTGCGGCAGTGTCCAGTCTTTTACGACAGGTTTTCCGCTCAAGAAAATCCGACCCTAGCGGTGGTGGACGACGAAGAACGAACTGTCTGGACACAGAAAAAGGGGGCTCCGATTGACACCCCCAAACGATACAAAGCAATCATGAAGCAAGTTGTTGGGATGCCCTTTACCGGAATTCTCTCGGCGAACATTGGAGACATACATCAACAAGAGATTATCAAGCTCCTAGTCGCGGGAAGTAAACAGACACTTGACAATCCTGGCCTACCTCACAACGAAAGATGTTTGCCTCTCAAAAGGATCCTGCAGCCTGTGATTCAAAGGCTCAAAAGCCTGATTGGACCCAGACTGAAGATATACTTGGCAAGCATTGTGAACAAGCTTTTGGACCGGACTGTCCGTCTTCGATGGAGTATGACGGAGAACAACTGTCAGACCTTTTGCGACAGTCTGATCGATGCCAGTCTGTTCGGTCCACTGACTAGTATTGAAGGATCCCCAGGAGAGCGATTGTCGCATCCATTATACTTGATGAGCTTCGTCTGCCCACAAACAGGCTACTTGAAAAATCGAGTACAAACAAAGTACGACGTACCTCATGGACTAACGGAAGAATATCTTCTGAAGTTCCACTTTGGTCGCCACGATGAAGCAGACATAATTGACAACTTGCAAGAATACTGGTATGACTGGGGTGCTTTTGGGTCGCATCTTTATGAGAACCAAGATCTCTTTCCCTGGGACTGCTCTGAGGCATACGAGAAATATCCCACCAAATGCAACGACTGCAATCTTGCGAAGCACATTTGGGCTTTTCCATTTGACTCCTGGTCTATGGCCGAGCTTCATTTAAATCGCGACTGTAATATGTATCCAGACACAGACGCAAAGTGGATGGAAAATCGACTCAAAGTGCTTTCTGCTTGTTTAATTCTCGCTCGAGCAGCAAGTGGCATGGCAAAATCACAGAGCTTCCGAGCAGTCACTGACTGGCTCAGCGCGAAGCCAAGTTCTCCCTGGACTGATGACCCGGCGTCGGTGCGTGTCAAGCTAGGTGGTATCCATCGAGCACAACCATTCAGTCATTACTTCGAGGCTGTGACATACAGTCACTATTTTTTGGCCGACTGGGCCATAAGAAAGCGACCGCAGCAGATCAAAGAGTATGAAGCTCTTCGAGATAAGCGCATGGAGCGCAAAGAATTCATTGGCGGTGGTGATGGCTTATTCACAGCTAATGATATCGACGTCGTTGATGTATTTGCACAACAGTTTTTGGGATTCTATGGTATGGATTTGCTGTACAGCGACTCGTCAAGTGATAGCCAATCCGACGATAATTCCGACTTTTACGATACCCATTCCGATGGCCGCAATGATGACATATCTGCCGGTGTTTCAGCGCAAGGAGGGGATCACATTGACCACACCACTGGTCCAGTGAAATCCGTCCATCCGACGGACGAACATCACCAGGTGTCTTCAGAAGATAGGGAAATCAGTGACCCTACCAAGTCGCAGCCATCCGATCGAAAACAGCCCGCAGGAGATCATTCCCACTCCAGTGATTCGAGAGACAGCCGTGAAAATTCAGAAATCCACAATTCACACTCGACTCATTCAGGTACCCCTTCTTCGACTCATCGAAACAACGACCAGGCTGACACTATCCCAACCACAGATTCGAACAACAAAAAGCCTTCTGGCTCAACCTCTGGCTTGGAAGATATCCCTGAGACCAGCAGTCGGATTAGCTATGCGCGTGATATTCACTCCAAACAGGACTCCGATCACGGAAGGGGGAGTAGCAAGGAAACGCCGTCTAATCATTCGAAACACGATTCTCATTCCCGGGATGATTGGTTATCGAGTATAAATGTTGGAGCTTCAACGTCTCCCTCGGTATCTTACCCATCATATTCATCGGGCTATGGATCAAGCTCGACGGACTACGGATCAAGCTCGACGGGTTACGGATCAAGCTCGATGGGCTATGGATCAAGCTCGACGGGCTACGGAGGGGGCTCATCATCCCGTGGTGGCGGGAACTCCTATGACTAGAAGTATTCATTATCAACTTGTTATTGATTCCACCAGCTATCTGCTCATCTATGTTTCAACTTTCGCGCTTCACAGATGTTACATGAATTGCTTGTCATTCTCGGTTTTTTGCGATACCTCCATTCACAAGAAGTACGGAGTACATAATCGCGAACTTTAGAATTGATATTCAATGAAAGCAAGAAGGAGAGGCAAAACATAGGCCCCAATCCTGCGGTTTACAAAGTATCTCTCCAGCCTCACATCAAAGTACAGGTGTCCGTGCCAAAAGGACCTTGATCATCTCGTGCAGGGTGTATCATATCCTTCGGCCCTATCAGATCATCCCAATAGATGTTATCTATGAACCCGCATCGTTGTTCTTCAAAAACCTCTGCCATAATCTTGAGACACTCTGGGTCTTTCTCTGTCAGGGCAAGTACGGTGAGTGACAGTCGCTTCTGTTTTGTCAAGATAGAGTTTCCCTCATAAGCCATAGCCCAACTTGGATTGCCGCAAGCCTTCAGTTTGTCTTCAATTTCCATGAAAAACATGTGACAGTGTACAAGGGTCTTGAAATAGTTGTGGGTTGAAAGTGGGCGATCCCCACAGATGTCTGAAATGAAATCACTTTGCAACAGGGTGAGGTACGTGGGCAGTTGGCTCTTGGCTCTGGAACCACCAACGGGCGGCGGCGCACTGCCGAAAGAGTACCCCTCCGGCATGGTATCCTTCAGATGCTGTTTGTAGGCTTCGGGCACGCTGGGGTCTGGGGCGGTGGGAATCTTCGATGTCAGCTCAATGATATCTTTATCTTTCATTCCCAGGCTTTGTAACGTTTCACCAGATCAGTTTCTTCTAACTTAACCTCACCGGTGACCCGGTCTTTGATTTGCTTTGTCTCAGTTATTCGTAAAAAGCTGAGCATGGATGGCGTAGGAATTTCTTCGTCGGAAATTCTATCGGGATTCCAGTTCACGGCTTTGTAGACTTCCAGCATGGATTTGAGCTTGAAGAAGCGATTGACGCTAGGGTCAAGAAGGTCGCTCAATTTTGTCGCGTTTCGCGCCATTTGAGCCCTTTGAGCCCGGTTTCGAAAGATCTCGCGTTGCGAATTGGCAGCACCAACTCGATCCTCAAATGCTTTGAGGAAATTCGAAGTGGGGGGCTTCCCATTGAAGATAGCATCTTGGAATAGATCCACCCCGAGGGCATTCCATAGCCCTACACCACGCTTGAGAAGACCCTTCTGGGCTAACATGTTGTGGAGATGAATGATACAAATCGGCTCGGGAACATTGTCCCAAATAAGCATAGCAGCGCCATAAGACAGCTCAAGTGCTTCGGAAAGACCTGCACCGCACAGAAAGGGAGAATACTCCCACAGTCCGTTGCTGTTGGTTTCTGAGAATCGCGACGGAGGGATACCCACCAGGCCGGATTGGTACTTGCTTTCTCCAAGCCAGTCGATGAAATCCTCACACAGCTCAACCATAAGGTCTTTGAAGAAGGCATTGCGCTTGGGATCCCCATGCATCGTTGCATCTCTTTCCAAGAGTTGCTTTAAAAAATCAATTGATTGGCAGATACCCATGTTTTTCCTTTTAATATCACGGTCCATGAAGATATCGACGTCGCGTCGGGGTCTGAAACCGGGTGCAGGAATTGTTATTGCATGTCCAACAAGGACACCAATTGACCATCCACGAGACAGTCATAGAGTCTACCATGCACTGTAGCTGGAAGACATGGTGCGGTAGGATCTTTGCTCGGATATCTGTTCCTGCCTTTTGCATTGCCAGATGTGTAATGTCACCAGCAAAGTCGTTGATTCCAAATAAGACTCGGTGCTTGATCCATGGCCCGTTTCGTGGCCAGTCAACGCGCTCGAGGAGGATTGTCTGCTTTTGGTTTGTTCGACGCTGAACCACAACTCCGGAGAAAACGTTCACCAAATCATACAGCCAATTAATTGTGTATGTTCGGCGCCACTTCATGCGCTCTTGTCGGCTGGCTTTTGCAAGGTTCAAGTTGGGATTCCAATGCTGAAGGCTTTTCAACATAGACTTGGTTGGCTTGCCGCTGCGCGTCTGCTGGAAGTCGGTGACAAAGTCGAAGAGATCTTGATAACCATTCAAGAAAAACTCCTCTTTCACATTACGCGTGAATTCTCAAAGGTTCCGTTAGCATTTTGTCGTGTAGCACCAATGTGGAACATTCCTTGAGCCTTGTCGGGATTGCCTCGGGTGAGAGTCTGCACGACGGTCTCGAAAGAGTCATGACCAGGGAAATCCACGAACATTTGCGATTGAGTATCTTTGATTATCTCAATGGCGACATTGGACACATTAGCTGCAACGGCGCTGTTCAGACCGTCATACGCCACCTGACGCCAGACACCTTGGAGATGATGACGCAGCTCCATCATTTGTTGAACCAGCGAGTAGACAGCCATCAAATAGTCAGTGACAGTACCGCTGTCATCCTCGATGATGCGATAGCTCTCCAGAGGCACATCTTGTAGCTTATGGGAATCGGCACCATCTGCCGTCTTCCTCTGGCCCTTTGGCTTCTTAGCTTTCTTGCCTGTCTTTTTGTTCTTCTGGGGCTTTCGATTTGTTTTCTTTGCCGGAATACTGAATCTGGCTGGCGAAGCAGTATTGGTGTCTCCTCCTTCGTTTCCTTCAACTACAATGTCTTCTTCGCCCTCGGCTGCTGTCTCGCTGTCCAGGCTGAGCGTCGAGAATTTGTTCGCAAAGATAACCTCATCTTCGTCTTCGTCAAGCACATCGCTGCGGGAACTCTTTTCTGCTTTCCATATGTTCCCTCCCAGGGCATGAAATGCCTCGGTGAGGCCATTGATCCAGTGCTTGTGGGAGTCATTGCTTTTTTGGACTTCGGGATCTTTGGCCGCTGCGGTAATCTTCAGAGAGAAATCATGCGTTTCCTTCCTGGCATCAATGATCGATTCAAAAAGTCGAAAGATCGTTGTCGGGATTGGACTTAGATGCTTTGCAATCAGAGCGGAGAGGGACTGGAGGGTGGCCAAGGACACTACTCCAGTGGTGTTGATGGCTGTAGAAGCTTCAGACGGCGATTTGTGAATGATTCCAGCTGAGGTATTGACGATCCAATAGACAAGATGTCTTTGGTCACGCTTGTACCTCAAGTATGCATTGCGGTCAGCCATCATTGGATAGCCTTGGAGTTAGCAACGCTTGGACCGCGGTGTTTACTTGAAGAACCAAAGTAGGAGATGAAAAACATTGTACGTAGCAGTAGCTGTCAGGAGAGCTGTCAAACGATGCGAGAGTAATTGACAAAACTGTTGAGAGCGCACAGCGATAGAAAGAACCGATTGAATTGACCGAGGAGAGAGAGAGGAGAAGGAGAGAAAGCCTATGGAAGGAGGGTTTATCTACATCAAACGAGGGTTGGGGCAAACACCCATCTCAACAAAAACGAGAATTCCCAATCAAGGTTGGATGTACGGAGAGTACTGAGGTGGGCAGAATCTCAGGGCAGAATTTCGAGGGATCCGTATACGTTTGTCCGCTTCCTGCAGACCCATGTAGACGAGCAAACAGATAGGTCCCACCGAATTTTCACCACTTATGTGGAGTACATTCTACACCATCTATATACATCCTACACCATCTATACATAAAAAAAACCCCTCGGTTCCTTCTATTACTCTTGATGTGTGCACAAATGTAGGATCTATATCTCACTCAATAAAATTGACCCTACACATTGATATCATGCCTAGATTGTTTGTCACCGGGAATCTACGCAAGGTTTACGGGTAGCTACCGCAGCTCTCCAATACTAGGGCTCTGACAGCCAACGGCCCATGCAAAGCAGGCATCGAATCTAGGGAATCCTAGGCCCTAGGATGTACTTATGGCTATGTGTATATGTGATCAACAATATACTTGAGTACATTGTGAACTTTGACTTATTCAAGACTTTCTAAAGTTCGATGGCTGCATTCATCGGGAGCAGAAGGACCTTAGCAAAGTAGACTACGCGGTATACATGTTTGCCTTTAATGGGAGTTGGTGGGCGTTTCTTCAGATCTCCCACGACTCTAAAGTAAGTACATTTTTCAAAATTTAGAACTTCTTGGTGGCCAGTCCTCGACTGATCTAGTACTCTTACCTGCCGGTCATACTTATGACACCTCGAACAAGTCTGACCCGACTCTCACTCTGCGTTTTGTTCCACTGCATCGAGGCTACGGAGTACAATCAACTGCATTCAGATACGAAGGAAACAGACGAGGACAAAAAAGCTTAAGCCCATAGCGCACAATTATTGGGTCAAGTTTGTCCCAACATCGGACATGTTGTCAGTGGAGCTGATAACGGACTTTAGGAAATATCCCGAATTGCTGCAGGCGAACGGTTGAAACTTTAGAATGATGGTCTTTTTATATAATACACCTCGGTTCAAAGCGATTCGTCAACACAAGACGCAATGCTCTAAAGGTCAAGCTTAGAAAGATCCGAAAGCCCACCGGGGAGTACCTTGGCGCTGACATCCACAGGAAGTTGGTCGACAATGGCAGAAACGATGCTGAGGATAGGGACCTTGGAAAGGTTGAGGTTGGCAGCCTGAGTCGGGGCCGATGGAGCGGCGGTGGAAGAGGGGACAGCAGTCGGTGGGGTCAGGGCAGCTACGCCGACATCGACGGGCAAGGCATCGACGACACAGGAGAGAACTTTGTGAAGATCGAAGCTAGGCGCGAATTTGACCTCAGCGTTCACAGGGAGGCTATCAACCAGGGCGGAGACCAGACTCAAGATGGGATTCTGGCTTAGGTCCAAGTTGCGCGCGGCATGCGCCCCAGAGTGGGATGCTGTAGCGGTGCTGGCGGCGAGGAGCGTGGTGGCCGTGGCAAGGATTGAGAAACGCATGGTGGGTTAGGGTTTGGAGATTTTTGGAGAAAGTGAACGTGAGGAACTGGAGTTTTTAAATCAAGATCAAGAGCCTCCCCCAAAAGAACTACTCGTACGGGTATGTACTGCCTTCACGGTATTCCATGTGGAGTACGAGTTGGATTGCGTTGTGGACCAGGTGAAGCTTGGAAATAATAGAGCTAAATGGATGGTGCGGTGGATATGAAGCATGGGTAAATACTCCGTACTGCTGTCTGTCCTATCCACAAAGCAAACGTGGCATTCACGGCCTTGACTGCCACTGCATCCCCCATTGCAAACCCTCAACCAGCACCTGCTGTTGAGGTTGATCTCGGTGGCGGTGGTCTCAGCGTCAAGCGTGATCCTGCCCCTGCTGTCGAGGTTGATCTCGGTGGTGGTGGCCTCAGCGTTGTCATCCCAACAAGTTCACATCAGTTTTCACTCTGCGTTTGATGCCTTATCAGCTCCTCTGCTCAGGTGGCTCCATTCTCGCTGCCACCGCCTCACCATACACAGAACGGTTCACCGATAAACCTCACGCTAGACCAGCGAGATTGCCGCTCAGTTCGAATCTTGATGGACCGCGCCAACTGAGTATATGTGAAGAAATTTTCTGACTCCTGAGGGCTCTTGGGTCACTGGAAGGGAGGATTGAGAAGTGAGGAATACATAATCGCGAATTTTAGAATTGATATTCCTTGAAAGCAAGAAGGAGAGGCACAACACAGGCCCCAATCCTGTAGTTTTAGCGACCAAGTAAACTTGGTGTAATAGTCCCGAGGTCTGACATCAAGTGAATAGTAAAAATGTCTCATTTACGTGTTCAGGGAGGCAGCAGGGGAAGAAAGAATTGGGATGGTCGAAAAGTGGATGAGGGCTATGTATAAAGCCCACACGAACAAAGCCTGGGTTAAGTCAACAGGCTCATGTAGCCATTAAGCTGGCTATCTCTCATCCAATATCCGATATGGTGTAGTGGCTAACATCGTCGTCTCTCACACGACAGCCGGGGGTTCGATTCCCCCTATCGGAGTTTCTTTTTGCCGACTGGTTTTTTTACCCTTAATAGAGATGGGAGTTTTAAAACAAGATATAAAAGAGTAGAGCTTCACTTTTGTGTTCCATATATTGTTCAGACGTGGAGCGAGGGAAGGGAGAGGAAAGAGGAGGGGAAAAATTGCATTGCCCACCGCCTTCACTATCCCGATAGGAGAGCTGCAATCTAGACCAAGTCTCGCCCATACGACACGATGCCCATTTGCATCGAGTGCTCGTATCCAGTCTCGCACCTATACAGCGCCTACAGTCGTGCCGATGATCGCTCTCAGGGTAAAGGCGTTCGATTGACCCAGTGCCCGCGATGTCAACGCTTCGCCGACAAATATGTCGAGCATGACTTTGTCGTCCTCTTCATTGATCTAGTGCTTATCAAGCCCCAGGTGAGCTTCACAGACACCTTAAAATCGGAGGCGCTGGCTGATAGGGTGCATTCAGGTCTATCGACACCTTCTCTTCAATCGACTGGGGCGAGATGACAACCAATTCGATGTGGGTATATTCCATCCAAGATCGCGAGTCTCAAGCTAATGCGCTTCCAGCGGTCAATCATCCGCCTGGGAGTTTTACTACTCCTCTTCGATGTCTACCTGACCTGGGCACGTATCGAGAAAGACCCATCACTTGCGACAACCTTTCTTTCGCGCGCACCCATCATTGTCCAATACCTCTTCTTCTTGAGTCTCAATGCTGCCGCGACACTAGCCCACCATCTCACGGTCCGCCTCCTGGCCTCGCTTCTGGTCCCCAAGTCCCGCCGCCATGTCCGGCCAGATGCTAGCAAGAATGTCAATCCCACACTTAACCCAGGGGACCCGGTCCAACCCTCTGGTCCAACAACTCCGACAATGCGACCCTCGCCATCTGCAACCCCAGCAAACGCGCAATCACAGCTCTCAAATCCCCCCGCCAGTCCCCTAAGACCTCCTCCAACACCCACTCATCCCGGGATCACCTCACCAGATCCACCTCCCACACCCCTAGGCTCAACAATGGCACCACCTCGACCAACACCACTACGCCGCACATCAACAGCCCCTCTAAACATCCAATCCCTCCCACCCCCAACAACAGCCAGCCCCGCCGCAATCAGCACAGCCCTCCTAGTGAGCAGCTGCGCCAAACTCTTCCCCATCCTCCTTGTAATCTGGGGCGCCGACGGCAGCGGCAGTCTCTCCGACTCGCCTTTGACAGGATCAATCCGATCCCCCAGACAACCCGCCACCATGCCCAGCGCAGTCCACCAGACCCTTTTCGCAAACTCGCGCACTAAATCGGCCCTGTCTGCTGTTTCTGCTCTTGCGCCGGGTACTGCGCCCCCGGTTTCGTTCCGGGAGTCGTGGGTTGCGGCCACGGCTTCTTTGCTGAGGAACTCGGGGCCTACTAGTTATCTGGCTGGTGTTTTCGATTTGCTTGCTTCGTTGCTTTCTTTGGGTGTCGTTGATACCCATCTTGTATTATTGAGTAATATTGTTGCTATCTATATTCTACTGGGATGTGGGTATTTGCGCGCTGTGACGATTGCGGTTGCTGGGCAGGTTGCTCGTTGGGCGGTGCAGAAGGTGATTCTGGGTGCTGTCGGGGTCGGTTGATACTTTCAGCTTAGAGAACACCAATTTAAGAAATAATGTAATTTTATTAATTCCTGAAGTCTGTTCCTGGCCCTTTGGCTTCACAACCTTGAAATAAGTGGAATATTGCGGGTTTCTACAAATTGGTTCGGTTTTGGTCCAGTTCTCGACCAAAATATATCCCCAATCTATATACTCCGTCGGATCGTAGCATCAAATGTGCATTATATTTCGGCGTTTTTTGCCCCAACTCTAGCCTCAGAGGGCTTTGGGACCTCACAGGAATGATACTCCATCCAGTGCTAATTAAATGTGTGCGCTCGCGCAAGCTTCTAAAGTTCCAAGGCTCAAACCCTGGGAGTTTACGTAGCTACCCAGCCCCAGAGGCGAGAAGTCAGAACAGGCAAATCACCTAGCATGACCCAAAACCAGAAATCTAGAAAAAAACCGAGAAACTCTCAATGAAAAGAAAATTCAAAATACGCTACCAAGCCTGGATCCAATACCCTAGGAAACAGCTATACAAAAACATCAAGAGTCCATTCAGACCCCAACCGAGAACAACCCGGTCTTTCCAAAGGTACAATGCAAACAATCAAATACCCCAGACTCAGAGCTAAGCCAAAGCAAGACAAATCCAAAGCTCATCCATGTAGACTTGAGACCATTGTCCCAAGACAGATGTGCAATGTGAGCCGTGGGAGTAAAACAATAAACCACATATCTCTATTGCGGTACGCGATCAGGTCGGATGTCTGAGCGCTTTGGCGCAATGAGGGGATGTAATTGTGAGAGGAAGACGATGGCTAGTTCTCGTTAGTATTTTGTATTTTGATATCTTGCGATGGTGAGGGAAATGAGTACGTACCCCACATCAAGTAACAAGAAACGAAAGCAAGAATCATAGTACTGCGGAAGAGTCTGGGAGGCAAACATAGTTAGTATTGCTCATCTTTGGAAACTACTGCCAGTTCGCAGTTGGATATTGGAGGTCAACTCACGTTTGGTTCTCACCCTTGGGGCTGAGGAACCATGCTGCAGTGGAAAGTGCGACAATGATAATAAGCCCAACGAGTAAGCTCCATCTGTACAATTGTTTGTTAGCGATTGTTCATTATAGCCATGCGGTTCGGGTCCGGGGCATGTAGAGGGTTGGATCAACGCGAGTACCAAGCCCGAGGCCGGTTCATTGACTCGAGAATATGGGGTACATTGTGTCCACATGCACAGCCATGGATAAGAGGTGACATACCCGTTTGCCATGTTGTCGATCTTGTGATGATCTTCGTTATGTAAATGAAAGCGCAGAGCAGCGGATGTCCGTAGGCGTCCTATGCGGTATCACAGTAGTCCGAGCAAAGATTAAACCAATTCCTGAACGCTGGATAGTTTGCACGCGAGGTAAGGCCGGTATGAATCGTCTCCGAAGGCTGGATGCTTGGGCGCGGATGGACAAGTGGCCGGCGGTTCGACCTGGCGTGGCGCGGTTGAGATCGGGTCGATAGTACAGTCGAGTTATTTATTCCGGTATCGGAGTATGCAGAGACGGGTTTCGTATACCCTGTGTGCTGGATGACAAGTTGACTGGAAGTTGGGGATATCTGATGTCGGAGCTCCTGGAGCTAGCGGGCCGTTGGCGCCTGAGGCACTTGAGGCGGGCGGTGGGTCGATATCCGCAAATGACATCTTTACATCTTGTGCATTGATGTTTTGTATAGGCGAATTTGATGAATATTACGAGTACTTAGTGCTGTCTTACATCTCTTGGATAGTTTGATGGGCTTCAAGTCCAAAGTTCAGATTGAGTACGGAGTATTCTGTGAAAGGCCACAGCAGAAGCAAAAGGCTTAGATACAGCAGGCAAGGCCATGGCTTGGACTAACGAATAACGTCAAAACCAGGCGGAGACAACAAAACAAACGTGGCATTAAGAAAGGAATTTATGCGCCCTCGCGGATCTTGCGGTAGCTGGCCTGTTCAGGAAGCGGTTAGATTGATAGACTGTCACCAGACATCACTGGAAACTTGCCTCCTGTTCGACTTGCAGCGCATCCACAGTTGGGGCAAGCTCGCTGAGAATTTCATAGGACTTCTTGTGGAACTCGAGTTGGGCGGCGATCAGATCAGCAAGGTTGCGCAGGGGTTCGGGAGTATCAAGGACCTGTTCAGTATTAGCACAAGAGGACCAATAAAAGAAGCAACCATAGTCAAGTGGCGCTGAGAAGACATATACTCACGTTCTTCATTACGCTCACTGCCTCCTCAGTCTGACCAACAAACTCATCCTCGGCCTGCTCGATCTCCGCACGGGCATCCTCGCTCAGGTTGTCCAAATCACCGTGGGCACCAGCCTTCTTGCTGGCCTTGACAGAGTCAAGCATCAAGCGGGCATTTTCCACGTTCTTGCGCGCCTTAGCAGCAAACATAAGGTTGGTGTTGAGGGTGGTGTTCCAGCCAGCCAGGAAACGGGACTGGATCTGAGCATCCTGAGCAAGACGGGCTTCGCCGACCTTCTCCTCGGCCAGAGCGTACTTCTCCAGCGCATTAGCGAGAGGATCCTCGCCCTCGGTGCTCTGCGCAAGGGTCTGCGAGCCAGCGAGCGAAGCGCGGGCAATGGCATGGTTGAAAGTCTTGGGCTGGGGCTTTGCGGAAGGGGGAGCAGTCAGAGCAGCTTGCGCCTCAGCAGGCGAACCAGCCTGCGACAAAAGCTGGACCTTCTCGTTGATGGTGCGGCCGAGATCGTTGAAGGACTCGCGGATGTTGGGAGGATAGTCGTAGGCCTCGTTGGAGTATTGCGAGCTGTGCGGTGGCGCCGGTCAGTGACTGGTAGCGACGGATATTTGCAAACATGCTTATCGAGTGAGCTGGAGTGCACTCACGTCACCTGCAAGAGCTTCTGGTGAACAAGCTTGAGCGCATCGACGCGCTTCTCGAGCTCAATGTACTCATCGGGCAGTTGGGTCTTGTCTTCGGCTGTGCCCAGCTGCTCCTTGATCATCTGCTGGGTACGCTGCGCAAAAGGCGTGAAGCTCGCACTGTCCGTCAGAAAACCACAAAGCAAGAAGATGTTAGTAAAGCGACCGGTCGTGGATTTGGCCCGTGGGACAGGGGATTTCGGGTATGCCGCTGGACTCACCTGAAGTTCTTTCCGAATGCCTGCACTCGATCCATGATTGGTGGATTTGAAGATTTAACTAGAGAGAAAAAAAAAGAAGGGTAGGGAGTAGAAAGTGAAACAAGAATAGGTAACCATCATGCACGAGGGTCGAGGCTTCGTCCCGCCTTTACACCGCCACAGCACCGCCACTTGTTATCTATGATCTACGGACTTCCTACTTTGTCCTCCTGCACTCCCGTACTTTATAGTTACTTCATCTCTGCAGAAAGGTGTATCATTGGCAAATTGGGGCTAAAAAATACATAAGTCTGGAATACCTCCATATGAAACCGAAATAATATCATGTCATCGTTAATCCATGCAGCCGAGTAAAGTAGCATGAAAGCAGTATCAAGGCAGCTCAAGTCAAAGTAGCCATCATAGCACGCATAAGACGAGAGTTAGGTTCTAGAAGCAGAGAAGCGGAGTTAGTGCCATTACATCACGAAGCAAGGGGGTTGAAAAACATACCCTTGCGATCCTGTCGCCGGATCTCAGTGACCTCTTGCGCGTTACCTCTATTGTCAATGATATCCGTTTCACGCTGTCTGGTAATTTCGATGCCACCATCTCGCTCCAGGCGGAGAAGTCTCATCTCTTCTTCCAGGTGACGAACGTACTCGCTTGTATCGGTATCGCTGTCCCGAGGACGCACAAGGACCATGGATCCCTGACGCACAGCATCAGACTCCCGCTCCTGGATGTACTGTACCGGAGCTAGCTTGTGGTACGCAGGGTCGTGAACTGAGACTGCTCGGCGACGTGTTCCACTGGTTCGGGGTATCTCCAGGAAATCCTCGTGCTTATCTCCGTGATGGCGGGACCGTGACCGGTGCCGGGATGGCGAGGCCTCGACTATGAAGGCTCCGCTTGAGCGGGGAGAGGGTGCCTCGACCTGAAGGTATTCGGTGGTCACCCGTTCGCGGGGAATCTCTCTCATCGGGGGCGAATGAGGTCGTGAGATGAATTCGGCTGTGCGATGTAACCAATTAGGGATCCTGTGTCGACCTTGGGGATGGGGATGCGCATTCCGACGCCACTCACTTTCCACGGGGGATGGCCGATTAAATTCACGGCTCAGGCTAATCACCTCGTCGATTTGAGCTTTGGATAACGCTTTCTGAATGACGATGACATCATCCTGTTATAGTCAGCGACTGACAAGTGCAGCACGAGTGTATTGCACGAGAGCAAAGCACCGACCTCTTCCTTGAATGAGTATCCCAGATCCAAAATCGCGTGGACATGGGCAAGGTGACGAGGCACGCGGGTCTTTCCCTTGCGCGGGTAGGGCTTCTCATGGTGTTTGCGAGCATGGCTGCTGGAGCGACGACGATGTTCCACCATATCTCGATCGCGGAAGTCCCTGAACTCCTCATCGCCGTAGTAGTCGGGCTCAGCGATTCTAATATCCTCGTACACTTCGCGCTCACGATAACGACCGGGGGAAAGATGATGACGAGGCAGTGCAGGCATGCGGGGAGCGCGAGGAGCGCGAGGAGCAGGCTCGAGGGTCTCCATCTTGCGCCGGGGTATGCGGTCGAAGGTGTCCAAGGAGGACTGGCGCCTAAGTAGTTGAGGTCGTCGAAAGGAGGGGCTCTCGTCACGGCGTCGACGCCGGTCATGCGCCACAACGGGTCCGGCAGGGTAGGGGTGGTCTAGATGGTCATCTTCGTAGAGCCTCCCCGGTGCGCGTGCAGGGGGGCCATATCGGTCTTCGTCACGGAAGTGGGATTCAAAGCGGTCTTCGAAGCGTTCTTCGGCATGGCGGGGTCGTTCGGCCACGGGGGGACCCCGTGAATAACGATCATAACGATCGTGAGAGTCCAGGGTCCCTGTTGATGAACGGTAGTCGTCGTAACGAGACATGTTTGTCGTCACCGGATGGAAAACAGGAGATGACTAGAACCGTGGGATGACCTGCGGCTGACGGAACGGACCCGAGGAACCCACCGGGGCAACCAGTGGACTCGAGATATCGATAAACAATAGCAAAGAGACAAAGAGAGGGGATATTCAAAGTCAGCCTTACGAGTAGAAGGAAAGTCAAAAAGTGAAACAAGAAAAAAAGAAAGAGGAGGTAAAAGCGTCAGGCAGAAGCCAATGATCAAAGATTCCCCTCAGTCAACTGTATGTACTTGACTAGTCACTCGCCACATGTGCGTCGGGCACTACTGTGTGTCATGGAGTCCTAATGTAGGTACTAAAGGTACTAGACGAATGATGAACATATCCATCCAATCCTAAACCTCCAAATTGGCAATGTCTTCCAAAATCCCCATAGCCCAATGCGCCCGATCGGGCTTGACAGTCACAAATCGCCGATCATCTACTTCCTCCAGCACAGCCTCACTCTGTGGCGCATTAGTCTACTATAGCCCGGGGGGTTGTCTGATATGGACATGCTTACCTGGCGTGCAAGTTCAATTTCGCGCTCTCGCTCGGTCTCAAACGACCGTTGATAGGGTGGTCCCCGACCTTGACTGGCAGCTCCGATCCATGCCTTTTCACATCCACCCGCAATAGCCTCTGCACTTTTGAAACCTGTCAGTCGGGAAATATCACGCAGTTTAGATATGGTCCAGCCCCGCTGCGTGGTATCAGTATATTGAACCGCCGCAAAGAAGACCGGGACCGTCATTTCGGTCAATGCAGAACCCAGGTTCGGACTGAGGCTCCCAGCTTCGAGATTATAGCGCTGCGGGTAGTAGACGCCGGACATGATCTTCCCGACGGCTTGAGAATACTCCGCCGTGGTTGGGGCGGCTACCCCGGCTGCCATCATAATGGCCGGAGGCATGGAGGGATGGATGCGATTGAGCAGAATCCGCACAGCGTAATAGTACCCCCAGATGACCGCAATGGTGTGAGTGCGGTACTGGAGGGCCGGACCAAATGGCGTGGCAATCTGAGGAGCCACGTCAACCGGCAAAGGCTGGAAGTCACGCCCAAGTGCAAGAGCAAATGTCTCTGCTGCAACCAGGATATCTTCCCATTCCCGCTCTGCTTCCATGTAGCTCACATCCTCCTGGTCATCCTCATCTGGCGAGGGTCCCCGAGGCCTGTCTTGGAACCCAGTGGGAAGACGTGGTGGAGGTTGCGGAGGTACCATGCCATACATCGGAGGACTCTCAGCTGACACCGGCCCGCCTGGTGGATGCGAGGTCGCCGAGGGACCCCCTGGTGGTGGACGAGGCGGGCCAGATGTATGAGCGGCAGGGGCACCCCCGGGAGGTCCACCAGCACCAGGAGGTGGACCCGGTGGACCGGGTCCGGGCTTCTGACCAGGAGGCCCACCAGCAAATCGACCCATGAATTGGAACATATCAGGACCTGGCCTCCAGCTCCCATTTACCTTTGAGGCTTTCAACTTTCGTTTCCGGTCACGGAAGCCAAAGTCCGTGACTCGAGCTAGTAATAGCCACAAATGGTCTGCGGAGCCGTAGATGGCATCCAATCGACCAATACCAGCTCGAGGTGGGCACTGACCCCATTGAGAGTAGGGCGTCCTAAATACGAGCATTAGCAGGTAAGCAAATGGATTTAGCTCACTGGTGGCAGATCAAGACTTACAGCAGCTTGTTTCCACCAATGAAGCTCTGGAAGGCGTCCTGCTTCGAGTACCACCAATACAGATCGCACTGAATTCGGAAAGTCTCGATGTCCTTTCGAGTGAAGTGCTTTTTGGAGGGACTATTTCCCTCAACACCCCCGAAGAAGTCATAGTTGACTACACGACCCATCAGAGTACCAACGAGATCCTCATCCACGTTGGTCTCTTTCTCGGCGAATGGGTCATCCTCAGAAACATCACCGGGCATTCCCCACCACGAGTTCGACCACTCCGCCTGTCGCCGATCGTGAACTCTGCGCCGATGAGCCCGCAGGTCCCGAGTGATACCAGCGAAATCGATCTCCCGGATCAGATGCGCGGACCCAGCTACATGGTTGTTCCACTTGGAGTGATCGGCAGATACCACCTCGTAGTATCCCAGCAACAAAGTGGCAGCAAGTGTACCGACCTGTTTGCGTCGGAGTGGTAGACCGACTGCAGAGCCAACACGTTTCAGTGCATAGTGGTAGTGTTTAAGCGATACAGTCGAAGGGACCTGCTGCAAGTATGCAATATGTAGACTGCTGACTGCAAGAATTGCTTGAAGTAGGGCAGGGTGCTCCAGTGCCTTGAGGGCGAGTGTATAAGTCCACAATCCCTGTTGAGCAGAGGGGACCGTGGCACTCAGAATGATCGAGGAGTCGGTAGGATGTCGTTCGAAAATTGACAAAGAGGGGCCGGTCGTGTGGATGAAATGGGCGAAGATGCGGGCGGTTTTAGGGTTGTTCAAGGGAGAAGATCCCAGTGTTGGACGGTAGGAGGCAAGAATGTTCGGTTCGTTCAGATAAGTCGTAAAGGAACGGAGTTTTCGTTCGTCGTAATTGGCGGAAGCCATGATAAGGCTCAGCTGGTTGAAGCCCTCGACCTGAGACTGGTCCCCTGCTTCGTCGTCCGAGTCCACATCGTAGTGGTCTTCACTTTCATCTTCCATGAACACCACCTGAGATGATGGCTGATGAGGAATGAATTGTTCATGGGGCCGAGGTGGTTGCGGTAATTGCCCGGGCTGTGTTTGATAATGATATATAGTCGGCAAGGGCCGGGTCACCTGTAAAATGGGTTTAGCATATTGATTAGAAGACATATTGACGTGGTTGCATACTTGAGGTATCAGGCCAGTATCATGACTGCTGGGTCCTGGTGGGGCGTTAAGGGCCGGCATTGGGGAGAGATTGGAGGCATATTCCTCGGCAGTTTGACCAATGGGTCTAATGACTGATTGATTTGGGATGGTTGATTGTGGTGTTTCTGAGGTAGTCTGACTGGGATATATAGGCGGTTGTATTTGTGAATAATTGCTTCCCGGTGGCTGGGCGGGTATGTTCTGTGGCTGCCCTGATATATGGGCAGGCCACACATCAGCCCGCGGCTGCTGAGGTATAACAGGCGGAGCAGTGGGATGATAAAATTGATGCCCATTGTTTTGCTGCAATTGACTAGTCGACGCTACCTGCGATAGAACGGGGTGATATCCCACCACGGCCGGGTCAACGGGCCGCGGGGCCAACATTGGATGCTGTGCCGCCGCCGCCGCCTGCTGGGGAAGAAGTTGAGAGCCATAATCATTGTATAATGATGATCCTGTGTACTGCTGCTGCAATTGTGGATCATAATGATGGGAGTTGTGAAAAGCCCCAAAGATACCTATGGGATTCTTGAACACCACTCGCTGGGCATAGCCCTCGCAGACACGCTTGGACTTGACACAATTGGTGCAAATGGGCTTTTCCTCACCACATTTGATGCGGCGTTTGCGGCATGCTGGTCTTTGTCAATGGTCCGTGCTACCAGAAGGGGGATGCAACATACTCAGACAGCCGGTCTTGGTTCGTTTCTTCGGGTGTCGGCGGGGCCCTGACTGTGCGGTTGAATCGACAGTCTCTGTTTCTTCAGTCTTATCCATTTTAAATGTCAAGGGAACTGAAAAATAGAAGGCATTGTGGGGCGCACATTAAGCATAAGGAGAAAAGGTGAGACGGTCAAACAGTAAACTTATGGGGTTCTCCAGGTTAAAGCTGCCGAGGATTGCGGATCACCCGAGATCTAGACTCGATCTTTTATGTTTGGGTATTTTTATCCTTTCATATTACTATCACGGAGTTGAAACATGCAGACATTTCTGCATGTCTATCCTGGTTGACTATCCTGGTTAGGGGTCATTCGGCGAGGCACTGCAACCCTGAGGAGTTGGCTGACGAGGGTCTTTTTTTTGCACGTTGTGACAGCTAATGTACAACGTTGATCCCCCTGTCCCCCTCATTTGTGTCGGATCTGTGTAAGAACTCGTATAAGGCTGTCAGAGTCAAGATAGACCACTTGAATCCGAAGTAAAGTGAACAACAGCCCTAGAGACATCAGTGCGCCGTTGAACCCTCAGGCAGAAATACACACCGTGTATATTACCAGTACCGATAAGCAAAGTTACCGATAATGAAATTTTGAGCTTTTTTTTTTTTTCTTTTGGGCAGAGCAGAGCCCCGATCTCATCCTTCAAGGGTATTCCAAGGTTCCCACTTTTCATCATGTTCGCTGTTCCAGGATGGTCGCTCGAGACCTCTGCGCTGAAGTCGCAAACTCAGACTGCACAGCCCAATGAGCCAGCCAAGGATGCTCCCACCCCAGATGCGAAGAACAACAAGCGCAAGCGGGCCAATGACCGTGTGACCGCGGGTAACGTGGATGAGATGTATCGCAGACACATTGAGGGTAACACCAGAAGCACCAAAGCTGCCAAGGGAGACAAGGCCAAGGGCGAGAATGCTGGTCCAGACGCCTCCGTGAAGACAGACAAGAAGCAGAAGAAGGAAAAGAAGGGAAAGCAAGAGAAACCCGAACAGACCACCCAGGAGCCAGCAACTGAAGCCCTCGCCGTCGAAGCGGAGGCTGAGAACGAGGAACCTGAGGACAAGACTCCCAAGAAGAAGCAGAAGAAGAACAAGAAGAACAAGGCCAATGCCTCAGAGGACACCGAGAAAGACAGCGCCGCCTCTGCCCCGAAACCAGCTGCCCCAGCTCCCGCTGCCCCCGCGCTACCACCTACCGCCAATCTGACGCCCCTCCAGCAGGCGATGCGACAGAAGCTTGTGTCTTCCCGATTCCGCCACCTCAACGAGACCCTTTACACCACCCCCTCCGAGAAGGCCGTAGAACTGTTCAATGCCAACCCCGAGCTCTTCGACGAATACCACGCCGGATTCGCACGCCAGGTGAAAGAGTCATGGCCATCCAACCCCGTCGACGGCTACATCAAGACCATCCGCACCCGCGGTGCCATCCCCCTCCCCAAGCGTGGAAAGCCCAACAACCCTGCCAAGGGCTACCCGTTGCCCCGTCGCCCCACTGGAGTGTGCACATTCGCCGATTTGGGTTGTGGAGATGGTCAAATTGCGCGCTCGCTCACACCCTCTGCCAAGAAGCTGAACATCAAACTTAACAGCTACGATCTGCAATCGCCTGATCCCCTGATTACCAAGGCTGATATCTCCAACCTTCCTCTTGAGGATGGCTCAGTGGATGTTGCCATCTTCTGTTTGAGCTTGATGGGAACCAACTGGGTTTCCTTCGTTGAGGAGGCATGGCGTGTGCTGCGTGGTGATGGCAAGGGCGAGTGCTGGGTCAGTGAGGTCAAGAGTCGATTTGGCAAGGTTTCCCGCAAGAAGTCTATGATTGGTGCTCAGAGGCCTGGTAGCAAGGCCGACAAGAAGAAGCCCAAGAAGAAGGGCGGCAAGGATGATGACTCTGATGCGGATGAAGGCGATATCTTTGCTGAGGATTCTCGGCCGTCTGACAACACCGACGAGACTGATATCTCCGCATTCGTGGAGGTTTTCCGGTCTCGTGGATTCATGCTTCGTCAGGAAACCGTCGACAAGAACAATAAGATGTTCGTGAAGATGGAGTTCGTCAAGCAGGGAGGTCCTCCCACCAAGGGAAAGCATGCTTCGGCCCTCAGCGCACCTGCTCCAGGTAGCAAGAAACGATTTGTTGACCGCAAGCCTGAGTCGGAGTCTGGCATGTCAGCTGAACAGGAGGCTCAGGTCCTTAAGCCATGTGTTTATAAGATCCGTTAAGGTTGTCAAATGGTTCTTGTTGGCCTTTTTGCATGACCAAAAATTACCTGCATATATGTCTATGCATTCAAAATTCCCAAGTTGTTACATCAAGTCTTATATCGAAAGCTATATTTGTAAGAAAGCATGTAGGCGTTGGACGGACATCGTCATTATTTTTCTACTGCTCCAAAGCATAAACATCGGCCTTATTCAAGCCTGGAAGCTTCTCAAAGAAATATTGCTGACACTTCCGCTCATTGGTTTCCACCGAGCTGTGCGACAGCCTGGCCCATCTCCTCGTCATTGTAGATACGGAATCCCTTCTCCTTGGTCACGCTGGCAAGCTGGACATTCTTGGAATCAAGCTTCTCCTCCATGACCTGCTTCAGTGTCTTGAGGACCAATGACTCAGCCTCTGGTAGAGTCAAAGACCGATGGTATTCATTCTGCAGCTCCGCCTGCGCACCCTCGCTTCCCGAGCCGATCGCCTTAGCATCATACCGGTAGAATGTGCCAGATGGCTCAGCGTGGTATCTATCAGAATATCCGAATCAGCATTGTCATCACACCCAACAAGACTGTAGATCTTACAGTTGAGGTCCATCCTCGTCGAAACCAGCAATTAACAGCGCAACACCGAACGGTCTGCTCATGACACTCTCCTCATCGTCGCCACTTTCACCGAATCGCAGAGCCAAATCACAAATCGCTTGCGTAGTGCTCTCAACCCGCAAGGGCTCGGCATAGTGGAAGGCGTGGTTCTGGCATTCGACACGGGCGTGTTCGACGAGGTTTCGAGCATCGGCCTGCAGACCGGACATGGCACAACCGATGTGCTGATCAATTTCGACAATCTTCTCAACAGACGACGCTTCAAGAAGAGTGGATGTGACACGCTTCTCAACACCAAGAATTACACCCTCGGAGGTTGCGACCTAGATAGTTGTCAGCCGCATGACCCCGAATTCACAGCCCTGCATTGTCCTCCACTGGAGATACCATCATCGCGTATATATCGAATGGTGAATGGCACTGATGCCTAATGGGAATGCGATGTAAGATATGGATGGTGTGGTGAGACCTACTCCGATCGCCGTGGAGCCTAGTTTGATAGCTTCAAGAGAGTATTCGACCTGGAACAAACGACCTTCCGGAGAGAAGGTGCTGGGAGGGAGGATGGTCAGATTCGGTGTTCATTCGAGAGCCCAGGAGCTTGGGAAGCATACTTGATACCACGGTCTGGCCAGCGCTGTTAGTTGATTCCGCGGTGAGGGGAGATGACGAAGCTTACCATATTCTGAACGTGCGATGAACATGATTTATCTGATAACTGCAAGAATATCTAGGGAAAAGGTCACGAGAGAATATAGAATGGAGATGGAGGGTTGGGGAGATCAGAGCAGAAGAGGTGAAGCTCGGGAGAGGAAGCTCTACGCAAGAGGTGAGTGCCTGGGCTTTGGCGGCCTGAGGCATCCACGCTGCCCAAGGCAAAGTGGAGTTGTTTGGATACTTGCATCTTCTCTCCATTACAGTGTTTGGCCCTTTCTACAGTAATTCGGCCTACTACACGCCCGTGGACCTCCTATGGTACATGATTGACTCACTGCCCTCGCGGGATCATGTCTGTCAATGACCGCGCCGCGTATATGAGCGCTCCACGACCCCGCGCCGTCTCCAATCGCGTCGATGCCGAAAACCGCGGACTGTCGCCAGGCCAAATCGAGAGCAAGAACCCATTGCGCAACAGCTCCTCAAGTCAAAATCATCGTGTTTCCCGGGATCAGAAGAGCATGTCGGAAAAGCGCTCAGAGCGGGCAGGGATCACAACACGAGAGAGATCAGTGCGAAGGAACCCGACCAAGGAGCCTGTCAGCGCGCCAAACCGAGCCGAGTGGGATAAGAATCGACCCCGGAAACCAATCCAAACAGATGGCGCCAATGTGAATGTACGAGATGGAGAGAAGACCCCGACTGCGTGTGAGTGATCCCTGCGCAGCGCCGTTCCCGATACCTGCGATAGAATCTGACAATCTCCCTGGTTTTGCAGTACCGTGGAACCCTCAGGCCTCATTGGTACCCCATTCAACAGCTCCCCTCGCATGTCGAGTCTCAGTCCCTCCGCTAGCCTCGGTAGCTCCACAATCCCTTCATCCCCAAGCACTCCGAGAACTGTCATCCGACGCACAGGAAGCGGCAATACTGGAAGATTTATTATTTGTGTTCATGGGCTTTGAGGGCCAATATGTCCACTATGCCAGCTCCTACGATCCATCGGTTGAGAAAGACCGACTTACAGGCCCGGTATTCCAAATCGCGCCAGGCCTGGACCCGACCTTGCGAGATCTTACACAGTCCATGTTGAAGATGGCGACACACTACAGCGCCATGGAAGCTTTTGTTGAAATCCAGAGTCGAGCCGAGTGCGGTGCCGTTAGCCATTCGCTGTGCGCATCTATTCGAAAGCTTCTCAAAGACTACCTGATTCTCATTGCTCAGCTTGAAGGTCAGCTGTTGAACAACCCTACATTTACACTACACCTCCTTCACCTCCACACGATGCCAACTAGCCAATGCTTGGCTCAATTATATTCCATGGGTCAGGAGTTGTTGCTTAAGAATGGTCTCTTGGATGAAGAAATCGAAGAGTCTATTGATGATTTTGATGAAGATGTTGATAATATTCTCGAACAGCTGAAAGAGGGAGGGGACCTAGTACCTGGGTCTATGACGAGGAAGAAAATGTGCAAAGGAGGAAATATTCTGGGGTTACTAACGGGACGCCTGGCTTCATTTTCTGGAGATCCCACCACAAAGAGCTTACTCCAGACCCTACTACGGGATGCAAGTCGGCCGTATATGACGATGTTGAACGAATGGCTGCATCACGGTGGTATCAGAGACCCCCATGCCGAGTTTCTGGTGAAAGAGCAAAAGTGGATCAGACGCGAGAAGCTCGAAGAAGATTACACAGATGAATATTGGGAGAAGCGGTATACCATTCGCGAGAATGAGGTACCACCCCAATTGAGAAGCGTTCAAGACAAGGTCCTCTTAGCAGGGAAGTACTTGAATGTTGTCCGTGAATGTGGAGGCGTGGATGTCAGCAAAGAAGTCATGGATGTGCCACAGACACTGGACGACCCTCGATTCTTGGACAACGTCAACTCCGCCTACACATACGCCAACGCTTCCTTATTGAATCTTCTGGTCACCAAAAACTCTCTTACCACCCGCTTCCGCTCCTTGAAACATTACTTTTTCCTGGATCGCTCCGATTTCTTCTCATATTTCCTCGAACTCAGTGCATCGGAGCTACGAAAGCCAGCGCGAGCTGTCAACGAGGGCAAACTCCAATCGTTGTTAGACATTGTGCTACGACAGCCTGGCAGTGTTGCAGCATTAGATCCATTCAAGGAAGATGTGAAAGTCAAGATGAACAAGATCGGTCTCACAAAGTGGTTGATGCAAGTTGTCAACGTCTCAGGTGTCAACCAAGACGGCCCAGAAGCAGAGAAGCAACACGCATCCGGCGACGAGGACAAGGATATTGTAGGATTCGATGCGCTTGAGCTTGACTACCAAGTCCCGTTCCCTCTGTCCCTTGTCATCAGTCGCAAAACCGTGCTACGTTACCAATTAATCTTCCGCCATCTCCTCTCGCTGCGCCATCTAGAGACGTTGCTGGTCACATCCTGGGCGGATCAGAATAAGACCACCAGCTGGCGACACAAGTCTTCTGATCGTCGGTTGGAAATCTGGAAACGTCGCGCGTGGAATCTGCGCGCGAAGATGCTGGTCTTTGTTCAACAACTTTTGTACTTTTGTACAGCGGAGGTGATTGAGCCCAATTGGGTGGGTCTGATGGACCGTGTCAATAGCGTGGATGCAGATGCATCTCCGGTCGAGGAAAGCGATATGAAGCCCGTCAATCGAACTGTTGATGAGCTGATGCAGGATCATGTGGATTTCTTAGATACCTGTCTGAAGGAGTGCATGCTTACCCAAGCGAAACTGTTGAAGGTATGTCTTCTGGTAAATCCCGGATGAAACATTTGCTAATGGCCGACTACTAGATTCATTCCAAGCTGGTCACTTGTTGTACTATGTTTGCATCCTGGACTGCAGCATCACTATCACGGGCATTGGCATCAGCCGATCCCGACTTGGCCACAGGCAAAGTTCACGGTGCCGATGCCCGGGGATATGATCCAACCCGTATTGGAAAGCTCGAAGATACGCTCAAGCGATACGAGGACCATTTCTCGCGCCATCTCCGCATTCTGATGGACAGGTAAGAACATTCCCCTCCCCATAGTCAGAACTCATACTGACTCAACTGCCACAGCCTGAATTACTTCGCCGCCACTGAAAGCGTGGTTCTACTGAAGCTCGCGCATTCTCTGACAGCGATCAGCAGAGAAGAAAGCAAAGAAGACTGAGCAAACACAGCCTCTTGTTCTGCTCCTCCACATCTGAATATCGCTACAGTCGCCACTGCGACGACCCTCCACCATTAGCGCAACTCTCCCTCCGACATCCCCCGACCACAGGGCGATACCAGGCGAACCCGGGCCACTTAAACCGCCCAAGTCGGCCCCAAAGCCCGCCCAAGCCCTTACGAGTCATGTCGCGCATGAGTCAAGATCTGCCCACTCGCGAGTATTTTCCAAAGAGTAAAAGATCAGCTTAATGATACGTGTAATATGAGAGTAGCATATTGAAGCACCCCATTTCCCGTATGCATTATATAGCCTTACCTACTCCGTCTCGTATGATCGCGTCAGCTCCTCACGTCAGCCAAATGCGGCTCCAGGGCTGCGCATTCCATTAGTACATCACTTATCCGCGACTTCCCTTCACTCTGTAAACCTCTAGTTGCGCCCGCCAACAAGAAACCAAAATGTCCATCCAGGCATTAACCACCCTCCCAACCCGCCTAACACTCACCATCACCGCCCTAGCCATCCTCGCCATCCCCGCATACCGCGACTACCGCATCTTCAAATCCTACGGACCAGGCGGCGTGCCCAATAACGCGCTAGGATGGATTCTCGTCCGCGTCCTCTTCCAGCCCTTTGGACGCGAGATGTTCAGTACGGGGGAGTATGTGCGGCGCATTGAGGCGGCGGAGGGTCATGGGGGTAATGAGGGGTTTTTGGCTGTGTTGGGGAGTCGGGAGAGGCCTGTTGTTGGGCCGCATGTTGTGCCGCAACGGCAGTTGACGGATGTTCCAGGGGAGGTTGTTATGGAGGTATGATTTCTTTGTTTTTGTTTTGTTTTGTTGGACGGTTGGAGAGTGGTTTGCTGATTGTTTAGAAACTGCGGAATGCATTTAACTCCTTCGCTCATCGGAATCATCATCTTGTTAAGCTTGCACGCTCGAATCTGGAAAGACATGCCGATGGGATTTTCCTGGCTGATCATCTTCCTGCTTCGGGGCTGGCGAGGACAATGAATCGCGAGATTGCGCATGTTCATTTTGGGAATGATCACTCACTGCATGTGGTACTTGCGCCTGCGGATTGTATGTTTCTGTCTCTGGTTGGGTTTATGTCTGTTAACATGGGATAGGTATTAAGGTTATCGAGTCAGGCTGGGGACAGCGTCATGCTTTCTCTGGGTCTTTGGCTATGACATTTCTTTCGTTGGGGACACGTCCTGATATCCCGGCTGAGTATGTTTTGATTTATGCGCCGCGGACAGAGGCGGAGGTCGAGATTGTCATGCAGATTGTTGCGGCGAGTATCAAGTTCATGACGGGGCGGGAGGATGTGCGTTGAAGCCGGAGTTTCGCTTGATGTACGAGTAGACCTGAGACCTGAAGTCTGAGGTAGACGGAGTCATGTCCGTGGGGAATGGGAGGCTTACGCCAAGGTGTTTGTCTGCGTTCTGCAAGTTATATACCCCACTCATGTATTTTAGTTATCTTAACGAGTACGAGCTTATTCCGTGCATGTTTCTTCAGTTGTACCTTTATTGAACAGAAATACACGAGTAAATATGGTATTCGGATATCCATGGCTCTTGTAAAGTTTGTAACTCTGCACATGTTAAAACTACAACTTTAGAAGAGCCTGTATCTGCAATTGCCCTGAAGTTTCTCCAGTTGCCGGCAGCAGATCTATTCCGTACATGGCCGAGCAACTGGAGACGTATCGAGTAGGCAACCAAGCCAAGGATGTCCTTCATTTCCCCAGGACTCGAAGAACTTACCTAGGTAGTACTACTATGTATGCAAGTAGCGCACTGCCATGTGGCTAGCGGACCCGAGGGAGTGGAAGAGAGGGGCGCTAAGAAAAGAAGAAAAGTCTAGAAACCGAGTTTTACCAACTCGTACTCGTAGTAGTTAGGGCAAATACTCATTTTGTATAAAAATAAGCCAAAAGAAAAAAACCCCAAAAAGAACCTACCCGAAAAGTGAACCATGGCGCTGGGTTTAGCGGAGCCGGGCGGGTAAGCCCCTGTCCAGATCCCGACACTGTGGTTGTTCGTTTAGCACACTACGAGTACAAGTAGGTATGGGAAGTATTATATAGATCAGGCCATTGCAATGCAGGTCTGGTGGAGCCTTGTTACTTCTAAAATTGTTAAGGATGATAATATACATACAAGTACAAGTATTGAGAAATCAGGATTCATAAATTATAAATTCCAAATAAATTCCAAATCAATTCCCAGTGTTTCAGTGGATTCACAGTGGACCCTCAAGCCGAATCCTCGTGTACGCAGACTGCAAACCCACACATGACCAAGGTGGAAACATTTTCCGTACTTTGGGGGCAACTAGAGGGGCGGTATTGAGGGGCAAAGGGAGTGACGTTGGAGTACTTTTGTCACCTACTGGGACAGGGTGACAGAGTACTCCGTACAAGTACAAGTACAGGTAACAGACCCCGAGGCAAAGCTTCCAGGGAAAAAATTGAGACAAGCGGTGAGAACGAGAGCGAGAGAGGGGCAAAGAATGGAAAGAGAATGAAACCCACCATCCCGAGGGACTGGATGCCCCAACGAGGAGGATGCTGATCCCCGTCGAACCCCACTCAGCTTCGGTGGTGAGACTGGGAACTTGGCATTGTGCCAGCTGTGTACGGAATACGCCGTCATTCCGGGGAATAGTACTCGAAACTGGAAGTGGTACATAGTATCGAGTACGAGCAGTACTTGTACTCGATATTATGATATGCTTCCCAGGGGTTGTTTCGTTTCAACTGACAGCGGGTATGGATGATCCTTTTCCCTCACTGGAATGCGCAATGTACCGAGGGTGTACGCAAGGGTGCCATTTTGAATCTGGCTCGATTTGGTTCCTATTGTGGGTTGATTTTTTTTTCTCCGATGGTGCATGTCACACAGTAGATTCCAATAGTCGTCTGTTCAGCCTCATGCCAATATTCGACAATATTTGTGTGCATTTTCCTAGGTTTCATTCCTCACTTCTCGTACCTTGTACATCCTTGCTCACTTGAGCCCGTGATCCGTGGAGCCGGAACAGAGTCACATTGAGTTTCCGGAGACGCTTCACTCGGGACGAACACATCCTAATCAGCCTTGGGATGTTCGCAAGGATCCCCCCGGTCAGGCGCAGCAGGGCCGGATTCGTGTACTCAATCCACCCCGTCGGGCGCTCTTGGACCCCCGAGACAAAGTAGGTACTATGCGAGACCGCGAACTGTGCATTAGCAGACGGCTGCTGCTGCTCCCAAGGCTCACTAGCTCGGTCTTAAACGGCGAGACTGGGTCGTGTCGATTCCTCGTAGTATGTGTCAATCCTGTCATTCGTGCACTCGGCTTGGTGACCGACCCGCCTTTTTTCCCTTTCTTTTTCTTCAGACCCCAATTGATGGACCAAACTGTCGGAACAGAGAGCCTCTGAAGTGTGGCACACGTCAATGGAAGGGGTTGAAGGGTTTCGGGGGGTCCCAAGCCCATCAACAACTCGGAGGATCCTAATTGATTACCACCCACGCAAGCCCCATACGTGCTAATTAATTGACCGTTAAGCCCCCCCGTATCTGCGCCCATCGCCTGCATCCCGAGGTGTGATCTTCAGAGCATTTGAATTGGTTCATGTGGCTTTTCCACCCCTCCCCTGTACATTTTAGTACGTACCTTGTATGATTGGAAGACCCCTCCAGCTCTCCCACGCCCGTGAATGATCCTCGCGCAAGCCGTCGTGTCCGCTGCCGCTGCCGACGTCTTCAGGCTGCATCCGAGCGTTTCCATGAAAATTGCCCAACGCCGAATTTTTCACCCTTTTCGCAGTTACGCTGGCTCGATGCAGGTTCTTTGGCACGGATAATTCAACCACCCCCCCACCCTGACGAAACAAATCAGAGCGTACCACCCAATATTTCCTTTTTCGTACCACGACATCGCTGCATCAGTGACAATGGCGTACGTCAATCCCTCAGTTGATGTTCTGTTTCTGCTGGTTTGTTATAAGAGAAAAACAACGGACTGACCTTGATATTGGCCGCCAGGAATCCAGATTCGCAAACGACAGAGCTAGACCGCGAGTATCTCGATACTGTCACTGTTGAAGGTCGTGAATATCAGAAATATTCCCTCGACCATCGGACGTACTTTGAACCCATCGATGAGGTAAGAATAGTGGAGTTTCAGTCTTTTGTTCTTCCCTAACTGTCAGCAGGAAGAAACACAACGACTCGAAGACCAGCAACAGGTGTTCCAGAGGATTTTCGACAATCGCTTGATCTTTCCACCAATCGACCAACTTCGCAGGGTGCTAGACTGTGGCCATGGATCAGCTTCATGGGCCGCTGACGTTGCCGAGGAGTATCCCGCTTGCGAGGTGAGATATTCCCTGGATGGTGTTCATCAACGACCTAACGTCCGGCGCGCCATAGGTCATTGGCGTCGACATTGCCCCGCACATGAGCCCAGAGGATGTGCCTAATAACTTATGGCTTCAGGTAAGTCGGCTATTCTCTCATTCTATCACACATACCCGAGTCATCTGGACAAAGAGGATTTCCACCCACAACTTCAGGGTCAATTGTGTGTTCGAGGGTCCTGTGCCGTCTGCCTGTTCCTAGACAGCCCGGACCAAAAGCAGGACCAGAGAACGATCGCTAACTGTTGGAACAGGTCGACGACTTGAATCGCCGCTTCACCTTTCCCGCCAACCACTTCGATCTTGTCCATTCCAGACTCCTTGCGACCGGCCTCAACCGATCTCGATGGCCATCGTATCTCCGCGACATAGTCAGGTGCGACCCCTACCAATCGAGTTGATCATGTCCTCGCCCCTGAGAACCGAGGCTTCTCAGATGGAAATCCCAAGACTAACACGATCCGCTTGAAGGGTACTGAAGCCAGGGGGTTGGGCCCAAATGGTTGAAATATACTTCAACGTCCAGTCTGACAATGGTTCAATCACTGACGAGCACGCTTTGCGAAAATGGAGCACAAAATATCTCAGCGCTTTAGAGGATAGGAAAGATCTTCGGATTGGCTCGAGGTTGAGAACCCTCATGACAGAAGCGGGTTTTGTCGAGGTGGACACGAAGATGATCCCTCTTCCCCTCTCTGCGTGGTCAACTGGTTGGTCGTTCGTATCTCCGGGGAGTCCCTCTTTGCTGACTCAAAACAGATCCCAGGACGAGAGACATTGGTCAATCCAACCACGAGAATATCCAGCAACTTCTTCGATCCATTGCACTTTATCCTTTGACTCAGCGGTTGCACATGCCACCGGAGGTGTTCACCTCGCTGGTGACACAAGCACAACAAGAGGCAGCAGATCCAACATTGAAAGCATATTTCCCACTGTAAGTGTCCAAACCCAGATCCATCAGTATGGTCTAACAGAATAGGTACGTCTGCATCGGCCGAAAACCATGAGGCATCGAATCGAAGGCACCCACGACAGTGGACCGAGGCCAGCCTCACGAAAGGAACCCCACAACGAGGAGAGTCGACCTAAACGGAATGAACCTCGGATCTCGCATTCTGCATACTGTATAGTTGCTTTGCTCTTCGCGCTGCATTTGCATTTGCATAGACATGTGGATTTAGCGGACAGATGGTTAGTCGAATGAGTTTCCCTGTTTGTCCTGGTTCTTTTCTGCTATGTGTTGCAATAATGTGCGTTCATTGCCGTTTGTCCAAGACCCAGATGACTAGCGGAAGTTCCCGGTGCTTCGTCGAAAGAGGGTCGTGCGTGGTCGCACAAAGCTGAGGTGACTCGGCAGCGACTGGATTGCGAAAGAACCGTTGTAGCTCACTGTGATATCCCACTTGCACCGCAGCTCCGAATGCCCATATGTCAATGTGCCCACATGCAGCAGGTATGGGCTCTTATCTATCTTTGCCTTGATGGCTTGCCGTCGACGAAAGGCACGGGTGTGGACTGCGAGGATTAACCGGGCGAGAGGGCTGCTTTGGGCAATTGGAACGGGTGAGCATCTTGTGCTGATGCTGGACGTCAGATAAAGTGGAACCGAATCAGACAGTGCTGGGCAGGGGGCGTCGCTTCAACGGTTGGAGATCGTGTCGATGCCCGAGGGCCCGATCCGACCATACCCTTTTGGAACGTATCGTTATGGGGCCGACGAATCAGCCAATAGAGAGTCTCTCATTCTAGAGAGAAGAAGAAGAAGAAGAAGAAGAGGAAGAAGAGAGACACAGAGGGAGAAGAGGTGAAATTACGAATGAGGGGAGTTACCAAACTGACGGGAAAACGGTCCAGAAGGAAGTTACCCGACTACCTTGACAGCTGCCGTCCCCATTTATTCTGCACAGTCAAATTCACCAAGCC